TGATTCTAGAGCAAATCTCAAAGCAATCGGAGACTCACTTTCCTTCTGAAGCCTGTTTGTCAACTCCAATTGAAACTGTTGCACAGATTGTCCCTTGCTAAATCTCTTCAATAACGCCCCTTTCGCTTCTGTATAGCAGTCTTGATGAGCATCGGGTAAACTGATGAAGAATTCCCTTGCATCGCCCTTCAAAGATAGGTGTAGACTAGCGGCCATTTTCCTGTCGTCATTCATATCTTTCACGATGAAAAACGCCTCAAGTTGCTTCAAATGACTCTTAATCTCGTTACTATCACCACTGTCCCACTGAGAAACACCTATTCCTGCCATTTTATCTTCTTTTTAACCGCTGCCACCAATGTAAACAGCACACAACGAGCGAGTATAAGAACACGTCTTGTTTATTTCAATTCATACTCAAAACTAACTGTAATACATCCGTTACTCCCTTGACAACCATACATCAATATCCTAGCAATATTACCTCACATATTCTATTACTTACCCTACGATCTATCTCTTAGCAACTTCCGAATCCATTCGTTCATCTAACTTCTATTTACATTCGATACACTTCCGGTAAATACTCTTCCGGTAATCAGAGTTACTCCCCTTAGCCCATTCGCACAATGCTAACATTATATATCAATCTCTGACAACGATGTGGTGATGTCAATAACTGTCCTGTAAGGTCTGTTAGCCCTAATTCCTTGAGCCCGGAGTCGCCTGGCCACTGTCTGCCACTAACCACATGCCCCAAGGCATCAGCAGCTGATGATGTCACTTTCAGGAATTGATTCCAAAGAGGGAAGGTATGCAAGTACTGGTCTTCACTGGGCATAGTTACCCTGGAACTGCCTATTCTTGGTCTGTTTGATGTCTGCCTGTACTGTTGCATCAGGTTAGTTACAGCAACACAGGAGCAACCCAAGGTTCAACTTGTTTTTGAATTTTTGAAAACAAGTCACAGAATGTATTAATCCTAATCCTATTTAAGTCACCTTTTATGACAAGCAACGTGCAGGGGACTTGCTTTATAGGTTTTCTAAACCTGGAAATCAGTCTTAAGCGAGTGAAAGGCCAAACTGGTGCTGTCCTTTGATGAGTACCAACTTGGTGCAAGATACCAAGGACAAGTATTGAATCTTACCCTTTATCAGCTGAGGTGAAGGTAATGCCGCTCTGAACAGTGTTTTGGTTACATTACGTCAGCTTGACTTTGAAGGAAAGACAAAAGTTACGGAAGTCGGAAATATTTAGAGCTTCGGTAAAAGCTACCAGCACAGTTGTGATGCTGATAAACCTTGATTCGAACCATTGGATCATAGGTTTCTGGTGTGCCTTAGGGTTGAAACTCTGCACAGCTCATTGCGTTTTTGGTTACATTACGTCAGCTTGACTTGGAAGGTAAGACAAAAGTTACGGAAGTCGGAAATATTTAGAGCTTCGGTAAAAACTACCAGCACAGTTGTGATGCTGATAACCTTGATTCGAACCATTGGATCATAGGTTTCTGGTGTGCCTTAGGGTTGAAACTCTGCACAGCTCATTGCGGTGCCTTAGAACTGGGTCACACGTAACCCCAAGGTGAAGGAAGTAAACTCTGCAGGCACCCACACGCCCTCCAATCAGTCTCAGTTGACATTTTAGCTGGACACATGCTACTTTTCTGGTTCAATTTCAGTGATAGAAACTGTTTTAGTCCTCTAGTCCTTGTAATATCATAGTAAATCCCTAAATAATGTCACATTTCAGCTGGTCCTTATGATACATCAATTATTGGGCAGACTGGCAAGGAGTATAGGATTAGTACCAATTTCTAACCCTGAAATTCATGATTGCCAATTCATCTGGCAAGTTTTCCAAATATGGAAGCAATATTCCATTCAATTCACAGAACTGCAACATCATAAACAACATCTGTCAGTTTTGCTTCAACCTTTATTAAGATCTTTACATATTTATGAAGCCTGTTGCTGCTCTGTGGGCATGCTTCTGATGATGTCAGAATCACCTGAAAGACAAAAACACATTTAGTCAAGTGCTCAAAATGAAATTTTGGATCTACACAACATCTTTAATTTCAGCAATATTCCAGGCATATCAGACAGATTGAAAAGTATGGTTATGTATAAATAATTTAATCTATGAAAATAGCTTTTGAAAACTTTGATCAATCAGTTGTCAAATCCTCCTACCTGGATCTGTGATACTGAGGGTGCAGACTCGGAAGTACTTTCCACAGGCCGTTCCCAGCTCAATATTGTTTCCTGAGTAGTGGTGAACGCCTGTCTTGGCCAACATAGCGTAGTACTCTATCTCACTCTTCCTACAAAGGAAACATGTTGCTATTAACATGATTAACAGAAGTTTTGTAGAACAGATACATAATCAGAATGCAGAACCACCTGCAAAATAAGGTATTAAACAATGTTGCAAATCATTGTTCAGGTTGTTGGGCGAGTGACTACAACTGCTTTAAGCCACAAACTCGACATTCATGGTCCCATAAATAATGTGATCATGCTGATGGAGATCAAACAGTGATTGATATGAGCAACGTCTCAAGGTATTGGGGTACGATAACATGCAATCAACCAAGTCACTGAACATGACAACCCAATCCCTTTAGTCGTTTCTTACAAGCATAGGAATCCTACGCTTTCACAATATATCTTTAATTTACCTCCATGTTGAAAACAATCTGCAAAACAAATAACTTTGAACCCTAGTTCCTACATGGAAAATGACAAATCCATTTGAAGCAATACAAGAAGCTCCACTTACACCAGAGGTTGTCCAATGCAGAATCAATCAGTGTAATGCACCTGGACATGTTTAGTCACTTGTGTTACAAACCTGTTAACCCAACTGACAGGAGCCAACTTGAGATATAAAGAAGACAAATGTTAATAAGGTGTGACTCCATCTTCACCAGATCAGGCTCCGAAGTCCATTACAAAACATGCATTTAATCATGGGTTTGACGTCCATAGTGTAACATTTTCACATAAGGAATTTTCTTTTTCAAAGATAAGCATTCACATCTCCTTTCACTCTTACAAAGTGAAATAGTTCTTAAATGATGTATACTTTACAGAAATGATTCTTTGGAAGAGATGCATTTTTCTAATGGACGAATGTGAATCCAGCTCTTGTTCACCTACCTGAGGGGAGGGGTGTTGTTGGCAATGATAACCAGCTTGGCCTTGCCACCTCTCAAGGTTTTCAAAGTCTGCTTGTAGCCCAACACATACTTCCCACTTTTCATCACCAGGGCCAGGCGGGCATTGATATTTTCTGCACTCTTTTTCTGTAATTCACGAAATATAATCAATCAAGAATACTGTGATTGCTTTTTACCCTCAACCACCCCTACAAGAAGCGGATCTTGCCACAACAAGGTAAGACAACTGTCAATGTCAAGCCTTCACTACAATCCCAACAGAAAGACTTCCGCCCATATCCCCCCCTCCAAAAGTTATATATGTATGCATTGCTGCTCAAACCTTTTAATTATATATATTTTTGAGGGGTACGAGCGGAAGTCTTCCCTTTCTGTGTACAAAAATGTACCCTAGCCAAAACCAGAAACCAAGTCCATTCCACTGTAGGTTGTATTGCGCAATGCGCCTAATTGGTTCCATGAATGGTTACATGTACAACACATCCTGGGCCCGTTCCACAAAGCGATCTCAGAGCCTATGTATGGAAGTTATCATCTTAGCTCTGATATCGCTTTGTTGAACGGGCCCAGGACGTGTCATACATGTAACCGTTCATGGAACCAATTAGGCTGACAACAATCATTGCTCTGTGGAACATGGTCCTGTATGTCAAACCTCAGTAAAATTCAACATGGCAGTGTGCATTGTATATTTTTCTCAAATATTCCACGATGCACAGCATTATCCAGCATCAACTAGACATCAGACAAACCAGAACAACATGAACCGGTTTCGGAATATGGACTCATTCCCGTTTAGGGTACCTTTCTGCGTCTGGCTAGGTACATTTTGTTAATAAATTTCTGTATTCAGAAACGTAACTGGGATACAAAACTGTAGTACCCGTGCCGATAAGGACCCCTTCAGACCCATTTCATATGTTACTCATGCCGCCCAAATGTATGGACGGCCATTCGGTAAAAAAATACAAAGTTGAAAAAAGGACAAAAGTACGCAATTAAGATAAAATATACTACTCAAAAGACGTTAAGGATCACCCGATTCTTTCATAATGGTAAAGTTAATCTGTCATGGCATGGGAGATGAACTATAGTAATATGAAAGAATCGGGTGATCCTTAACTTCTTTTGAGTAGTATATTACGAATATAGAACTTTATTGAAAACGTCCTTTCGTGCTCACTGACGTTCTTTCGTACACATTTTTCTTTCTCTTCTTATGACGTCTTTTCGTAACATTTGACTATTAATATTGCATACTTTTGACATTTATTTCAACTTTGTATGTTTAACGGTCGTCTGTTTGTTTTGTATTTTGACCTTTATTAGGAACATTAAGTTCTTTATTCGTAATATTTGACCTTAATTGCGTACTTTTGTCATTTTTTTCAACTTTGTATTTTGTTGACCAAATGGCCGCTCATAAATATGTTCCGATATGGTTTATTATAAGTCTTACAACTGACATTAATGCACCAATCATAACGCCATTAGCGAAATCTTACTAAGTGACCCATGTATACTTCGGTCCTTTTCGCCACATGGCGTTGTGAAAGCAAACCACGTGGTCAACATGCTTACCGATTTCTTTTGGGCAACCATTTTCGCGGATTTTGTTGAGCTTGTCGGCTAACCCTGCAAATTAAGACATGGAAATAAGTTTATTTTGCTTCTGAGTTCAAATTTTTATTCTGGTTCTATTTCAAATAGGAGAACCGAGCTCTCTGAAGTGATTAAAATTTGCCACAAGATCACCTCACTACCTTTCTCGACGAGCACCTTGCGCTAAAAGGATGATTACCCAACATGCTCTGCGCAAGTCTCGCGAGATCTCCCATACATTCCTGAGAAGTATGGCGGCGTCCTGCAACATTTCTGTGTAGTGTGTTTGATACTTTATGTGCCTTTAGAGAAATAAGCCTTGACCACCAGCAATATGTTTGTCTATCTTAGCAAAAAGGTTCGTTTTATTTATTCCAAAATTAGCGATGTCAATAAATGTTTAGCTTCATTGACATTTCTGTTTGATTCCAGAATCCGTTGCCAATGAAGCTGAGTTGATGTATCGTTAGCTTCTCATGGCAACTGACATTAGCACTGCATACTCTCCTGCTTTTCAGTGTTAAACAACAAATTAATCAGTCACAAATTATCTTAAACATATACATATATTTTTGCGATGAATTCTTTATTTCATTGTTGTAACATCGAATGCAGTAGCAGCTTCATTTTTTAGCAACAAGTCACTTGCTGAAATTAATCTTATGATATCATTTCTCACTGGGGTACTTGTGTTTGAGTTAAGTATTTTATTAAATAGTGTCATGGGTTTTTAACATAAAATCTGTATATTATGATTTATTTTAACACCCAAAGGCTATTGTTAACTGTCTTTTGCGTGTTACAGATAGCTATTCCTAATAACACCCGACTGCGGTGTGTGTCATGGAACAAGGAGCATGGCTACATTGCATGTGGAGGAGAAGATGGTCTGCTCAAAGTGCTCAAATTGGAGACCCAAACAGGTAAACAATATATCTTTGTCCAAATTAAGAGTTTAACTAATCATTGATGTACATTGCGCATGGTACAGTATGACTCTATATTATAGCGGGCTCTATATTATTGCGGTATCGGTAAATCTCATAATCCACACCCTCTGCAAGCTCTGTTGACTGTTCACTTTTGCAAATCTAAGCACAATATTTCATCACATGATCGAATACAGGACTCGTTGCAGTATGTCACTGCTACTCGTAATTACACATGTAAACTTTTTTTATGATAGATTCTGGAATGTTTTTGAAGTGGAATTACCCCTACCTACATTCAATATTGGTTAGAAAAAAATGCACTTGTTTGGACAATGTCCCTTGCCCCAACATAATCTTATGAATACTGATTATGCATAATCCCAAAGAGGAATTAATGTAGACCTCATAATCCACACAAACCACACCACAAAACAGTGATACCGCGATAATAAAGAGTTGCCTGTCCTTGAGTTGCTAATGACAGATACTTTGAAATCATTTACAAACACTTCTTCAACTTATAGTTAACCCTCTGTAGTTCTTTACAGTGTATTCGACTGTTGTTCACCTTAGCCAAAATCCTGATGGATACTGTGATTAGGTATAATAAGAAATAATATAATGATTTTATAAGTATCATTCCTTTTTACACTATATCATCGGCCCATGAAGATCCGGGGTAGAATAGGTCTTCAGCAACCCATGCTTGCAAGTAAAAGGCAACTATGCTTGTCGTTAGAGGCGACTAACAGGATCGGGTGGTCAGGCTGATGCATTGATGCTTGTCATGGTTCCCAATTGCGTAGATCGATGCTCATGTTGTCAATCACTGATTGTCTGGTCCAGACTTGATTACTTACAGACTGCCGTCATATAGCTGGAATATTGTTGAGTGCGGCGTTAAACAACAAACAAACAAACAATACACTATATTATCATATTTATATACATAGTCTCAGTCTTCAATTACTTATTCATGTAAGTGAAGTAACAATACCACGTCATGTATATAATTTTCCTTGGACTAACACCATGCATGAACACATGCACCTATGTGAGATTGTTATTGTTAACACTGTGTTTTCTTATCTAGGGAAAGACATGAAAGTGAAAGGTCTGGCAGCTCCAAGCAATTTGTCCATGAACCAGTCACTTGAGGGACATAGTGGTGAGTAGAGTATCATCAGCGTCACTGGTTCAACTGTTGCTGCATGAAATTGAACACATATATTTAATGTTTAAGGGTCAGTTTGTAGTAATGAACAGTTTAAAGAATATATTCTTTATATTTAATGAATGCAGTGATAGTACATACCTCCCCAAATGCTTATCCAACACTCTTAGATGTTTTGCTTAATAGCTACGTTTTGTTTTTTGAAACAAACTTATAATTTGAACATGATACGTGTGACAGGTCACAAATTTCATGTTGATTTCCTTGCAAATGAAAAAAGTGAAACTGACCCAACTATTCAGTAGTGCAAGAGAATTGTTTTAAGATAGCTTATTGTTTAAATGCCTTCACCCCCAATTATGATTCTCTGGCCCATCCTATAGACCCGGCTGCGTCATACCGAAAGACCTTAAAATATGTTACTTGTTGTTACCCTGTCTGGCGCTCAGCATTAAAGGGCTAAAACAAGGACTGGTCGGCTCAGAGTCACTATACTGTGTCTGAGTGGGGTATTAACGTTAAACTGCAGCATGGTATCTCAGTGAGCTAGCACTGTAAGTCGGCATCAGTCCGGACAAGTACAAGTGAGTGAGTGAATTAGGTTTAACATCGCTTTTAACAGTATTCCAGTCATATCGCGGCGTTTCAGCTTAATGTGGGAGGAAAGACCGAAGTGATGCAGGTTTCAGACTTTGGTGAAACCCACGAGCACGGGTATGGTGCTGACAAACCTAGAAACATAATCGGGGCGAACCGGGATTCGAAACCACAATCATAGGTTTCTGGCATGCCCAAGTGATGCCACTCTGCATAGCGAATCACAGCACCTTAGACAACTGGGCCACCTGTGCCCCCTCCGGACTAGTACAAGCAGCCACAAACACTTGCATGCACGTCGCTGTATAAGTGCATCTTGAACGCGACGCTGAACCCAATTTCACCTCACCTCACCATCCTATGGAAGGAATTAATTCAAGAAATCATTGCTATATTGAGATTAAATCTGATTTTTGGTAAGCACAAGTGTTAATTGTTTTCCTTTGTCATTATATATATATTTATGATTTCTTCGTATACTGACACCTTTTCATTGACTTGCAAGAAACATGGCATAGTGACATGATTGTTTCATCTTTCAACAGAACTTTCTTCTATATCATGACAAAATTTGAAAATTCAGAAGGTAATTTTGGATGATGATCAGTCAGTGTCCTGGAAAATTGACCTATCTGAAGCCCTGCATTTGCAATTTCATGAAGGTGCTGTCCAGTGTGTGACATGGAATGAACATTACCAGAAGCTGACCACAAGTGACCAGTACGGCCTCATCATTGTATGGATGCTTTACAAAGGTAATATTACATTCTACTACAGCACTGTCAGCAGTAATCTGTGTAACATTACCTTCATATTTAGTATTAACTCTACAATAGGATATATGAATGTACTGTATTCAGCTTTTCTAACACTCTGCTTTGGTACTGCAGCACCCTCTAGAACTTCTTAGTACCATAAGGAGTGACAGATCATCCTTTTGCCAATCTCATTAAAATCTGATCATTATTCTGATAAGGTAGCACTCGCCATCAAGGTCTGATTAACTTTCCGTAGGAGATAATGCCAGAAGAATCATGAGATAACTTTGATATGACAGTGAAAATGAAGAATGCCGGGGTTCTTGAGCCAATTAAATGTCAACTTGCTAAAATGATTTGGCTTCATTTTGTTACCACCTTCATTTAAAAAATATGATCTTGCCAGAAGAAAATCTACACAGAAAACACATGTTCTATTGATAGTATAAATATTTTGGTGTAAGATGACCATAGCCTTTTTATTCTCCTTTGAACTGCCCATTGATATTCGTTTTGGTGATACAGAAATGTGAAATTATGCCCTGATTGCTTCACTAGACTGTACTGAGATTTTAGAGGCCATCACACTGTATGGCACATCAGAAAGTTCACTTGATGTGACCTCCTTTGACAGAAAGCCATTGAAGTAAAAGATCTGATTTTATTATCAGTTGGCATCCCCCACTAATGCTGATACAATTCACCGCTGCATCATTTTCATCACAATAATATGATGATACAAACTTAGTAGCAGTGACTGGTTGTAACATATAGGAATATCCCCGAAACACCTGACACTCTACTAGCCTCAGTATAGCTTTACCATTTGGTACATTTGTGGCAGTCACTTTGCTATGTGAAAATTGATAGGTTATAATGGAATTGCAGCGTTAGAAACTAACAGTTTTCGTCAACTAGTCCTTATAATGATAACATGTAGCAAAACTCTCAAAAATGGCAAATTTTCTACTAGTCCTTATGATACCTTTACCATTGGACAGTTTGGCAAGGACTATAGGACTAGTGCCAATTTCTAACCCTGAATTGAAAAATGAAAAAATTAGGCAACACTGATGTCCCTTATCACTCCATATATTTCTAGAATTTTCAGTTGAAATAGCACCCGGTGTTATTTGGTTTGATGCTGAGCTGTGATGTTGGCAGGTTCATGGTATGAGGAGATGATTAACAACAGGAACAAGTCTGTGGTCAGGGGAATGAAGTGGAATGCTGATGGACAAAAGATCTGCATTGTGTATGAAGATGGTAAGAAGAAGAAGAAGAAGAAGATGATGATGATGATGATGATGATGATGATGTCCTTAGATGTCTCACAGTTTCAGCAATGTTTTGAATTATGCATGAAAGTCAAGGGGTCCTTGTCATTTACCTGTTGTTAGTTAGAGGTTACAGATTTAGTTGTCTCTACATTCAAATACCAGTACTATAGGAGCAATCCTTAATGATGGCAGGACTCCCTTGAAATGGTTACCATTTTTATGGACAAATAAGAATAATATCAACATTTTTTCTCTCCTCAAATAAGAAAAAATATCTGCACCAGTTTTTCAAAAGACATGTCCCATGTAACCTTTGTTTTAGTTCTTTTAGTTCAAACTGTAATTGATTTCTGTGAATACGTGTATTTCAAAATGTGTGATAGAGGCAGTGGTCTGTTTCAGATGCTATATAAAAAGTATGTGATAAAGGCAGTGGTCTGTTTCAGATGCTATAAAAAAATTTGTGATAGAGGCAGTGGTCTGTTTCAGATGCTATATAAAAATTTGTGATAGAGGCAGTGGTCTGTTTCAGATGCTATATAAAAATGTGTGATAAAGGCAGGGGTCTGTTTCAGATGCTATATAAAAATGTGTGATAAAGGCAGGGGTCTGTTTCAGATGCTATATAAAAATGTGTGGTAAAGGCAGGGGTCTGTTTCAGGTGCTATATAAAAAGTATGTGGTAAAGGCAGGGGTCTGTTTCAGGTGCTGTGATTGTTGGGTCTGTGGATGGTAACCGCATCTGGGGGAAGGAACTGCGAGGGTTGCAGCTGGCTTGTGTTGAGGTGAGATGATCACTGTGTTACATTGTACAGCACCTTCGAGACATGTCAGTACACGTTCCATGGTTAATGTGTTGTCAGTTTTACCTTTAGTTGAAGTGTGGTCACCCAATATAACTTTCCAATTTAGCCGTGATGTCAGACCATTGTCACAAACACCCTAACTGTAATACATTCATTCAATGTATTCATTTGATAACCTTGCTTCACAAGAGTCAAGATCATAGGTACAAATGTACCTTTGTTTGAGAGCTCTGTTTCAGCAGTTAAATAGAAATTATTGCCGATGATTAGTTGGATGTTTTTGTCAGTGGTATTGTGTGAGCCTTTGTTGAGTATAATACATGCAAACTGTTTGTTGCCAGAATCATGCACACAAGCCCCTATGTAAACTTTATAGGAAATAGGCAATATTTATTGAGCAATAAGGCAATGCATCATATAATTAGTAGTTCAGCTTCAGTTGCATGTTTATTGGATATAACAGGATGCCAAGTTTATCAGATTGGTTTATTGCGCTGATCACATTACATATGATATGATAATGCTGTGTATTTACATTTGACCGCCTCCGTGGTCTAGTGGTAGAGCGTCTGCCCGGAGGCAGAAGGTCCAGGGTTTGATCCCCGGCCGCGTCATACCAATAGATGTTAAAAGATGGTACTTGATGTTACCCTGTCTGGCGCTCGGCATTAAGGGGTTAAAGCAAGGACTGGTCGGCTCGGAGTCAGTATACTGTGTCTGAGTGGGGTATTCATGTTAAACTGCGGCATGGCATCTCAGTGGGCTAGCACTATAAATCTGAGTGGGGTATTCATGTTAAACTGCGGCATGGTATCTCAGTGGGCTAGCACTATAAAACGGCATCAGTCCGGTCTAGTACAAGCAGCCACACACACAAACACGTGCATGCACGTCGCTATATAAGTGCAATAATCTTGAACGCGACGTTAAACCCAATTTCACCTCACCTTGTATTTACATTCACAATAACTACCTTTGTTTCAGTGGTCTCCGGATGGGAAGAAGATCTTATTTGGAATGTTGAATGGAGAAGTTCATATATTTGACAACACTGGCAACTTCATTGTGAGTCTGTGCTATAGCCTGGGAAAGTAGAACTATATCAAACACTGTAACAAGAAGCGTTCCTCATACGTTGTATCATGACGCCATTACATGCCAGAGTGACATCGTGTCTGTCTTGGGGCCATGGGTGACCATGTTGTCTAAGGTGTTGCAATTTGCTGCATGGAGTTGCATCCCTTAGGCGTGCCAGAAACCTATGATCATGGCTTAACCCCAGGTTCACCCTGATTATAGTTCTAGGTTCGTGAGCTTGTGGGTTTTACAAAAATGGTAAACATCAAAGACCTGCATCACTACAGGTTTTCCTCCTGCATGTAGCTGACACACCATGATATAGCTGTAGTGCTGGTCAAAGTGGCGTCAAACTCACTCACTCATGTCTGTCACAGCTGTTATTGTTCACATAGAAAAAAAATGGTAAGGAAAATTACTGACAACATTTAGTATTTACAGCATCGGTAAACATGTGGTTTTAGATAGACATTCCATTATCATAAATGTAGACATTTGTGGTGACCTTGACATCCTTGCAGGGAAACTTGTTCAGATACTTCCGATATCCTCAGGGTAAGGGACGTTAATACGCAAAATGCGTCTTAATTTATGATTTTGTGTCTATAAATAAAAATTAAGACAATATTTTTTGCGTCTTGCTTTTTTCCGTTTCACAATTGGTTGAGAAATACCTAGATTTCTAAATTCACTGTGATAACTTTTGATTTCGCAAAGATTTTCCTTGATTTGTTTACCTCCAATTTAGAGTTACCTCCTCATTCGCGTTTCCCGGAAAACTTTTACTTCCTTTCTTTCAGTTCAACTTATGTGAACGCAAACTATCCCAAGCTCTTTTTGACCAATGAACATATAGCACAGAGATTAATATTATGCAAATGACGTATGTCTATTTTCGAGAGACCAATCAAATGCCGTAAAAACTATGTCATCGGTAATTTATTCAATTGACCCAAGGTCGTTCCTTTTTTAGATGACATACCATCCTGGAGAGTTAGTTATCTGCTGAAAAACAAGTTCCTGTAAACTGTATCGGTTTTATGACAATCCATGTATATGTGAAAGTATAGGGATGCTATTACACTGAATTACTTAAGTATATAAGTGATTGCTGTTTTCATCCTCTGCTATGTATTATCTCCCCTTATCAATATTCCAGACCAAGCTCCAGGTGCACTGTCTGTCGAACGTGACTGGTGCTATCCACATCGCTGGACTGCAGTGGTATAATGGACTCAACGGATATGTGGAGGCAAACTGCCCATGTTTTGCGCTCTGTTTTGACAATGGTCGCTGTCAGATAATGCGACAGGAAGTAGATGAAAGTAAGTACCAATCAGCCACACACGATTATGTCTAAAATGATGTACAGAATATTGAATAGTAATAATGAAATTCATTATGGATACTAAAGCCAGAAAATGTGTTGTTTATACAAATTCTAATGGTAGGACTAAATGGATTTGCCTCCAGATTGTCTGCGTGTATGATGTGCATCTCCTTGTACAGAGCTGTGCATAATGTGTGAGGCAATACAGGAGCCATGTGTAGTTTTCACAAACAGTGAGAATATTTTGTAATTATTTCTACTGATACAAATTGTGTTTTATGTTACCTGATGCTACACAGTGCTTTGGCTTCCCAACATATACAAACAGACAGTCCTGGAACAGAGAGACGGTTGACACATACTATAAAGCCTGTGCCCGGATACCCCAGAGTTATACACCTTGTCCTGTGCTCCCTCGTATTATTAAAATGACAGACAGGCTAATAAGGAGAACGTTACCTTCAATTTTCTTGGTTTTCTTGAAGTTTTTGTAGTGTTTATCCAGTATATCCTTCCCCAGGAAATATATATATGCTTTTTGCCGTTTATTTATGTAATTTATGGTGCCAAAGTAACTTAACACATCTTCGCATCATGGTCGCCGTCTTGAATTTAACATGTCTTGTGGTTACGAATTGTGCTTTCAAATGTAAATTTTGCTATTGTTTTTACCACTGTTAGTAAATGTCTCATTTATTTTTTTGTTAATAGCTCTTTGGTAACATATTTCCTAGTTTTTAAGCGTAATATGTTTTGTTTCCTGTTTGGCACGCTACATGCTGTGAGTTGTGTTTGGGTGTAGGGTTCACAATGTTCTAGGAACAGGTTTTGTTTTGGTCCTTTTTGCTGGTAAATTTATATACTGCATGTCTTCTATGCAGTACAGTTTGTGTGAACGGCCAACTGTCGAGTTGACCCCATTGACTTTGCCTGTCTTGATGTCCTGCATGTACTTTTGCAATCAATGTCCCGAAAATAAAAATTCTCCGATTTATCAATTGAGGATTTCACGTAATACACTTACAGAAAGGCTATTCTTAGGTGCATGAAACAACTCGTTGAACGGAGAACATGTCAGGTCCCCCTCTCCTCCGTTGCTGACCTGTCATACATTATTTAAGTTCTTCCCTTCTCCTCTTCCAACAACCTCAGCGATTTTTTCCACATTTGTGCCTGCACTCCGGGGCTCACTCCTCAGAAGATGTCCTGTGCTCTGTCTGTATTTTAAACCTACAGCCATCGTGGCCTTCTGGGATCAACTACCCTAATTCGGTCCTGATGACCTGTCACTACCTCACCTTAGCACTGGTTTCGCCAGTGCCTGACTGTAGCCTGACTGTCGCCTGATCGGCGGTCCTGTGCCTCTTCTGACACTTCTCACCGTCGGTTGGTTCCTGTCGCCGCTCATGATCACCTGACGACCACCCTGTTGCCTTCAGGAAGTGATGTTACAAGCTGTTGACAGACCTTCGCCAGCTGTTGCCAGAAGATCGCCACTCATGGCCGATCGCCAGCTATCGCCAGACGATCACCAGCTATAACCAGATTGTCACCTCAACTCATGCTCATGATCGCCGGTGTCGGGACCGTTTGCCTGGTTAGCGCCACACCTCCTTTGCCTCAGATTCCTGGTTGCACCACGGTCTTCCAGATCAGCGCCAGGATAGATTGTCCTCCCCAGTCAGGTGGTGCCAGTCAGACGTCTAACCTGATTGCTATTGCCTTAGTTATGGTCGCCACTCTGAGGATGTACGAGACTTCATTCCTGACCTTGTTGAACTGCTTTCTGTTTGACACCCCATCCCTTGAATATGCCAACCGGGGTTGCTGATCATCTGCCCTGCCCTTTGCTAGGACAAGGCGTTTTTCCCACAGATGGACTGTCCAATTCCTGACTCTGGTGCCGTTTCTCCTACCATGCGACCAGTTGGTCACCAACATCTTGTTCTCCTCAGACAATGCTTTTGCTATTCTTCCCGTCCGACCATCCATTGTTAACTCCTCTCCAGCTGTGGACAACATGCGCTTGCTAATGGGGACTTCCATTCCGAGTTCGTTTCTTCTCATGTCAGAGTCTCATCTTTCCTGCATAGTCTTTGCTCTCCGACGCGTCTTCCAGCCATTATCAGTGGCCGCCTTTGCGTACTAGGCTCTCCAGGACTTCATGTACGTGAATCCTTCAGATGCCAATCAGCAGTTACCTCACCTGGCCACCTATATTCAGTACTCAACTGGGGTCTCATCCACCCGCTTCCTCTGCCATGAAATATCACTCCGGTGTAGGCCACCGTCCTGTAGGTGGGTGACTACCTGATGTTTTTACACAGGAATGTCCCTTTGCTGGTTCCACCATTGCTACTTGCCTGGCTTCCTTCTGCTCCTTGATAGCCTTAGGTACCTGCCTTGCCACAGTGCCAGAACTCTTCACCTTCATCAGGGTTCAATCTGGACACCCAGAAAGAGAAGTTCCGTTCTCCAGCTGAAGACCTTAACAGGATTCCAGGGTTTTATGTCAAGCATCCTAGGATGCACTTGCACCTGCTTCCATTGAGGTTCATTGAGGTTCAACACTTGCCTCCTACTGGCCCTTTGCCATGGTGTCCAGGGTTGGCGATCTTCATGCTCTTGATGTGGCCTGTTGTAGGTTCGACAAGTGGACCCACAGACAAGTCCACATTGGTCTTTCCTGGGATTTCATCGTCAAGCGCCAACTGCTGGGTCAACCTGAATGCACGGCATGACTCGGGCTTATCACTGTAAGCCTGCTTTCCACGTCAGTTGATTAAAGCATGGTGTAGCGTCAGGTAAGGTAAAACATTGGATAAATGCAATGTTTTTATACTTCCCTGATGCTACACCTTCATGCCTACCCGGACTTCGTCTGGCTCCTCCGCCTTACCCTTCCGGCACCACTGTCTACACTGTGCCTGCTGCCATACAGTGAAGGATATGAGGGGGCATGGGCCGAGGTGGATAACTCTGGGGTATTGGGGCATGGGGTATATAGTCTGTTTCAACTGTCTCTCTGCGCCAGTACTGTCTGCTGGTAAAGGTGGGGAAGCTAAAGCACTGTGTAGTATAAATCTATGAAAACATGCAATTATCCCAAAATGCTCATTTTTAACATGGGACTGTCAACTCCACATGCAACTTATGTAGAATTTTCATACCTTTGAACTAGGATAAGAATGTTATTTAGGTCATCTCATTTCTTCCATCAAATGTGCCAGTGGTATCAAATCTTCTAAAGCATACATTTCTGTGTTATCCTGTTATATCTTCATGATATTGTTGTGAACTTTCTCGACACAGTCGTTACCAAACCTTCATTTGGAAAGTAACGCCACAATCTCCATCAGAATTTCCCCCACATGAGTATAATGCGACTGGACATGCATTTTATTGTCATATAATTCAAATAATCAAGGACAATATCAGATGTAACTTCATGTAAGCATACATTGTGTTTGATACTGGTCTTGTACTAAGCAAGAATTGCTGACAATGTTTTTGTGTTGCAGATCCTATCCTGATCGACACTGGTATGCATGTAGCTCAGATAGGTTGGAACCACTCGGGGAATGTGCTGGCGGTAGCTGGCTCCCAGCATGCCATGGGACAAGATAAGGAAGTCAATGTTGTGCAGTTCTACACACCGTTTGGAGAGGTAGATGTCATGTCTTTACAATCCATTGTGTTAATACATAACATTTCAAATAAATTTGTTAATGTTAGGATTGAAATTGTACTTAATCATATTTATTGTGTTTATTTACATTTCACATTGATTAATTGTTTTGTAATTTTTTAACAATTTTAGTTTTCATACAAATTTTATACATGTGTGATCAAAGTTAATTCATAATGCCTGGCAATAGGTATGTTTGCAAACGATAATTCTATATATATTAAATCGGTTAATGATTGTACAACATGGTGCATTATAAACAAAAAACTAGTTGTAGGCCTATGTCAAACTGTTTTGAACTGCAGACAGTTTCATTGTGCTTCCCTGACTGTTGGCAACTGTTTGATTGTCATAAAATATAGTTTTGCGTTACTTTGTAAAGTCATTTCACCCAGACATCCAGGACGAAACATTTAATTCACTTTGCAGAGTTGAGTCCCTTAGATGTGCCTGGAACCTATGATCATATGTTTGAATCCCAGATTCACCCTGATCCTGTTTCAAGGTTTCTCAGCACCAAGAGTGGTGAACCTCTAAGACCTGCTAAGTGCATCAGTTCTGGCTTTCCTCCCACATCAAGCTGACATGCTGTGGCATATCGTAATCTTATACTGTTACAGCGTTGTTGAACCCAATCACTCACTCACTTATCCAGCCTGTGTAGTGACATATCTGGGTTTGTAATGAATAAGAAAATGATATGTGATGGGTATTTGCAGCACCTGCGGACACTGAAGGTTCCCGGCAAGCAGATGTACGCCTGCTCCTGGGAGGGAGGCAGCTTGAGGATAGCACTGGCTGTCGACTCCTTCATCTACTTCGCCAACATCAGACCCGACTACAAGGTCATTCAATCAACTCTTTTTCCCACTGAGAATCTTATGTTGATCTGTTTCTTTCAATTTATTTAGATTATCATGTTTATGGATTAACTTCCCCAAAAGTTACATATGCAAAATATATTTAAGTTTGGAGAACACTCTTCTACTTCTTGTCTGTGTCTGGTAACTGAAGGGAAGTTTGTTAATTTTACAATAGCCAATGTAAACATGCATTTAGAAATCATCCTCGTCTTAAAATGTACAAATAAACAATGGGGTAAATAAAGCCATGTGTATCAGAACAGCAATATACCTGTAAGAATAAGCATGATGTAAGACTTTTGTGCCTAGTTCACTGTAATGAATAGATAACACTTTTTATGGGTAGCATCTTCTTTTCTCCTTTGTCACAACATTTCAGAGCTACTTCGTGCTCCTTCATCAGGTGAGGCGGTCGGGTAGCCTAGTGGTTTAAGCGTTCGCTCGTCACGCCGAAAACCTGGGTTCGATTCCCGACATTGGTACAATGTGTGAAGCCCATTTCTGGTTTCCCCCGCCGTGATATTGCTGGAATATTGTTAAAAGCGGCGTAAAACCATTCTCACTCACTCACTCATCAGGTGAATGATTCATCAGGTGACAAAGAATAAAAGAAGTTACGTTCCATAAAAAATGTGATGTATTTATGTTCTCCCAACTATTAATGCATATCAAAGACTTCATTCACTTTTTGAGTTTATGAGTAGGTCATGCCTGCATTCAATTAATAAAGAACCATAACAGAACACACAGATGCACAATCAGAAATGGCTACTTTCGGTAATTACTTAGTGTTGTTATCCTGTTGTTTATAATCATGCATATTCATATACATGTACATAGAACTCAAAAGTAACTGGCTATTGGTGATATATTTTGCATGTTTTATGCAGATATGCTCTGATATTTCCCATTCTTGGTCAGGATGTTGGACATATGTGTGTTATATATAATGGAGCTGTATGTGTGTGTAATAGTGGGGGTACTGCTCAAACACTGGTGTGTTATATATGATGGAGCTGTGTGTGTGTGTTGTAGTGGGGGTACTGCTCCAACACTGTGGTGTGTTATATATGATGGAGGTGTGTGTGTGTTGTAGTGGGGGTACTGCTCAAACACTGGTGTGTTATATATGATGGAGCTGTGTGTGTGTGTTGTAGTGGGGGTACTGCTCCAACACCGTGGTGTGTTATATATGATGGAGGTGTGTGTGTATGTGTTGTAGTGGGGGTACTGCTCAAACACTGGTGTGTTATATATGATGGAGCTGTATGTGTGTGTAATAGTGGGGGTACTGCTCCAACACTGTGGTGTGTTATATATGATGGAGCTGCGTGTGTGTTGTAGTGGGGGTACTGCTCCAACACTGTGGTGTGTTATATATGATGGAGCTGTATGTGTGTGTAATAGTGGGGGTACTGCTCCAACACTGTGGTGTGTTATATATGATGGAGCTGCGTGTGTGTTGTAGTGGGGGTACTACTCCAACACCGTGGTTTGTTATATATGATGGAGGTGTGTGTGTTGTAGTGGGGGTACTGCTCCAACACTGTGGTGTGTTATATATGATGGAGGTGTGTGTGTATGTGTTGTAGTGGGGGTACTGCTCCAACACTGTGGTGTGTTATATATGATGGAGCTGTGTGTGTGTGTTGTAGTGGGGGTACTGCTCCAACACTGTGGTGTGTTATATATGATGGAGCTGTGTGTGTGTGTTGTAGTGGGGGTACTACTCCAACACCGTGGTTTGTTATATATGATGGAGGTGTGTGGGTTGTAGTGGGGGTACTGCTCCAACACCGTGGTGTGTTATATATGATGGAGGTGTGTGTGTGTTGTAGTGGGGGTACTGCTCCAACACTGTGGTGTGTTATATATGATGGAGCTGTGTGTGTGTGTTGTAGTGGGGGTACTACTCCAACACTGTGGTGTGTTATATATGATGGAGGTGTGTGTGTGTGTTGTAGTGGGGGTACTGCTCCAACACTGTGGTGTGTTATATATGATGGAGCTGTGTGTGTGTGTTGTAGTGGGGGTACTACTCCAACACTGTGGTGTGTTATATATGATGGAGCTGTGTGTGTGTGTTGTAGTGGGGGTACTACTCCAACACCGTGGTGTGTTATATATGATGGAGGTGTGTGTGTGTGTTGTAGTGGGGGTACTACTCCAACACTGTGGTGTGTTATATATGATGGAGCTGTGTGTGTGTGTTGTAGTGGGGGTACTGCTCCAACACTGTGGTGTGTTATATATGATGGAGCTGTGTGTGTGTGTTGTAGTGGGGGTACTACTCCAACACTGTGGTGTGTTATATATGATGGAGGTGTGTGTGTGTGTTGTAGTGGGGGTACTGCTCCAACACTGTGGTGTGTTATATATGATGGAGGTGTGTGTGTGTGTTGTAGTGGGGGTACTGCTCCAACACTGTGGTTTGTTATATATGATGGAGGTGTGTGTGTTGTAGTGGGGGTACTGCTCAAACACTGGTGTGTTATATATGGTGGAGGTGTGTGTGTATGTGTTGTAGTGGGGGTACTGCTCCAACACCGTGGTGTGTTATATATGATGGAGGTGTGTGTATGTGTTGTAGTGGGGGTACTGCTCCAACACTGTGGTGTGTTATATATGATGGAGGTGTGTGTGTTGTAGTGGGGGTACTGCTCCAACACCGTGGTGTACTCTTTCACCAAGCCGGACAGACTGGAGCACTGCGTCATCTTCTGGGACACAAAGAACAATGAGGTAAAACCAAGAAAATAGATTGCCTCCCCTTATAAATAATTAAACTAATTGCCTGATTAATTATAAAATAGTATTACCTGTTGGGTTCTGCTCAGGGGTATGTACAGTAAACTATGGTTATAACAAACTCAAAGGGACCACTTATGTTAATTCATTATAACCGTTGTTCGTTATAAGCATATGTACAATTCATATACAGCAAATGGACGGGACGAAGAAATAGTTCGTTATATCTGTCATTTCATTGTGTGTTTGTTTTAAATGTAGTTTACTGTATTTTTATTGTGACCTGTATTTTCAGAAATATGTGAAGTATGTAAAGAATCTCATTGCTGTGACAGCCTTTGGAGATTATTGTTGCTTGGCAACTAAAGCTGACGAGATGGTAGGCCAGGTATGTAGACTGTAATTAACGTATTACATGATGATTATTTTATTGTTCGATCTTATAAATATGTTTTTGTGCACAGTCTTATTTCTGATTTGTGCTTTACGTTTGTTTAAACAATTGTGTGGCAGCAGAGATCAAGCGTATAAGATAAAGGGACATAATAATTACTTATCTCCCCTTGATGAATGAATTATTTGTATCATGATGGATCCACAGGCATATAATGATGAGCATGGTATATTGACTTAACAAAGGGGGACATCAATAGTCAACTCTCTTCTACCCTCAGTATGTGTTGGTTCTGTGCAACTCTATCGGCACCCCACTGGACTCCAAGTACATAGAGATGGACCCCATGTACCTGACAATGACCAAGACTCACATCATCACAGCATCGAAGGAGGCCTTCTATACCTGGCAGTTCAAGAACCCCAAGAAACTGGCCACCCTGGAGATGGCCACAAAGAGGAAGGCAGGCTCAGAGAGGTGAGACATGCCGGAGAATGACGATGATGTAGAGGGTCACATGCAGAGATGCTAACCATGATGATTAAAGCTACTTAACAAATATGTGGCAAAGATGAGGAGGAGAATGTCAACACCATGTTCACAGTTGTTATCAACATGATCAATGATTATGTGAATTGATATTCATACATATATCATCATCATCATCATCATCATCATCATCATCATCATTATTATTATTGGTGGTGGTGATATTATTTTTTTTAAATTATTATTATTATTATTATTATTATTATTATTATTATTATTATTATTATTAACAGTAGATGGTTTGAGATCATTTAAGGGGCATGTGAGGCCCACTCGTTTAAGAAGCTGGCAGTGCTTTGCAGAGTTTCACCACTTTTTGTTGGATCTGGGGTCAAGTCCCAGTTTTGCCTTGATCATGATTCTTGGTTTGTCTGCACCATACCCGTGCTCATGAGTTTCACCAAATTGGACATGTAGAAAACCTACACCTCTCTCTCACTTTGAAACCATGTTGAATTGGAGCCACATAACTTTCTGGACTAGCTCGAAGGACAGGACATGACACACTTCAAGTAGTTACCAAGGTTATCTGATAAAGGATATTGTGCTCATATTGACATTGTACTTTTATTGTTTCCTTGCATGCTGTTCAGCATTTATCATATTATCCTGTAACAACTTGTGAATCACACAACGTGACTGATCATTGAGAAAATCTACAGCGACACAGAATCTGTCATTTTGTCCAACAATTGTCAATTTTGTCAAACTAAAGCAATAGATGTTATTCAGAAAACAATACGTGTTGTTCAGGCCATCTTTCAGGAAACTATCTTTGAATATAATAGATGAAAATTGACAGAATAAGTTTTGATTGAATAAGTATGTCTGACGTGGTCACTCCTAGTGTGGAAAATATCATGTACAGTCAAGCCCTGTTGTTTCAAACTCCTGGAGACCAGAAAAATAATTCCACTTATCAGGAGTTTGAACCACTTTGTGGAGATCTTTCAGATAAAGCTTTTTCATATTAATACTTTTCTTGGATTACAATTTGTTTGGAAGTTTTGGGGCATTCAGGATTAGGTGGGGTTGGGACATGTAATGTCAATCTCTCTCATGATTGTTAGGTGCATGTGTTTCTCCGCTCTGGTGTATTGTGAATGTTAGGAACTTCCTATTAATTTCAGACTGTACCACATTGATGACATGCCATCTGGAACAGCTCCACAAGAGGATGTAGATTTCAGCAAGGCTTTCACTGTGAGTATATTGTCAATCTGTACACTCTATCTGAATTGGTTGTTTTGTCTCAACATTTTATCTTGGATCATTCATAGGGGCAAGGGTGGCCTAGCTGTCTAATTAAAGGGGCTGCAAGTCGTTGAGCAGAGTTACCTTGACCACTTTCACCTAAGTGGTAAGTTACCTGCGTCACTTCGGGCGTTCCTCCCACACCAAGCTGGCTCGCCGTGATATTACTGAAATACTGTTTAAAGTGGCGTATACCCTACTCAGACTCAGTTGTTGCCATGGCTACCGGTGCTCTTATGTGATAAATTAACTTAAGCATCTATATTGTCTTCAAACGCAACATTTCAATAGAAACTGTTTATTGAACATTCAGCTTAGATTCCACTCTGGGAATCTGGGGTTTACAAACCACCACGATACAGCTGGAATAATCCTGGCCATAGTGTAAAACAACATTCACTCACTCACTCCACTCTAGGGGCCGGTCGGGTAGCCTAGTGGTTAAAACGTTCGCTCGTCACGCCGAAGACCCGGGTTCGATTCCCGACATGGGTACAATGTGTGAAGCCCATTTCTGGTGTCCCCCACCGTGATATTGCTGGAATATTGCTAAAAGTGGCGTAACACTATATTCACTCACTCACTCCACTTTAGCCTTCGTAGCTTTGATTACTATCACATGTATGAATTTTTATTAAGATAGTTTTCTAGTCTTCATAAAAATAAAGCATGTGTTTTATTTGCACTGAAGATGCTGAAAGGACGACTCCAGGTATACTCTAAATACCTTTCATTTTATTTTATTTTTGTGGACTTAGTGGTTTATGTGTCTTGTTGGGTAGTGAAGTTTCACATCACATAGAATGATTTGGTTTTAGCTTACTTGGTGGAGAAAGAAAGCTTGCATGCTTTTAACACATTCTGATATTTTTTCACATTTTCATTTTATGAGTACATGTATACTTTTATGAGTGATATGACTCAGCATGCATTACATGATCATTAAAAATATGTAACACGTTTAAAATCATCTCAACAGATTGATTTATTATGATGAAAATAGCTTCAAACCTCTTTGCAAATAGCTTCAGCGTTCATAGATAAATTTTACTAAATTTAGGTTTAAATTATTTTGTATTGACACCCATATGAAAATATAATTAATTATTTGTGATAAACTATTTAATAAAGTTTGTCATTGAAATAAGTTGGTGTTTTCAGTGTAACTGGTAAAACCTAAACAGAATCCTTCAAAGAACGACATGGCTGTTATCCTCCACCCAACCGTGATGGTGAGGGATACAGAAATGGGTTCTGCCTGTCACGTTTCGTTTCCGGAGCAGAACTCGGAAACCAGATAACTGTACAAAACTTGGTACACACATTCACCATATGGTGTAGAGGTGCCTTTTGGTATTTAGGTTTCCCCTTCATTTTTAATAGGGGCGGTCGGGTAGCCTAGTGGTTAAAGCGTTCGGGTAGCCTACTGGTGAAAGCATTCGCTCGTCACGCCGAAGACCTGGGTTCGATTCCCCACATGGGTACAATGTGTGAAGCCCATTTCTGATGTCCCCCGCTGTGATATTGCTGGAACATTGCTAAAAGCTGCATAAAACCATACTCACTCACTCATTTCTAATATATTTTATTTAAATTTTTGAAATTTGGACTTAGTCTCTGAACTGAATGGAAGCAGTGGGTTTCATTTCCAGAGCAGAACTCAAAAACTATTAGAGATAACTTTATGAAACTCTGTACACACATCCACCATATAGTGCAGCACTATGTGCCTTTTGCTATTTATGATTCCCTCGAATGTTTCTTTTGTTTTATATAAAGTTTTGAAGTTTTGACATAGTTCCTTAATTGAATGCAAGCAGTGGGTTTCATTTCCAAGGCTGAACTGGATCATTATTTTAGAGATATCTTTAAGAAACTTGGTAAACACATTCACCATATTGTGTAGATGTGCCCATTGCTATTTATGATTCCTCCCAATTATTTTGTTATTAAATAATTTTTATTAATTTCGACTTGAATTGAATTGAATGGAAGCAATCTTAACAATTTTACCTCAGTTCTGTTTTGTACTTCTCCTAGAACTTTGTAGAATAACAGTCTAAGTCTTTGTTTTCAAAGATCTTAAAATTATGTTTTATTTTCTTATTTCCATATATGGAACAGCGGTAGACACTGCAAGAATCAAAGCTATAAACTGATTCATAGTAGATGTAACTTTTGTACCTTATGTGTACTGTGTACCTTACTTTGGTAACTGCCTGTAGAGGTTAGGGCTGCAGCAATACCTGCCTGTATAAGGCTCTACAATACAATTCATGATATCTAAATGAGTGAATTGTACAGTGCTCAAGGATACAAACTATTCTTAGGCTTCACATACTGGAAGGTGATTATAGCCTTTGTTTATCATTACAGTCTTACTAAGGCAGATATTCGTACAAAGTTTTAAGGAGATGTCAGACAGTAGCTTTTGTATTCAACCTCTTCCGGGGCGGTCAGGTAGTCTAGTGGTTAAAGCGTCCGCTCGTCATGCCGAAGATCCGGGTTCGATTCCCGACATGGGTACAATGTGTGAAGCCCATTTCTGGTGTCCCCCGCGGTGATATTGCTGGAATATTGCTAAAAGCGGCGTAAAACCATACTCACTCACTCACTCACTCAACCTCTTCCACAAGCAGGTTGACAAACTTATAATGGACAATGTCACGTTTGATTGCACTATCATTATCACTGATATTGATGACTTTGTCTTCTTGTTAAATTTTGCATTTTACATAGCCTATGCAGTACAATGATACAGTTCCTCTTAGCTTAGCTGAAGGAGTCATTGTGTTTTATGGAATATTTCAGATCCTATTAGTTTGTCTGTACACTTGAAGACAGAAATTGATTCACCATTAGTTGTTGAAAAGTCATCTGATTTGATGGGTCAGACTGAACACAATTTTAGTGGGGGCATGGGTGGCCTAGTCGTCTAAGGCGCCGCGATTCGCTGTGCAGAGTTGCATCCCTTGGGCATGCCAGAAACCTATGATTGTGGGTTCGAATCCCCGTTCGCCCCAATAATGTTTCTAGGTTGTCAAAACCATACCCGTGCTCGTTGGTTTCACCGAAGTGGTTAACGTCTGATACCTGTATCACTTCGGGCTTTCCTCCCACATTAAGCTGACACGCCGTGATATAACCGGAATACTGTTAAAAGTGGCATTAAACCCAACTCACTCACTCACTCACAATTTTAGTCGGACACACCTGTGTACATCTCTCTGGGGAATGTGACCTCTGTCCACTAAACAATCATAGTACTGCAGTGAGTGTTGGGTTTTGGTTCAAATCATGTAGTCCTTGGTTGCAAAAAAGCAATCAATTAATGATTGATGATCAGTTAACAATGAGAATGGAAATATACAAGAGCATTCTTTTTTAGTATTCTTTAAGACTTATGTCTAATAACATTGCAGATAATAGTTCAATTTGTAATAGTATTTTACTGTGGAACACATCTATTAGGGAACAATGAAACTGCAACAGGCCTTGTCTGTTATAACATTTGTGAGTTATGATTTCAGTAAAATGAAGTAATATCAATGGACAGTGTTCAAAGTGAATTGGTTGATTCCTGTGATTAAAACTGAAACTAATCAGTCATCAATGAAAGGATTAACTATGACTGTAATGGAAGTACGGGTGGTCCAGTCATCTAAGCCGCAGCAATTTGTTGTGCAGTTGTGTCCCTTGACCAGAAACCTATGATTGTGGGTTCGAATCCTGGTTTGCCCTGATAATGTTTCTAGGTTTGTCAGCACCATAACTGTGCTCGTGGGTTTCATCAAAGTGGGTAATGTCCGTGACCTGCATTATTTCGGGCTTTCCTTCTATATTAAGCTGACACTCCCTGATATAACTGGAATACTGTTCAAATCATGTTAAAACCATCTCACTTGCTCACATACTGAAGATGAAAAGGTTGTAGTGTTAAGAATGTTTTTTGAACTGGGACTAGACACTTAGGCACACAGCATGAGTGAGTGAGTGAGTGAGTGAGTGAGTGAGTTAGGTTTAACGCCACTTTTAACAGTATTCCAGTAATATCGCGGCGTGTCAGCTTAATGTGGGAGGAAAGCCCGAAGTGATGCATGTCTCAGACGTTTACCACTTCAGTGAAACCCACGAGTATGGGTATGTTGCTGACAAACCGTAGAAACATAATTGGGGCGAACCGGGATTCGAACCCACAATCATACCTTTCTGGCATGCCCAAGGGTTGCAACTATGCATAGCGAATCGCGGTGCCTTAGACGACTGGGCCACCGTGCTCCCCACACAGCATGAATCCCATGTGGGAATACATATGCAAGATTTGACTGGAGCACTGCTTGTTGGCTGCTTGCATGACGTTGATGGAATGAAACATAAGATGGTTTAAAGACTGTTGGTTTTAATTACTAGTTATGTTTCTAAGGCTTAAGTTAAACCTTAGAGCAGTGGTTTTGGGTTTTGGACCAACACTTTTTCAAATGAATTGCCAGGACATTTAAATGTTTCAACCCTTATGATGCATGCGTGTTTGAAAAATTGAGTTAAACTTACCAACAATGCATATTTATTGGTTTATGTTTTTTAACAAAATGGTTTATGGGAATGTCACCACTAATATTTTCATTGTTTATATTTTCAACATAATTAAGCAGAAGTGATTACATATTTCAAGCATTTATAAGACCTTTACCTGGTTTGATTCATGTAGGTTTGGATGAGGACCGTCATTGTTTGAAATGATGTGACTTTGTGTGTATATTCCAGGGTACCGAGGATCCAATCTGCTGTATATCTGCTTCGGACAAAACTCTGTTTGTTGTAAGTATAACCATGATGACAGTTTATTATTTTTATCAGTAATTAAGAATTTGAATTAAGTAATTAATTGCTTGGAATAATTTATACATATGTAGCAGGATTGCACTCCTACACCAGTTGCTAGATCACTAGCTACGTCTAGTGATCTTAGTGCTAAGACAGTCCTAACTCCTACACTTTATCATAGACTTACAACAACTGCTTTGTGCAAAGGGGCACTGGAGTGTGGACCTAAGTTCGTCCCAGACCTGGGGACACTCCTACACCAGTTGCTAGATCACTAGCTACGTCTAGTGATCTTAGTGCTAAGACAGTCCTAACTCCTACACTTTATCATAGACTTACAACAACTGCTTTGTGCAACGGTGCACTGGAGTGTGGACCTAAGTTCGTCCCTGACCTGGGGACACTCCTACACCAGTTGCTAGATCACTAGCTACGTCTTGGAATATGGGCCAAAATCCAAACTTAGATGTGTATGATATCCTATTGACTTCTTCTGACCCGTGAAGATGCGGGGTAGAATAGGTCTTCAGCAACCCATGCTTGCCATAAAAGGAGACTATGCTTGTTGTAAAAGGCTACTAACGGGATCGGGTGGTCAGGCTCGCTGACATGGTTGATGCAGGTCATCGATCCCAATTACATGGATCGATGCTCATGATATCAATCACTGGATTGTCTGGTCCAGACTCGCTTATTTTACAGACCGCCGTCATATAGCTGGAATATTGCTGAGTGCGGCGTAAAACAACAAACCAACCAACCAACCTATTGACTTCAAAGTTGTGAGCTGAAAGCAGTGACCAAGGTCTGAATAAGTAAGATATTCATGCAGTAAGCATGCTTGGTATAAGGCGGTACTAATAGTGTTAAAATTAGCAAGGCTATGTGTTAAAATTTGGTGACTCTAACTGTGACTGAGAAAGCAGTTATTTAGCTACATGACTTATAGTACGCCCACTAAAGCCCTAAGACTAAGATAATAATGAACTTTACATGTCATATACAAGAAATACATCTGTCACTGCCACACTTTTAAAGATGTGTTACAATTTCAATATTGATTGTGAATAGTGTGTGATGCAGCAGCAGGTTTATCATCTTGAACATTGTCTTGCCAGGGGAGGGAGTCCGGGACCCTGAACCGCTACTCCATGCCCATGCTGGCTCTCACACACAAGTACGCCTTGAACTGCCGACCTCACCAGCTGGCTCTCAACTGCACCTCCAGGTTAGTAGACTCATGTCATACCTCATGGGGAACAAACAAACAAACAAACAAACAAACAAACAAACATACCTCATGGGACTTCTGGTTTGGAATAGGTCCTATACTGACTTTATGTATCGAATGGTCAGATTTGCTCATTTGGTTGATCATATGCCATATGGATCATTGCTTATAATATAAATCACTGGTTTGTCTGGTGTAGACTAGATTAGCAGCAGCCTGTAGGGGGCACGGGTGGCTGAGTCGTCTAAGGCGCCGCGATTCGCTGTGCAGAGTTGTGTCCCTTGGGCGCGCCAGAAACCTATGATTGTGGGTTCGAATCCCCGTTCGCCCCAATTATGTTTCTAGGTTTGTCAGCACCATACCCATGCTCGTGGGTTTCACCGAAGTGGTAAACGTCTGAGACCTGCATCACTTCGGGCTTTCCTCCCACATTAAGGTGACACGCCGTGATATAACTGGAATACTGTTAAAAGCGGCGTTAAACCCAACTCACTCACTCACTCACTCACTCACAGCAGCCTGTAAATACTCCTGTCTGACCACCCATTTTAGTTGCTTATGGGCCTGTCTGGAAGGTTACAGGGATCAATTCTACTGTACTCTCTAAACTACTTTAAATGTACCAGAACAACAAGGACATTAACCAACAGATTTTATGACAATAAATGTTTTTCTTTTCTTTCAGCCCCAAATACATCCTCAGTTACCTAGTGTATTATATCTTCATTCTATTGTGATAAATACGCCAGACCCATATGACACCATAGCTTCGTTCAGGAAGTGGCATCACCATCTCAGTCTCCTGTCAATAGCCTCGCACAGAACTTCTCTCACTGATGGTGTAATTGAGTGGACAGCTATTTGTTTAATCACCTGTTTCAAATCGACCCAAAAAGAAGCTATGTTGTTGAAAGGGTCCAGGGTACCGTATTCGACGTAATAAGCGCCCCGCTCTAATAAGCGCCCATGGCAATATTTGCTAATATATTGGCTAGTGAACAATCCCAATTAGCACCCCTTCCAATTGATCAATGTAAACAAGACTTATTTATTCGCGTATAATATGTGTGTTATATGCACCCTTAATCACGGGAAATTAAATTCTGGAAAAACATACCTGTTGTATGTAAACATTTCAGGCTGTCAGCCAAAACCATGAAATTTATGATCTTTCAACTCTGTTGTTTTTCACCAAAATAATATTCTAATAAGAGCCCCCTATTTCTAATTTTGAGAGCGCCCTGGGTGCTTATTATGTCAAATACAGTATTTATCTTAACAGGATGAAAATACATGTATAATACCCTGGGTAATTGAGATGTCCTAACTACTGAAAATAACACTGTCAAAATATCTACCTACATGTATATCCAGTTTGTGTGTGATGTTGAGAGTTATTCCCTGTGTTTCTGTAGCCGGCTCGCCATCATCGATATTGCTGGTGTGCTGACCTTCTTTGACCCAGACACACGGGTGACGGATGAAGATGGGCGGGAAGTTGTTGGGGAGCATCTCAAATTTGAGAGAAAGGATGTGTGGGACATGCGATGGGCTGAGGTGAGGTCTTTGTTACAGTGGTCCACAGTAGTTAAGTTACAGTGATTATACTTCACAATTCCAGATTGCTGTCCTTGAGGTATAGCTAGGATAGCATTTGAATCAATTCAATTCCATTTCCAATATTACTTAAGGAATACTACAATAGGCCATCAATCATTTTAGGATTATTTTTTTTTCATTTTTGCATTTTTTGGGAGCAACCATTTGAGGGATGGAGGACTTTGGTTTGAGATAAGCCTTTTTTTTATTAAATATTTAGGTACTCAATTATGTTTGGTTATCTATTAAACAAATCAATGTGTCTTATGTAAGATATACTCTAACATCATGTCATATCCAGGACAACTCCGAGCTGTTTTCTATGATGGAGAAGACAAGGATGTACATCTTCAGGAATCTGGACCCAGAAGTGAGTTCCCTGCTGCCTGAGACCTGGTCCGTGGGGTTGATGTTTGGGAAGTTTTAACATTTTTGGATGTCTGCTGGTCCCACTTGCACAAAGCGATCTTAGCGCTACAACTATTGTAAGCCTATGTTAAAGTATAGGAGTTGTGCAAGTGGGCCCAGGTCTCTACTCAGAGCATATAACTTTTCTGAGATAGGTATTTATAAATCTTGATGATTAACTCAAACTTTCCAATTGAAAAAAGGAAGGGTTAGTCTGAATTCTTATGCACTAGGCACTCTTAATAACTACCCTGCCAAATTCCCATTTTTACTATAGAGGCCAAAAGGGAAATCACTCACCATTTTAAGTTTTCTATCATAGTATAATTATAAGTATTTATCATTTTGAAATATTTAAACCACATTTGGATAAACATTCATCTGTAAGAAAACATGTTAATGGGCTTATTGTATTGTGAATGGAAAAAAAATATGCACATTTACATATCTCCCTAAATTTCTAAAGTGCAGCGATGTTTCCATCATAATGGGTGTGATTAGACACAATGAATCAAGTCTAGGGACCTACTCTTATCTAGAATATCCATGGCTTATGAAGGTATTGATAAGGCTTGAGAACATTAGTACCGGTAATATGTATGCACTTAAATACAAATAACTCAGTTGTCATGCAAAGTGCAGACCACTAGGAAATACAGCTTTACCCACATGATGTTTTTGTGACGATGTTGATGATGATTCCAGGAGCCGATCCTCTGCAGCGGCTACATCTGCCAGTTCAATGACCTCCAGATCAAGTCCGTGCTGCTGGATGAGATCATGAAGGACCCAGAGAACCCCACCAAGGAGGAGATGGTGGAGATGGAGATCAAGGTACAAAGTCACTTGTGGACATCTTTCAGTGGCATTTAGAAGTTGGTGTGATGAAATAAGACGAGTTCTATGGATGAACAACTTCTTTATTACAATTAGAGCGACATTTCGGTGAAGATCCTAACACCTTCATCAAGCAAGCACCACTTGCTTGATAAAGGTGTTAGGATGTACATCGAAACGTCGCTCTAATTGTAATAAAGAAGTTGTTCATCCATAGAACTCGTCTTACTTCACTTGTGGACACACTGAAGAAAGTTAGTTAGACTATGTTGGCTAGCACTGTGGGCAGGTAGCTGTGGCTAACTCATTTGTTTGGCATTTGATATCTATTTCTTTATGTGGAACCACTAGGGGCTACAGATTGATCTGTTAGAAAAGTTTGCACTGTAGGATATTCAGCAAATTTCTGTGTCTTCAATTGGCTACAAATCATAAAACGACATACCAAGCTCTTCCGTAATCACTGCCCACAAATCTGTGTATTTGTTTTTAATCAAGTAAACTATCAATGAGGATTCCCTTTAGAAAAGTAATAACAGGTACATATTTTGGGACCACCTCCATGGTCTTGTGGTAGAACGTCCGCCTGGAAAGTGGAAAGTCAGGGCTTCGATCCCTGGCTGCGTCATACCAAAAGACTTTAAAAGATGGTACTTGTTGTTACCCTGCCTCACGCTTGGCATTAAGGGGCTAAAACAAGGACTGGTCGGCTCAGTCAGTATACTGTGTCTGCGTGGGGTATTCATGTTAAACTGTGGCATGGTATCTCAGTGTTCATTTATTACAAGGGGGTCAGGGGTCTTGATGCACTAATGTACTGACATTACCTCCCCTAATGCTTGTCATATCTTGGAATGACCCTCCCCATGTCCTTGTACTTTCTTTAATGACCCTGACAAAAAGAAAAAGTGCAACAGAACTATATTCTATTATAAGATGTCCTTTTTCTCATGACCCTCCCCAAATGTGTGTAATATTTTATGACCTTCTCCTAGAGACTGTTATATTTTTTAGGGATCCTTCCTTATTCCCTTTGACCCACCACCCCTATGATAAATGACCAGTCCCTAAGTGCTCAGTTTTGTCATACTTTGCTATTCCTTGGTAACACACTCAAATAGGGCTAGAGTTTACTTCTGCTGCCATCCTCAAAGAACTTGTTACAAAATTTGCAATCATTTTGAATACCAATGGTACACAAGCTTTGAGTATCTAGTCAAAGCAAATCGTACACCAAGGTACATTCAGTTGATTTTTTCATCCAAAGATTCAAGATATGAGTCAGTGAATAGGTATGAATGATGTTGATTGCAGTCACTCCGAGACACCCGTGACTTGCTGGAGAAAGTGGGTATAGCTGATGCGCAACAGTTTATAGAAGACAACCCTCATCCCAGGCTGTGGTAGGTAGCAGCTTCTGTCCATCTAAACTAGGTGCCTCTGTGCAGAGTTGTGTCCCTTAAGTGTGCCAGAATCCAATGATTGTGTTTTTGATAATGATAATGAATCTTCATTTGCTAGCCCAATACCACACTGTAAACATTAAGTGGTGAACATCAAAGACCTACATCACTTCACTGAATACTGTTCAAAGCTGCGTTAAAACCGAACTACCTCAACCCTGTCTTTGGTCACTCCAACTGCATTCTATTTGTCAAATTACTAGTATATTAATATATTGTTCAGTCTGGCAATGATAGATTTATTTAGGGCACTGCCTTTTGGAAAGTTAATTAATCAGTAAGGAAAGATAATCAGTAACGTCTTTTACGTAGCTCAAAGATCACTCTTTAAATAGTGAGGAATTATGGACTATCTGTTGAGGGAATTAGAAATTTGTAATTTTGTTAGTCCAATGTATTGGCAAGGAACTTTGAACATTGTTTCATGAGGGACAGATACTCCGTAATTCTGAGTAGCGGGGACATCATTCTTTTGTCTTTTTTCTGAGTACATGTAGAAAAATGTGGACTTCCTAATTACAGTTGGAAACATAAGCTCAGAAGATGTCACATAAAAACATAAGTGATGTCATCAACGATGGATGCCATCATCTTTAATTATTTGAGACGATGTTGTTTTGAGATGACAACATGTTGTTGCTATGGGCAGTTTCCTAATAAGGAAAACAATGGAACAGTGTAAACTAGCCAATCAGCATGTAGCACAAAATATAATGATCAGTGACAATTACTAAAAATAATTGCACCGTTGTGTTTGAATCTGGGAGTAAATAGTGCTGGTACGATACACCAACTGATACGTATCACGATACTTTGCTCATGATCCGATATGTATCACATGTGCTCTTATCATCTAAGCCATCTTTTTAATAGACAGGATGGACAAATACGTGGCACACTAACGATTTACTATTTACGCTTACACTACTCAGTTACACTAGTAATTAGTGTTAAGAATACATTTAAGGTAAGAATCAATACTTTTTACTAAGTGCGATTGTGATCGATACTTGTATCAAGAAGTAAAAAAATGCTTTCCACCGATGCATCGTTCTCCCCACTACTAGGGGTAATATTCCCTAATTATTTTGTCCAGGCGGCTGTTGGCGGAGAGCTCTCTAGAGCAGCTCAATCTGAAGGTGGCAGAGACGGCCTTTGTCAAGTGTAAGGACTTCCAGGGCATCGAGTTTGTCAAGCGACTGGGAAACTTACAGGTACCTATTTTCTACTTTCTCAGCACGAAGTGTCTCAGATATAACTTATTTACTGACTTTGAGAAACTGTTCTCTGTTCAGCCCTGTGTTCAATCTGGGACATAAATGGGTATGTTAAACTCACAATAAGGCAGCAAAATTGGGCATTGTGTGGACACAATGGCTGCCGAGTGTGACTAGTATATACCATTGTGACTTCCTGTGAAGTTCAACATTCAGTACAGACATGACTGTATGTGTGGCATCAATTGACTGATTATCACACACTGGTTTGTCTGGTCCAGACTTGATATGAATATTGTTATTGAACTAGTTCTTCATCACCATAGGAGACTGAAGTTTCAATAAATAACTACATGTGCTGTCATTGCCATGATTGGAAGTAGATTACAAAGTAGTATGTATCCAGAACACTTGTGTCTGCTGGGTTATAGTCAAAATGGCCAAATGTGCAGGTCTGATGTGGTATGGTGGCAAAATAGCATGGGCCTTAAGTTACTCCTCAAATCGGAATACTTCTTATTTATACATCCGAGACAGGTAAAGATCTAAACAGACAAGTTATTTTCTCCTAAAATCTAGTTAATTTGCACAGACCACTAGTCTGAAATGAGCTGTGGACTATTTGGATATGACAAATGCTGTCTACCCCTGTACTTTAGGCTAAAAAAAATAATAGTCTTGGTTCTCAGGCACCGCCCGCATCATCCTAGAGTTCATCGCATGTTTCGTTTTTATTTCCATTTTATAAAAAAAACACCAAAAATCCTTAAATATTCCAAGTCCAACGGTACTCAAATAGTGTATTCCAGTATTTTCCTTATCAAGGAATACATTTATGTAGGGAGGCCCTTTCCTAGGTTGATTGTACACAATTGTTTATTGGTTACATACTAATTTGAACAACCCCCCAAAAAAACACACAGCCCGCCTGCACTATATTTTAAAAAACCATTGCCTGAGAACCAATTCTTTTATTTCTTTTAAGCCTTATATTTAAACTTTTTCATGTGTCCATTTTGAGTTTTGGTTTGTGGCCATTTTGACTTTTTCCCATGGCCATTTTAACTTGGGTGCCTGTGGCCATTTTGACCTGTTCCCATTTTCCCCAGCCTGATTAGGTCCTGAAGAATCTGTTTCAGTAGGTTTGGTCTCAACACTAATCTTACTTGACCAAAATAAGTGGCCAAGATTGCAAACTGATCAAGTGACCAGACTATTGTGTTCTTTTTAGAACGAGACAATGAAGCAAGCTGAGGTAGCTGCCTACTTCCGCCGCTTTGAGGAAGCTGAGAAAATATATGTCGAGATGGACAGAAGGTTTGTGTGAAAGTCATTTGTTATAAACCTATCAACAAAGTTAGTTGGATCTTTATTGTTCTGATATGAGGGCATGGGTGTCCGTCAGCACCATACCAATGCTTGTGGGTTTCAATAAAGTGGTGGATGTCTAAGACCTGCATCCCTTTCAGCTTTCATCACACATTAAGCTGACATAGCTGACACAGTGACACACAGCTTACTATACAAACAATAAAGTATTTGTTATCCATAAATGTTTGATGTCTTCAACTTCTAAATGCCTATCAAAGACTGGAACTCACTTGCTATTGTGGTGTTATTTTTGCCTCCTTCATACAGAATTATCAACTGGTAGTAATTTTCAAGAGTATAATTTTTTTCTCTTGTCTGGAATAAATATCTGCTACAGATGTACCAGCTAGCTAATGGTAACAGTGGTGGTCCACAGTGTCATAAGGTCTTCCTAAGCTTTTCTGGTCTCGAATTAACCAACTTATGTTAATTTTGAACCCTGATTTTTAAACATTTTTCAGCTTTGAAAGTTATAAGATCATACTTTGTCTCCTTGAGATTTACCTTGTATAAGACACTAAAGTTTTGACATATTTGCTTGTTAGAGCAGGATGCTCAATACATCCAATATGGTACTCAGCATCCAGTTCCTGTGCCTGTCTGACAATGAGGGCTGGAATATTACTTATTCATTATATCCCAGTCAGTGAGCTATATTTCCTTGGCCAAGACACACATGTTGTGTGTGAGGAATATAGATGGGAGTTGTGACAGGTGTTGACATATTGTAAGGAATATAGATGGGAGTTGTGATAGTTGTTGACATATTGTAAGGAATATTGATGGGAGTTGTGACAGGTGTTGATATATTGTAAGGAATGTTGATGGGAGTTGTGATAGTTGTTGACATATTGTAAGGAATATTGATGGGAGTTGTGACAGGTGTTGACATATTGTTTGGACTATTGATGGGAGTTGTGACAGGTGTTGACATATTGTAAGGAATATTGATGGGAGTTGTGACAGGTGTTGACATATTGTAGGGAATATTGATGGGAGTTGTGACAGGTGTTGACATATTGTAAGGAATGTTGATGGGAGTTGTGACAGGTGTTGACATATTGTAAGGAATATTGATGGGAGTTGTGACTGGTGTTGACATATTGTAAGGAATATTGATGGGAGTTGTGACAGGTGTTGACATATTGTAGGGAATATTGATGGGAGTTGTGACAGGTGTTGACATATTGTAAGGAATATTGATGGGAGTTGTGACTGGTGTTGACATATTGTAAGGAATATTGATGGGAGTTGTGACAGGTGTTGACATATTGTAAGGAATATTGATGGGAGTTGTGACAGGTGTTGACATATTGTAAGGAATATTGATGGGAGTTGTGACAGGTGTTGACATATTGTAAGGAATATTGATGGGAGTTGTGACTGGTGTTGACATATTGTAAGGAATATTGATGGGAGTTGTGACAGGTGTTGACATATTGTAAGGAATATTGATGGGAGTTGTGACAGGTGTTGACATATTGTAAGGAATATTGATGGGAGTTGCGACTGGTGTTGTACAGGGACCTGGCTGTGAATCTGCGCAAGAAGCTGGGTGACTGGTTCCGGGTGGTACAGCTGCTGAAGACCGGGTCTGGAGGGGATGATCTGCAGCTGGAGGAGGCCTGGAATGCTATTGGGGACTACTATGCTGACAGACAGAAATGGTAGGAGGCGGGATTTGCGTGAATCACATGTTCTGTTACTGTGTTATAGGTTTATTCTGTACAATTTTTTACAACATCTTTTAAACCATTTGCTTCTGAAATGTAACACGTATAAATACTGACAATTTGCTGTTGTGTGATTCCAGGCAGCAGGCAGTGACGTACTATGTGCAGGGCCGCAACCAGGAGCGTCTGTCGGAGTGTTACTACATGCTGGAGGACTACTCTGGGCTGGAGAAGATGGTGCAGGCCTTGCCGGAGAACCACAAGCTGTTACCGGTGTGTGGTCAGGCACTTGTCTCCTCCTTCAGTTCAACAACACTTCAATAGAAATTACTTGTTTCACAAACTCTCTTTGTTAAGAGTGATTGTTACAAGATCTGCTTTTCCACACCATGAGAATATTGGGATAGAACAGGACCCAAGAACCCCATGCTTATTGTAAAAGACCACGGCTATGAGGACTTGGCAGTCGCCATGGTTTAACCTGGCTGGTAGAGTGACTTATCATCCCCCCATTTCGAAAAAACAGGTGGCTATAGCATCAGCATGTCTGAATTGAATGTATCCAACGGCAATGAACCAAAAGTGGGGTTTAAGTAGCCCAAATCCATTTCTGAGTTGCACCAGACCGGGGGAATGTCATCTCCTGATGGCTCATATTATAATGGCCATGCCTTCAACAGCTTAATTACTTAAGTCTGCCATGATGTAGCGGGAATATAGTTGAATGTGTTGTAAACTCCCACTTCATATCCCACAATTTACCTAACATACATGAAGACAAAAAGAGATAATTAAGTTTTCATTTCATTTTGCTTCAACAAGACATATTTTCATTAGACAGTATGAATATAACCTATGACTTGTGTTTTATGTTGCCAGGACATTGCAGGGATGTTTGTCAGTGTGGGGATGTGCAAGCAAGCTGTGGAAGCCTACATAAGGGTAAGCTCATGTTGTATTTAATCACTGGTAGTCATGGTTATGTAAGACATGTTTACTTTTGTTGAAGTCTTATTTGCTCTCCTGGGGACCATGAGGACTCCTCACCCTTAAGGATGAAGAGATGACACAAGACCCCATATTTAGTTAAAACAGCACCAAGCACATTTTAGAAATGAGTATTCTAAAAGTATATTATAGTATACCGTGTTTGCCATACTTAGCACCCTGCTCTAACAAGCTCCTCTTATCATCGTCTATACCAATCTGTAAGTAATCTTTATAAGTGCTCCTGTACACAAGGTATAAGACATAAATGTACTGTGTATATTCCACATTCCTTACAGTAAACACCAGTGCAGGAGTATATAATTCTGAGTTGTTATTATTGAAAACATTTTGGTTTGAACTAAGTTTGTTCACTACTGCTTCATCCCTGACAACAGAACTCATGTATGGTTTTAATAAAGTCCTTCTACCGCTTGTATTAGAGGTTGTTATCCTTAGTAATCACATACATGGGTCATGGTAACGATTATCTCTGTGGGAGCAGTTTTTGATCCTAAACCTTACCTAACTGTACCATTACATCTTCCTGAGGCAAGGGAGTTAACTGTCTATAAAAGTCTGGTTTCCACCCTTGCCAAACTGGGCTGGAATTATGGACTTATATTTTGGCTGGACTAACGAATCTATGCATAGTCCAATCAAAATTGCGTAAGGAAATCGACATCTGGTTCCTAAACTGCTGTGCAGATTTCGGTCGACTGCAGGACTTACAAAGCATGTGTACTGTCTCTTTAGTGTCAACAAATCTGTTCATGTTTTCAATCAAGGTGCTCACGTGATTTGATGCACTTCTCGAAGTAAGACACGTTTTATTACAATAAAGATCTTGATTATCGATCAGTTTGTCTTGACTGGGCTGCCATTTTGTTTGAAGCAAAAGCAAGTGATATGAGAGGTTGAATTTGATTGGTCAATAGGAGGGACATAGAAGAGACATAATTCATAATAGCCACTGGTGGTGCTACGATAGAGGCCAGAAATTCTATCCGAGCTCGGTTAGGGTGGAAACTGGACTTTTACAGTCCGTTAGCTCTCTTGTCTCGGGAAGATGGCACCATTACAGCAAGTGGTTCTTTCTGTACTGTTCCTTCTGAAATTATCCTGATTAATAAATGTCCTGTTAATTAATCTTGGCTTCGTAATCTCTTTGAATACATATAAACATGCGTGATGGTAATTGTCCTTGTTCAGCCATTTGAAGTATGGGATCCCCTCACTGTAAGAAGACATGCAACACTGCAGGCTTTTCTGATCCTCCTACCCAGTTTAGTGCTTGACATGTCTCCCCATCAAACACAGACAAGTAAGTAGGGTATTTATTCTGATTACAGTGTAACAGAGTGAAGGCAGCCATTGACAGCTGTGTCCATCTGAACCAGTGGAACACAGCTATTGAGTTGGCCAAGAGTCATAACGTGAGGGAGATTGACTCTCTCCTGGCCAAGTATGCCAGCCACCTTCTAGAGAAGAACAAGATCATCAATGCTATTGAGTTGTACCGCAAAGCTGGACACTACTTCGATGCTGCCAAACTTCTCTTTAAGGTGAGTGGGTGGTCTACATGGTCTATGAAAGTTTAAATGCACAGTTTGGGGACAATGATTGAGTTGAAAGCAGAGCTTTCACTGTAACTTGTCTTGGAAGGAACGGACGTTTGATGTTGGTATTCAAATGTAACATAATTTGTCATTGGTATTCTGATTTTTGCTGGTCTTGGATGTACCCCGGTAACAGAATGTTTCATGCAGCATTTGTTGCTTGGTCTTCAGAGATGCCAACCATTACAAGTGTGGTGGAATCATTACAATATTTGGAACCAAATTCCACTTATGACATATTTGATGATATAAATATATTGGCAGTAATTTAGACCATGACCTGACGGGTGAAGATCCAGGTTAAAATAGGTCTTCACCAACCCATGCTTGCCGAAAAGGTGACTATGCTTGTCGTAAGAGGTGACTAATGGGATTGGGTGGTCCTGCTTGCTGACTTGGTTGATGATGCATGTCATCATATCCCAATTGCGTGGATTGATGCTCATGATGTCAATCACTGGATTGTCTGGTCCAGACTCAATTATTTACAGACCTCCATCATATAGCTGGAATATTGCTGAGTGCAGCGTAAAACAACAAACAAGCAATTATTGACCTCACTACAGTCATTGTCACACATACAACCACTTCATAATCACTTGTTTTAGCTAGTGATGGGGAGGTTAACATGTTCTGAGGTGTTTGTTGATACAATGCAATGCATTAATAGATATCATACAGTCAATCATACTGATGTGATAACTAAATGTTTTGAAAATTGTCATTAGATCCCAATTATGCCAGATATTCCTAATTGCCTTAATGTGGGGTTGGCATCTCTGGGTCTGCCCTGCGGCACTCACTTCCACGAAGCACAAATATGTTGTTGGTCCTACTCAGATAGCGGACGACCAGATGAAGCAGGGCAGCAAGCCTCTGTACCTGAAGAAGCTGTATGTTCTGGGAGGCCTGCTCATTGAGCAGTACCACGAGATGATGAAACTCACGTCCAGGAATAAAGGCAAGAATGCCGGCAAGAAAGCTGTAGAGGTATGTGTCAAGTGATGTGCAAGACAAGTTTATTCCGAAACTGTTTAGATGAGCAGCTAATAGATTGATAATCCTTCCTTTAGGAAAACACTGTATGTTATAGTGCCGTGCTTGTGTACTTGTCAGACTTATGTGATACCTTGAAAACAGGAGTGCCTTTTGTAGACAGGGCTACATTAATGAATTGTCAGTAGTTTGTTTGGAAATTGCACTGGCATTATTGACCTAAGGCAATGAAGACGTTATTTCAGAAAGCCACATTAAGATGAGTGAGTGAAAGTTGTTTGAAACACCACACTCAGCACAATAAACCAGCTATATATTTGCAACTAGTAAATAATTAAGTCTTAACAAGATAAACCAGAGGTCTAGCCCAGACTCAGTTATTTACAGGCACAATTATATACCTGAAATATGCTGATTGCAAAGGTTTTAAAAAAAATTAATAAAGTTGAGGATTTAGAGGGTCATAGATACTATAGCAGGGACCACAGGACACCCTTTAAATTTGAACACTTTGAATATGAATTTGTAAGTCCAGAGAAAACATTCCCTGTATGTAAATATATTTTAGGCCACCTCTGCTCTGGCTGGCTTCCTGGAAGAAGACTCGGCAGCCATGTCGGACACCAAGCTGATAGACAGTGCCTGGCGCGGTGCCGAGGCCTACCACTTCTACATCATGGCGCAGAGGCAGCTGCATGAAGGTAGGATGTGGAACTGATAAACCACAGATACAATTGGGTAGATACTGTAGACTGTACCATTATTGTGAAATATTTACCTATCTATTGGTTTTAATGAGAATGTTTAGGGTTAATATTTTTAACTATTGTTATTTTCAACCATATTCAAATAACACTGTCAGTCATCAGTTATGTCTATATCAGTTTTGTTGAATGAAGAAATGGGGTATTGTTTAGTTTCTTTCTTTTCTTTCTCAAATTGTCTAACAATTATTTTCAAGGAAGATGCAGTAATGCAGTAATAATGAAGAAAATATTGTTTACATCTTGAATATCTATGATTGTATATGATGTATGATACTATGAGTAATACTATGAGTGTGTATGTTCTACGCTATGTGGATGAGTAATCTATGAATGTATGCTGTAGGCTGTGTGGATGAGTAATCTATGACTGTATGCTGTAGGCTATGTGGATGAGTAATCTATGAATGTATGCTGTAGGCTGTGTGGATGAGTAATCTATGACTGTGTGCTGTAGGCTATGTGGATGAGTAATCTATGACTGTATGCTGTAGGCTGTGTGGATGTGTAATCTATGACTGTATGCTGTAGGCTATGTAGATGAGTAATCTATGACTGTATGCTGTAGGCTATGTAGATGGGTAATCTATGACTGTGTATGCTGTAGGCTATGTGGATGAGTAATCTATGAATGTATGCTGTAGGCTGTGTGGATGAGTAATCTATGACTGTGTGCTGTAGGCTATGTGGATGAGTAATCTATGACTGTATGCTGTAGGCTGTGTGGATGTGTAATCTATGACTGTATGCTGTAGGCTATGTGGATGGGTAATCTCTGACTGTATGCTGTAGGCTGTGTGGATGGGTAATCTATGACTGTGTGCTGTAGGCTTTGTGGATGGGTAATCTCTGACTGTATGCTGTAGGCTATGTGGACAGGTAATCTTTGACTGTATGCTGTAGGCTATGTCGATGAGTAATCTATGACTGTATGCTGTAGGCTATGTAGATGAGTAATCTATGACTGTATGCTGTAGGCTATGTGGATGGGTAATCTATGACTGTGTATGCTGTAGGCTATGTGGGTGAGTAATCTATGACTGTATGCTGTAGGCTATGTGGATGAGTAATGTATGACTGTGTATGCTGTAGGCTATGTAGATGAGTAATCTATGACTGTGTATGCTGTAGGCTGTGTGGATGGGTAATCTATGACTGTATGCTGTAGGCTATGTGGATGAGTAATCTATGACTGTATGCTGTAGGCTATGTAGATGAGTAATCTATGACTGTATGCTGTAGGCTATGTAGATGAGTAATCTATGACTGTGTATGCTGTAGGCTATGTGGATGAGTAATGTATGACTGTGTTGGCTGTAGGCTATGTAGATGAGTAATCTATGACTGTATGCTGTAGGCTTTGTAGATGAGTAATCTATGACTGTGTATGCTGTAAGCTATGTGGATGAGTAATCTATGACTGTATGCTGTAGGCTATGTGGATGAGTAATCTATGACTGTATGCTGTAGGCTTTGTAGATGAGTAATCTATGACTGTGTATGCTGTAGGCTTTGTAGATGAGTAATCTATGACTGTGTATGCTGTAAGCTATGTGGATGAGTAATCTATGACTGTGTATGCTGTAGGCTATGTGGATGAGTAATCTATGACTGTGTATGCTGTAGGCTATGTAGATGAGTAATCTATGACTGTATGCTGTAGGCTATGTGGATGAGTAATCTATGACTGTGTATGCTGTAGGCTATGTGGATGAGTAATCTATGACTGTGTATGCTGTAGGCTATGTAGATGAGTAATCTATGACTGTGTATGCTGTAGGCTATGTGGATGAGTAATCTATGACTGTGTATGCTGTAGGCTATGTAGATGGGTAATCTATGACTGTGTATGCTGTAGGCTATGTAGATGAGTAATCTATGACTGTGTATGCTGTAGGCTATGTGGATGAGTAATCTATGACTGTGTATGCTGTAGGCTATGTGGATGAGTAATCTATGACTGTGTATGCTGTAGGCTATGTAGATGGGTAATCTATGACTGTATGCTGTAGGCTGTGTGGATGAGTAATCTATTACTGTATATGCTGTAGGCTATGTGGATGAGTAATCTATGACTGTGTATGCTGTAGGCTATGTAGATGGGTAATCTATGACTGTATGCTGTAGGCTGTGTGGATGAGTAATCCATGACTGTGTATGCTGTAGGCTATGTGGATGAGTAATCTATGACTGTGTATGCTGTAGGCTATGTAGATGGGTAATCTATGACTGTATGCTGTAGGCTGTGTGGATGAGTAATCTATGACTGTATGCTGTAGGCTATGTAGATGGGTAATCTATGACTGTGTATGCTGTAGGCTGTGTGGATGAGTAATCTATGACTGTATGCTGTAGGCTATGTAGATGGGTAATCTATGACTGTGTATGCTGTAGGCTATGTTGATGCTGCTATGAGGACAGCCCTACACCTCAGAGAGTATGAGGACATCATAAATCCTGTAGACATCTACTCTTTGTTGGGTGAGTCTTGTCACTGTCAAGACAATTATATTCATTTAGAAGATCAGTGAATCACTTAAAATCACCAACATCCATTTCAACTAAGCAGTTATTATTGTTGTGCAGATTAGAACACAACATCTGATAAATATATATATAAGTGTATTGTTGTATTGATAATGTAAGAAAGTCAAACTATGTGCTTGTTCTGCAAAACAATACCATCATACTGACAAGAATTCTGTAATTTTCTCTGTCGTCACAATCCTTCAGGAATGGAGTAGCGTGATAGCAATACTGATGTCATGAATAAAAGGTATGGATCAAATGTATGTGCTAGTTGTCAGTTTGACACCTTCTCCCCATGTTTTCCAGCTCTGTGTGCATGTGCTAACAAGGCGTTTGGGACATGCTCCAAGGCCTTCATCAAGCTGGAGTCCATCGATGTCCTCTCCCCAGAACAAAGACAGCCGTATGAGGAGCTTGCGCTGGAGATATTCACAAAGTAAGTTAGACTGTATACAAGAGTTCATGGATTTATCAACAAGAGTATATACAATTGGTGTTTGGTAAAACTAGCTCTATGATACCTATGCAAATATACCTAACCCAATATAAGGAAGACTGAAAAAAAATATGTGTATCTTGATACATATCATATCATGATCTTGCTGTATCGTTTCAACTCTGGTTTCCATTGTATTCCAGACATTCCCCCAAAGACAACAGAGTCAATCGCATAGAGTGTAACAGTTGTGCCTCCCAGATCCCGGACTGGTAAGTTGGGTTCAACTGTTTAACAGGTCCTTGTCACCTTGTAAGTATTCATCTGACTTGCAGAATTCAGTGCAGAATTATGGCTAATATGCATGAAAAGGGCTGGGTTTTTTCAAGTTTCAGGAGAAACAAATAGCCTAATCAAGTTTCACCAAATGTATGCATCGCAATCTACAACCCCTAGTAATAAATAAGCTGTATATAAAAACATCTCACATGGTCCAAAACAGCAATAAAAACAAAAATTTTTGGTGTAAGTCAAATAAAAACTGTTTCCAATTTTTTCACACTGGTAATTAAGTTTTCTTCAAATTTGAAATGTCAATTCTTGTGTGCAAGAAGGCACCTTGTAGACTAGCTTGTACTACCTTGTGCTTTGTCAGATTTGGAAACTCTCCAATCTTCTTATGGACATATTTAACAGATACATCACTGATCTCTCAACAGATGGAGTATTTCAGTTAAAGGAACCAGATTTGTCTTTGATATCATATTATATAATTTGAAAGAAAAAGAAGTTTATATTTGTAAGTCAATATATTTATCTTGTCAGGTCGACCTCCTGTCCGAGCTGTGACACCAAGTTCCCCACCTGCATTGTGACAGGTCGACCTATCATGGAGTACGAGTACTGGCTGTGTAGCAGCTGCAAACACAGAGCCATACAGACGGAGATCAGCCAGAAGTCCACTTGCCCTCTCTGTCATGTCAAGGTCTAGGTCAAGGTCAAGGCCATGGCCATGGTCAAAATCCTACTATGTACAGTTTAAGTGACATGATATTGTTATATATGTGATATATATATGATGCAAAATCCATTGTTTCATTGAGAAAACTAAGTTAACAATTTTTTGACATTTTTTGTTTAAAATTGAAGACAAACAGTAGGTATTACTTTAATTCAAACAATATTCTGCAAGTACATTCATACCTTCATGACAAGATTGAAAGTATATGTTTCTGCAATATTTGCTGCAACTTGCAGCCAAATGTGACATCGCTCATGCTGTGTATCAACTGTGATCAGTTTTGAATCTCAATAATTCTGTAGCAGGTTTCTTCCATCTGCTCCTATGTCATGCCACAGCTTTCAGAAAGTGTTGAGGTGACTTAGAAACCAATTCCTGTTAATGACCACAATTTCAACTTGATTCAATACTATTGCTGGTTTTGAAGACTGGGCCAGACATGTCAGACAAAGTGGTTGCATATCTTTGTTTAAGAGATAACCCTGCCCTAAAGTTTGTAATAATTATGCCCCCGACCTAAAAGGTCGGAGGTATATATTTATACCAAGGTTCCGTCCGTCCCGAAAACTTTGTCCGCGCGATTTCTCTTAAACTATTCAGTGGATTCATCTCAAACTTAGTACATGTAATCTGTGTCATATGGAGGGGTGCAGTCAAAAGAAAAAAAATGTTTTTATTAATTTTCCATTTTTTTCAGGAATTTTTCAAACCCTAACCCTATCAATTATTTAATTTGAAACTACTGACACACTAGGCGGGTCGGGGGTATTAGTGAGCCACGCTCACTTTTGCCCTTGTTGTTCGCTGTTATGATTTCTTAGGGATTTAACCCTCAAACTCTGTAGTATGTTGCATAAAATATGAAATTACTTTGGTCTGTCATACCGATATACTCATGTAGGAGTATTTCAAGGGAGGAGGAGGATCCACAAGATCTGGCACTCCTGCCAATGATACTGGGATTTCTTGTTCATTGTAAAAAGTGTGTGTCTACATGCAGTTCAATCAAAGCTGCAGGTACCCGTGTACATGTTCAGGTTTATTAGCACATGCTGCCACTGCAGTGAAGTGTACAGTGTTATGCTTGTTGTGTTTTATTATTGCTTTCTCCGTCCAATATGAAAATATCCTGCTGTCATGTAATGTAATGTGTCAATATATGGGAAGGAAACCTTCCAACCTTAATCACTAGTTATTTAATAAATATCACACATATCACTTCTCTTTGTTATTAAAGGTTTTCATTCAACAGAATATGAAATGGGATTGCTTTAGCAGTCTGTGACAAACACTCTTGACTCTTCCTGCCTGAACTCATCTATCGGCAACATTTTGAATGGTTTTCAGCGTAATATATTGGGCTCCTGGACAGAATAAAGTGTGACTAGAACTTAACTCTCTCTTTGGACTGTTGTCAGGGTCTCGTCAGAATTTGACTGCACAAAAAGTGAGAGCCAGAGTGCTGGCAAACTAAGACACATTATCAGGGCGACCCAGGATTGAAACCCACGATCGTAGGTTTTAGGCATACCACAGTAAATTCTAGCACCTTAGATGACTTGGCCATCCTAGGTCCCCCAATGGACATAAGAGGATACCATATTCGACGTAATAAGCGCACAGGGCGCTCTCAAAATTAGAAATAGGGGGCTCTTATTCGAATATTATTTTGGTGGAAAAAAACAGTTGAAAGATAAATTTCCTGGTTTATGCTGACGGTCTGAACTGTTTATATACGACAGATATATTTTTCCAGAATTTAATTGCCCATAATTAAGGGTGCATATAACACAAGAGTGCGTATTATACACAAAGAAATAAGTCTTGTGTACATTGATCAATCGGAAGGGATGCTAATTGGGATTGTTCACTTGCCAATATATTAGCAAATATCGCTGTGGGCACTTATTAGAGCGGGGCGTTTCTTACGTCAAATACGGTATACTACCTTTTACCTCACCCTGGAAATTTGGGCATATGTTATGAAGTCAAAGGTCACATTCATTAAATTCTTTGTCATTACACATCCTCAGAAAGAATGGCTGCTTTAGGAGCCTTAGTTTTGTATCTTCTCTTGGTCGTGCCCTGCTTTAAAAATGTTTGGGAAAGGTCACAGATCAAGGTCACCCTTCACATATGAGGAATATTTTAATACTGGGCCGTAGTAACTAACACGATTACATCAAAAAACGTATATGCACCTTTTCACGCTTGCCATATCTATATTTTTGAATAACAGCTTCTCTCCAAAAAAACTTTAAACATAAAGTAAGAACATGTCTTACCCTTTTGGTTTATCAGTTTATGACTGATATATTGTAAGACTATGCAAGCTGCGTTGTCCACGAAACATGTCTGCCCTTCCTTTCTCCTTCGGGATATATGTAACAAGTTACCTTACATTAAGTTATGAGAAGGTTGTCTCTAAATGTCTAGAAAATAAATGCTCATTAAAATTATCAGTGAATACAACTATGTGTTGACACGAAGTAACTTAAGCAGATCAGTTGCGTGTGGTGTACATAATGCCACGTTTTCTCTGAACATGGTACACTTATTTTGCACATTTCACAGTTAGATGAATGCTTATCTAAGCTTGGCAAGAACAGCTTTAATGAGCCTTTCTATACACTTTTGTTTTGGGGTGCCATTGTCACACGTTTGTGGCCCAGTATTAAAATAGTACAGATATATGAATGGTGCATAAAACATTTACACTAGAAGCCTGGACTTTAAGGTAGGGTGGTAAGTTCCATACAACTTCAGTTTAGATGTTGTGATGGGACTGCAGCCATTTGGAATATTCATCGTTTACCATTTGGGGGGATGTTGTAATCTTTAATAGGAAAACAAATGCATTAGTTTGTGAGTTCATCTCACATCTGGTAACGTTTTTATGTTTCTACTTACGAAGAAAATAAAACAAACACTGATGGATACATTTTGTAAATATATTTATTCCTTTATACATGACTGTCCTCTAATCTACTGATGAATCACATCAATCATCACAGGAAAGGTGACGCACACACAAGCACTGATCCTGAATCACCCCTCTCACAATGAATTACCCGCATCATATGTGGTTGGAGTTCAAAACAGCTTCCAATAATACATTAAACAAGTTGACATATGACCACAACACACCTGGATAAAATGGGCTACTTTAAACTATCACACCGTGTGAAGGAAATTCCTGACTGTCCATGCATAGCCTAAACAATGTACTGTGGATAGACACATCTTCCCGAGGCAAGAGAGTTAACTGACTTTAAAAGTCTAGTTTCCACCCTTGCCGAACTAGACTGGAAATACTGGGCTCGACTATGCATAGACTTGTCAGTCCAGCCAAAATGTAACTCCATAATACCAGCCTAGTTCGGGAAGGGTGGAAACTGGACTTTTATAGTCAGTTAACTCTCTTGCCTCGGGAGGATGGGATAGACATTGTCTGACCATGTGGACACATTTGGGACATGTAGGAAATACAAGGTATGATATAGAATTATAAGACCTCTTTTTGGCACACTGGAAAAGAAAAAGTGAAAGTTGCAACAAACTTATAGTTGAATGTTATTGGACATGTTCATATGACAACTAGAAGCATTTTTCTATCATTTTCAAGTTTGGGACATGATCAGACATGGTAAACAAATAAAAAGGCCTAAAGTTCTGCTTGGTATAAAAATTTGATCTTGTTGGAATTTTAGAAAACATTTCCTGAAAGCCTCTGAACCCCTTTTTTTTTCACAGTTATGTCATGTCAACATTTGGTGGTATTGGGACACATGCATGTTGACATGAGTGTGTGAGTTTGATTTTACGCCGCTTTTAGCAATATTCCAGCAATATCACCAGAAATGGGCTTCACACATTGTACCCATGTCGGGAATCGAACCCGGGTCTTTGGCGTGACGAGCGAACGCTTTAACCACTAGGCTACCCGACCGCCCCATGTTGACATGAACAAAGTCTAACGTTGATTCATATGAACACATCTAATAACTGTCATATTACTTTCAGAAAGTCTTCGTTATTTTCCAAATTATACAGATCTCGTGGGCCAAAAAAGGTTCTTATACTTTTTCATCCTAGTTAAACATACTACTGTACATGTTTTGACATTTGCATGTCTCAACATAATATCATCTAGAAAAGTAACATTACAGTTCTTGATACAGATATTAGTAAACAATCAAAGATGTCTCCTTAACTCCCACAAAATGACTGTTACAACATGGAAGCATTCAAACCTCTCACAATGTCAAACACACGTCCTATATGGATGTCACACAACTGTGTATGATGATTTCTACAGTCAACAAGTAAGTATGATCTGAAGAGTCTGAAATGGACAAAGTATGCCCACACACCAGCAGCACTATTACCCACTAGAGTTTACAACAGAATAGCTGCTCCAGAATGATTGATAGTTGGTGATGAGGCTGGAGTGAATCTTCATGAGAAGCCATTTTGTGACTAGCTTGGAATACAACAGTATCTGGTTCATCCCCACCAAAAGACACTCGACACATCTGTATGTTGAATACAATGAAGTCTTTGCGCAAGAAGTGTTATAAAGTGCAAAGGACTATGGACTGAAAATAGGACCATAAACCCATTTGAGCTATGTTCTACATCAATTCATAAAATATCTCTTTGTTACCTGTCTTACTCTATAGCATTTGTTTGTTTGTTGTGGAATGCTGAACACAGCCAAATTTCAACTATATGACAGCAAAACTGACAATTCCAACACACCATCATAGGATTCTGGCAAGCCAAAGGGACATAACTCTGCACAACAAATCACGATGCCTCAGACAAAGAGCCACCCATGCCCTATCAAGCTTTGAAGTGAAACTCGGGTACATGGTAAGTGTAACAGAAGGAAAACGACATGACGTTCTCAGGTATGGTGCTGACCAACTAAATGTAATTGTGGCATATGTAGAATTTTGAACCCACAAAGAGCAGTTCAACACGTAACTCTGCACACCGGAATACAGTGTTACACCACAGGGCTGCCCTGAACCCACGTTAACTGGGAGTGTGTACCATCACCTTTCGTTTTGCAATTTACATATTATGCTTGTTAAATCTGGGAAATGAATACTGAATGTGTTGAGACATTTACATGATGCTATACAATATGTATATATATTAATATTAAGGTCATTTACAGTTATGAAATAAATATGAAGCTATGTCAGCATGCAATGCATATATTGATGTTCCCATTCCACTGCATTCAGAGGTTATGTTTTTCAAAGTCTGAATGAAATAGGTCGAAGAAACATAGTATATTTGCATAAATGTGTGGTTCTATTAAAGACTACCCAAAAACCTATAAAAATAATTAAAGTAAACGTTCACATATGTAAGTAGTTGTCATGAGTCTATCACCAAAATACTTTTATTTGTTCATCGGCTCAAATGCGAGATCATTATTAAAAGTAATTGTAAGTAAGTAACCATGGTAACTCATATCAAAACATACCTTGGTTTTCAGGTTCTTATGTTTATTTTACATCAACCCCAGATGTGTTTAAACTGAAAATATCGGTGGCTGAAACATTTTAATGTATAGTGTTTCAATGGATGTTATCATCAACTGTACCCCATTGTCCACAAACCTACATTATGTGCTTCAGTTCCAAGCCACAATGTAGCATAACAAAATGGCCGTGCTCATCACCAATACAAATCACCAAGTCAGTTCTGTGAAATAATATATGTCCAAAAAAACATTAACGTATCTTGAAGTATTGAAACTAATGATATGTAAATCAAAGCAAACCAAATCACTTTGTGAACTCCTAAGGAAGAAAATACTGCAGTCAAGTTGAAGCAGAAAACTTTAGGCAGCTTTTTCTGCAGCCTGTCTCAACATGGTCCAATACGTGTTATATCATAAGAAGTGGTTTGACCACACATTTATCAAACAATGAACTAATGAAGCAGGAACTGATTTGCTGAAGCAAGACATCTGACTGACAGTTTTTCCATGTCAAATCCTTACTGAGGCCACGGAACACTGATGTCGTTGGTGACATGGCATGATACGATCAGGTCAGTGAGTGAGTGAGTTGGGTTTAACGCCGCTTTTAACAGTGTTCTAGATATTTCACGTTGTTTCAGCTTAATGTGGGAGGAAAGCCCGAAGTGATGCAGGTCTCAGATGCTTACCACTTCGGTGAAACCCACAAGCACTGGTATGGTGTTGACAAACCTAGAAACATAATCAGGGCGAACCGGGATTCGAACCCACAATCATAGGTTTCTTGCATGCCCAAGGGACGCAATTCTGCACAGCGAATCCAACGCCTTAGACGACTGGGCCACCCATGTCCCCACAATCAGGTCAGACAAACACCACCACAGTTCTCTGCTTACTCCAATACATCAGTTACACAATACATCAGTTACACAATACAGAGACTACACTGTGTGGATGAAGACAGGATAGGAGCACAAGACAAATGTTCTCTGATACAACACCACTTACTGGTAAGTGACCACTGTGACCATGTAATACAGATATTTGAAATCCTGAGAGTTGTTGGTGCTTTAGAACCTAACTGATGTATCGGATGTATACTGCAGGGGTGCTGACACGAATGTAGCCAAGGTACATTTCTGTATACAGAAATCACAATATAGAGAAGCATCTGACTACTGAATAGCGCTGGAGCAGATGGACGAGTCCATCAAACTGAGTGTGAACCCAGCTCCCTCCAGCAGGAAGACTTGATACGATCATCTGCTGACTTTGGTTTTCAGACTTGTTTTGGTGAATCAACAATACGTTCTAAAACATGCATCTTATTTAGATGTATTACAGTCGCTACATACATTTTACTCCCACAGCAAGCCATATATGTTAAAGTGATGTTAAAATGGTTTGGGGCAGCTTTTAGTAGACCCGATCAGAGCCTCCAGTGCTATAAAGTGGTCAGTTAAGTTATATTTCTGAATTTTGATTTCAGCCAGGGTTAATTTCTTTCATAAACTACACGAGGTTATATATTGAGTAAAATTAGTTGAGTGAGTGAGTTTAACACCGCTTTTAACAGTATTCCAGTTATATCGTGGCGTGTCAGCTTAATGTGGGAGGAAAGCCCGAAGTGATGCAGGTCTCAGACGTTTACCACTTCGGTGAAACCCACGAGCACGGGTATGGTGCTGACAAACCTAGAAACAAAATCGGGGCGAACCGGGATTCGAACCCACAATCATAGGCTTCTGATGTGCTCAAGGGACGCAACTCTGCACAGCGAATCGCGGCGCCTTAGACGACTGGGCCACCCATGCCCCCTACAGAGCTGAGAAGCACCATACTGTGAGAATCTGGGAATCAGATGATCCTGGCAAACTGAAGGCCAAAACTCTGAAGCGTGTGGCACAGAGCCACCTGTGCCAAGTATCTATCTGACATACCACAGTGAGGTTCTATAGCTCCACCAGCACCCAGACTGTTGTCCTGTGACAACTACAAACTACAAGACATTTCATATTTGCATAGAGAAGACAATAACATTCTCTCAGTGTTGCTGTCACACAGTGATTCCTCACACACATCAACCGCTCAAGTCCACGGAAACATGACAGCACAACTGGCTACCAAAAGACAGAGGCATTGATGGCTGTAGCACAGGGTGTCGGTTGAGTTTTTGATATTATTCCAGCCATATCAGCGTGATCCAATAGAAAAACACATATTTCAAGTTTTGTTAATTTCATGACAACCATCATTTTAGAAACAGAAAATTGTGAAAGTGGATTTTATATGAACAAATGCATGTTATACACAAACATGTACAATGAAATAGATAATTGTATGTCAAGATTTAACATAATCCTATCACGAAAATCCAACAGTGGACACTGAGTAGGCTGACACTGTCTAGAATAGACACTGCCTTGAATTGACACTGCCTTGAATTGACACTGTCTAGACATTTCACTGCCTTCTCTGACACTGCCTTGACTTCACACTTTCTGCCTATACTAGACACTGCCTCGAATCAACACTGCCTAGAATTGACACTGTGACAATGCCAAGCAAACATTAGACCTACATTTATTGATCTCAAGTTCATCAATCTGTCTTAGATGTGATTAAGTCATTATGAATACAACACAGCATGAGAGCGGGTCAATGAGCCGTGTCTATGTACATGTGTAGTGACTCGTGGCTAAAGAGAGGAGATTGCTATGCAGGCACTTGCCGGAACAATACAGGGTCTGCTGTAAGGAAGCATTAATTGCACTGTATCTACTTGCATCTGCATCGTTTACAAGCACTGTTCATGCCATCATCAGAATACTCTCATCAAAATGATACACAATCACTGGGGGTGCCGGTTGTTTATGCAGCACAAGCACAATATATGGATAACTTTTTCTTTTTACTATATAAAACGTGACTAAATATGTGTAATGATTAGTTTCTTCATGAAAATTCTTGAAAAATGTAAAAAAGTATCAAATTAACTTCCTGTTTTGAGTGTTTGAATGACAAGTTGAAGAGGTACTTACATTGATCTGGATTTACTACTGAAGTCTGACAGATTAAATAGGGAAATGAAGGGCTGTTCTTCAAATCTTAATTTCATTCCATGAAGTAAAATATGGAAGCAGAAACTCCATAATCCAAGTGATAAAATAGAAATTCCTAAGGAACCAGTCATTTATTATACCAACAGAAGGGATGTAGGCGCATCCATACCAACAACAGGGTGTCAATGCATCCATACCAAGGAGGGGTGTACATGTTTCCATACCAACATCAGGGTGTCAATGCATCCATACCAAGGAGGGGTGTACATGTTTCCATACCAACATCAGGGTGTCAATGCATCCATACCAAGGAGGGGTGTACATGTTTCCATACCAACATCAGGGTGTCAATGCATCCATACCAAGGAGGGGTGTACATGTTTCCATACCAACAACAGGGTGTCAATGCATCCATACCAACAACAGGGTGTCAATGCATTCATACCAAGGAGGGGTGTTGATGCATCCATACAAACATGAGGGGTGTTGATGCATCCATACCAACATAAGTGGTGTCAATACATTCATACCAACATGAGGGGTGTTGATGCATCCATACCAACATCAGTGGCATTGATGCATCCATACCAACATCAGTGGCATTGATGCATCCATACCAACATCAGTGGCGTTGATGCATCCATACCAACATCAGTAGCGTTGATGCTTTCATACCAACATCAGTGGCGTTGATGCATCCATACCAACATCAGTGGCGTTGATGCATCCATACCAACATCAGTGGTGTTGATGCATCCATACCAAAATCAGTAGCGTTGATGCATCCATACCAACATGAGGGGTGTTGATGCATCCATACCAACATAAGTGGCGTTGATGCAGCCATACCAACATCAGTAGCATTGATGCATCCATACCAAAAAAAGGTGTAGGAAATCCCAAACCTTCGGTCTACATATGAAAATATTAATTCTGTTCATTGTTTCATCTTTGTAAATATACTATTATGAGATTACATTATTCAAATATTTAGAATATACGAGATCTTCCAGACTGACAAACACCTGTTCAGATCAACTTGATCGGAGCCAGTGGCACCAAGTCAGTAACATCAGTTGTATGTCATAGCGAGAGTGTTTTACACCGCCTTCAGCTATATCCCAGCAATATCACAGTGGGGGATGGGCTCCACACAGTGTACCCCTGCGGGGAAATCAACCTGGGTGTTGGCATGACGACCATTTCATAGCCTGTCATAAACCAGTCTTGAGAACCACTGTTATTTTCCATATTCATTGGACCTACATCCTAACTTTAAAGAATATATTTCACTCTCTGGTCGATACAATGAAACCTTATTTATCTGGACGGCACCATTCTCAGTAAAAATCATCGGGATTAACAGTTACTAAATTAAAGAATCAGTGACAAAGACTGGCAGGTTTCTAGACTCAGCATCCAGACTTACAGATGGTCACTGCATTTCAATTACTTGTTTAGACATTTTCTGTGTTATGTAGAGCAAGGTGTTATTAAATTAGCCCTGATACTACTTACATCGACATTACCCATCTTAAAAAAAATCCAAATATGTGCTAAAAGAATTTACTATATCATTAATAACTTCTTTCACATTACACACATCAAAGTAGCATCTTTTGCACAGATATTACCAGACACCTTGTCAGGTACACAAGTTAAACTTGTACAGAGTTTTAGGCGTGTCTACAACTCGTCCCTCTTTATTTTATTTTGATCAACAAATGAGTAGAGGGACTCCATATCTCTGGCACCGTTATATTCACTGATCTTCACGCCGTTGTTGAATAAGATCAGTGTCGGATAGCCTCGGACCTACAAACAAACAAAGTCGATCACAATAAATAACTATCAGGGAAGATTTGGGCAAAGACGTCAAAATGAAAAAATCCCATTTCATCTTTTGATGGTCATAATCTTGAAAACAAAAGATCAAGTCAGGTCATATCTTGAAGCTTTTTGATCATGCTGATGCCTCTATTCAATCTCATTAAAATCAGATCTTAGTTCTCGCTACCGCTAAACAAAGATCTGAGGACATCCCATTACGGGTCATGTCAGCACGACCTTTCATCCAACCAATCAGAGCGTCGCTTACCAGATCCTGAAAGTGACAGTCGGAATGTGTTTTCTAATCATGCAACCTCGAGATGTTTAACATGGGGTATTCCGAACGACAGTTACGGGTTTTATGATTATATCCATACAATCTAGGCCATCTTTAAGCCATTCCAGAATGTTGTTTTGGTCAGTTTAATTTTTTTTTAATTGAGAATACGTCAAAATATGTTTCGAAGCGTAGTCGCCAGTTTGAAACGAGTGCCGTAAAGCCCGAGATAGCTGCCTTCTGATTGGCAAATGTCAATTTCTTGTCAGTCATTTCATTGGTCGGTCAATGTTCGCGAAAGGTCGGTCTGACAGGACCTGTAATGGGATGTCCTCAGATCTTTGGTTAGCGGTAGCGAAAACTAAGATCTGATTTTACTGAGATTGACCTCTATTCAAATTTTTATCACAACAGATTATCTGCATATTAGATGTTTGTTTGTCATTTGAGGCCACACACAGCAATATTCCCACTATATGATGGCTGCTTGTACCTGACGATCCAGTGATCGATATTGTGAACAACGATCCACGCAGTTGGGGTATGGGACATGCTATCAACCATGATGGCGAGACTGACAACACTATCCTTTTGGTTGCATCTTACGATCGGCATTGGTTGATGTGGGCCTAACTCAGAGTCCCAACAAGGGACCAGAGAAAAGATATTTGTGATCAACATAATTAGGGTAAATCCTTAAAACTATGAAAATAAAATAATATGAAAAATAGATTATAGGCTTGGACATGTATCAATGTCGTGCATCTGAAAAGGAAGTGTTGACAGCTACACCATGTATTCACAACAAAAGGCACCCTGATGGTATGGGGGGTTGCTCATAACATCAACCACTGGTTTTTCAGTGATACAGCTGGAATATACTGATAGTGACATAAAACAAGATTCAACACAAACTTTGACATGGAGGTACATCACTTGAATACAAACTGACAATACCTCATGTTTCTTGCACAGATCCCCTTGTACAGTGCAATCAACCTTAGCAATATGGACATCTTCAACGTCAAGGAACTTCTTAGAGAGTTCGTCCCATACTGGTGCAAGCCGCTTACAATGTCCACACCTGTAGGACAACAAGACAGCTGGTGGGTAATGGTGGGTGATGGTAGGTGATGGTGGGTGATGGTGGAAGATGGTGGGTGATGGTGAGTGATGGTGGGTGATGGTGGGTGATGGTGGGTGATGGTGGGTGATGGTGAGTGATGGTGGGTGATGGTGGATGATGGTGGGTGATGGTGAGTGATGGTGGATGATGGTGGATGATGGTGGGTGATGGTGGGTAATGGTGGGTGATGGTAGGTGATGGTGGGTGATGGTGGGTGATGGTGGATGATGGTGGGTGATGGTGAGTGATGGTGGGAAAAGACGCGCCACCTTCAGTGACTTTCCCACCCAGTGGCAGAGCCAGGATTTTGAAAAAAGGGAGTAGACACTACCCAGGTCATGTTTGTTTGTTGTTTAACGCTGCACTCAGCAATATTCCAACTATATGACGGCGATCTGTAAATAATCGAGTCTGGACCAGACAATCCAGTGATTGACATGATGAGCATCGATCTACACAATTGGGATACGATGACATGCATCAACCAAGTCAGCGAGCCCGACCACACAATCAAGCTATTCGCCTCTTACGACAAGCATAGAGGCCTAATATGGCAAGCATGGGATGCTGAAGACCTATTCTAATCTCAGATCTTCACGGGTCCCCAGATATGCAAGACATCAGAACCGAATGAGTGAACTCTCAAAAAGATGAAACAGCATTTCAAGTTGGTGAATTATTTTTCTTTCAAATCAGCTGGTACCATGCTAGAAACATGTCATGACATCAACTATACTGTTTACACTGTATGATGTTTCAATTGATCATCCAGGCCAGGTCTTATCCTGGACACCTCCCCTAAACTATAATAATAATAAAGGTGATATATTCGCTTGCCTGTAAATTAGGACCTGTTTTAATTTTGAAAAACCACCCATCTTTTCAAGTATTTAAAAAAATAGTGTCAGGGCACTATAGCTCACCTGGATATTTCATCAACAGTTTATCACAAGATACTGTCAGCGTTGATATTCAAACATTTTCTGCATATATACTGATGACTCAAGGTAACGCCATAGGAGACATTGACAGAGCCAAGTAGAGATTTTAGGAGAATTTAGAGCTTGGTATGATGAGCCCCACTACTAACCACACATATCCAAAATGTCATTACATTTTAATAGAAAATGGCTGAGTATTCACAGTAAAGGCAACATATAGAATTTTTCAATATGGCTGCCATGCTGGCCATATTGAAAATCAGACTCAAACCTCTTTACCAAATGGGGATGTCATCATTGGTGGGTACAAGTGAAGTTTCAGGTTCATTAGTCAAATGGTTTCTGAGCAGCAGATGCTAATGACAGATGACAAGCAATGGCCATTATATAAACTCACTTTATTTACAACCATGCGAGCCAAATGTTCCAGTCCCCCAAACAGGGGATGCCAGAAAGTTGTGAGGTTCGTCCACGAAGTGCAGCAAAGTTGTTTAAGCAGTAAAGCTGTCCTGAATTACCAATTGCTAATAATTCACTACCTTTCTATGAAAGGGTAAGATTGATACTATCATCCTTTGAGAAACATTGTATTCCCTGTGAGATGCAATGCATTGTTTTAAGAGGCCATGAAAACTTCCTACTAACCAGGGTGCAAAGAACTTGACAAATACCATTCCATCAGCCAAAACCTCATCAAAATCATCAGCAGTTAGGTCCAGCACTTCAGCCTGCAAATAACAAACACATCTAAATACACTTGCCGACATATTTCAATACTTTGACACATGATGTTATTTACACTTTAATGTTTGTCCCTTAGTACACTTTCAATGTAATGATACCAATGTTTATTTCTCTTTGATCTTGTGGACATAAAGAAATTAACAAGAAATAATTTGTATTTTAATCATTCAGTGAGAAAAGGACTTGACATTTGACCCCTGACCTCTGGTTCATCATCCAGACTGCCCTCCACGATCATCTCGTCCGTCCTGAGTTGTTCAGACTGATCACGAGAAAGCATCCTCGACACATATTGTTTCAGTTCATCCAGGTTGCGACCTCCCTGGTACTGGTCAACCTGGTCAAAATAAACACAACTGCCCACATGAACACTTGGCAAGACTTGAAAAGAGGTTCACTGCTGTTCTATATAGCAACCTCAACAAAGTCATGCAGTCAAATGCTGAAATCTGTTACATCACTATACATGCTATATTGTCACACAAGCTTCACGGTCCATACAGTATGTTGTGTCACATGCATGCCTCCTCCCTTCATAGCTGTTCCAATATTTCTTTACATCAAAATATATAAAGGACATTTACCAAATGTGGCAATCGCCACCTAGGTCAACTGCCAACTGGGACAACTGCCATCAGGACAACTACAACCTAGGACATTTACCAAATGGGACAACTGCCATCAGGACAACTACAACCTAGGACATTTACCAAATGGGACAACTGCCAACTGGGACACCGGCCACCTAGGTCAATTACCACAAAGGACATTTACCAAATGGGACAATTACCACAAAGGACAATTACCATCTGGGACAACTGCCACCTAGGTCAACTGCCAACTGGGACAACTGCCATCAGGACAATTACCACTTAGGACATTTACCAAATGGGACAACTGCCATCAGGACAATTACCACTTAGGACATTTACCAAATGGGACAACTGCCAACTGGACAATTACCACTTAGGACATTTACCAAATGGGACACCGGCCACCTAGGTCAATTACCACAAAGGACATTTACCAAATGGGACAATTACCACAAAGGACAATTACCATCTGGGACAACTGCCACCTAGGTCAATTACCACCAAAGGACATTTACCAAATGAGACAATTACCACCCAGGACATTTACCAAATGGGACAATTACCACCAAAGGACATTTACCAAATGAGACAATTACCACCAAAGGACATTTACCAAATGGGACAATTACCACCAAAGGACATTTACCAAATGAGACAATTACCACCAAAGGACATTTACCAAATGGGACAATTACCACCCAGGACATTTACCAAATGAGACAATTACCACCAAAGGACATTTACCAAATGGGACAACTGCCATCAGGACAATTACCACTTAGGACATTTACCAAATGGGACAACTGCCAACTGGGACACCGGCCACCTAGGTCAATTACCACAAAGGACATTTACCAAATGGGACAATTACCACAAAGGACAATTACCATCTGGGACAACTGCCACCTAGGTCAATTACCACCAAAGGACATTTACCAAATGAGACAATTACCACCCAGGACATTTACCAAATGGGACAATTACCACCAAAGGACATTTACCAAATGAGACAATTACCACCAAAGGACATTTACCAAATGGGACAATTACCACCAAAGGACATTTACCAAATGAGACAATTACCACCAAAGGACATTTACCAAATGGGACAATTACCACCCAGGACATTTACCAAATGAGACAATTACCACCAAAGGACATTTACCAAATGGGACAATTACCATATAGGACAATTACCACCTAGGACATTCACCGAATGGGACAATTACCACCAAAGGACATTTACCAAATGGGACAATTACCACCAAAGGACATTTACCAAATGGGACAATTACCATATAGGACAATTACCCCCTAGGACATTCACCAAATGGGATCATTACCACCCAAGACAACTGCCATCAGGACAATTACCCCCTAGGACATTCACCGAATGGGACAATTACCACCTAGGACAACTGCCATCAGGACAATTACCCCCTAGGACATTCACCAAATGGGATCATTACCACCCAGGACAACTGCCATCAGGACAATTACCACCTAGGACATTCACCAAATGGGACAATTACCACCCAGGACAATTACCATCAGGACAATTACCACCTAGGACATTTACCAAATGGGACAATTACCACACAGGACAATTACCACCTGGGACAATTACCACCTAGGACATTTACCAAATGGGACAATTACCACACAGGACAATTACCACCTGGGACATATACCACCAGGGCCAACTGCCACCCAGCGAATGTGCTACAACATGACTGTATGGTAGGACTATGTATATGGTGTATTTCATCAGTAAGGAAAGGAGACAACACACACATTCTTCATTAGTCGGTACATGGGGACAATAAAATGATGTCAGGTGGAGTGTTTGGTGGTCAGACAGCCAGAGACTATAATCAATAATTTATTACGACCTAATTTCAAAGTTTGAGGGTGTATCAAGCCCCCTTGTAAACAATTAACAGATTTACGACCATTAAAGTTTCCAATCAACCTCTTGAAATGACACAGCTCTACTTGACTTGTTTTGATTGTAACCATGGTAACAATTCATCTTAGTTATAGAACTGATGTATTGCTATTTCAACTTGAAGGTATATTTTCACAAGGCATATTTTGCTGGAGACTGGAGTTATTCTATCTTGTTTCCATCAATGAGACTTTACCTTCTGCCCATCCTTCATCCACATCAGGGTGGGGTAGCCCCGCACAGAAAAGGAGTCACACACCGAACCAGTGGCTGTGCAGTCTATCTGTAACAGAATCCAGAAATCTCTATTAGTTAGTATAAACCTACTGGCTGTTTGTATAACTCGATATGGAGTTTTTGAAATTGTGGTAACACCTCGTAGGAGGTATTACAACGATTGTAACACCTCGCAGGAGGGCTTACCATCATTGAAAAAACCCTTGATAGAACAAAAACTACGAACAGCCTACGAGACGCAAGTGCAGATTCCGTGCCATTGTGAGACGCACGTGCAGATTTCGCACCGTTGCAAAACCCACATGCTGAGGTCACCGGTTTCATTGAACCGAGTTCACGACTGCAGGCGACATTTCATCTCCGATATAGGTTATACATTTGAGAGTTTTTATTACAGTTATTTCATTAAAAACGTTGTCTATGCGATGAGTCGGTTTATAAGTTGGACAAAACATGTCTCCTCGAGATTACTAGAGATTGTAAACCCTCACATTCGGGTTGGCAATCTCTAGTAATCCCTCGGAGACATGGTTTCTCCTACACGTATATTTTGCAGTTTACAACCAGCTCAACCAGCACATTCGACTGAAGAGTCAATTGGTAACTCAAAGCTTATATTCCAGTTCAGTTTGGTATCGGAGTAGAATTTTAAACTAATTTATAATTCACACATTTCTGGCCTTACAGATTTGCTCTAAATGACCATGGTAGCACTGATTTGTCCTTATATCTAACACATAACAGACATGGTATCGTAGTTCTCCTGGATACATAATCAATAGTTTATGATGGCCATAAATAGCTTAATAGCTAAATACAATATGGCTGCCATGGTACACAAAAAAGTCGTGACATCAGCTCACCTGAATTACTGATCATATCTATTGTCGCCAGTGCCATTACAATGATTACTGATTTTTACATTATTCAAACCATGACACATGTTTACAGTAAGTAGTGACTTCAATTGCATGTACGTTAGTGTCATCATTTTGGGGAGCAGAAACCGACACAGGTAATTGGTACTCTATGAAACTGATAAAATGACTGCAATCAGGAAGATTGTGTGATTAAAACCTGTGATAGGAAGATAGCTGCCATGTTTCTGATAGCTTGACATGTAAGCTGATGGCTGCATATTTGTAATAATACGGTCCACTGGTTTGGCAGGCTCAGATTTCATTGTTTACAAGCTGTTGTTATTTAGCTGTCTGTGCCATGTTTCTGATAGCTTTTCACGTAACCAGGCTGCATATTTGTAATGACATGGTCCACTGGTTTGTCTGGCCCAGAATTGATTATATACATTGCCGCTGTGATACGTCTGAAGTGAGCACCTACCTTTGCTATGCTGACTTCCTCGTTGTATTGGAAGCTCTTGGCCAGGTCCTCCCATGTGGGTGCGAGACGCTGACAGTGACCACACCAGGGGGCGTAGAATTTGACAAAGTGCTGGCCATGTTTGATGTGGTCAAGGAATGTGCCCTCAGTCAGCTCGACCAGTGTCCGGAGAGGCTCAGGAGGCTTCGGGTCACTCTCCTCCCCCTGAGTAACAATGATATTTTCAGTGTGAGTTGTGTTTAAGGCTGCTTTTAACATTATTCGAGTTATATCACGACATGTCAGCTTAATGTGGGAGGAAAGCCCAAAAAGATGCAGGTCTCGGAGTGAGTGAGTGAGTATGGTTTTACACCGCTTTTAGCAATATTCCAGCAATATCACGGTGGGGGACACCAGAAATGGGCTTCTCACATTGTACCCATGTCGGGAATCGAACCTGGGTCTTCAGCATGACGAGCGAATGCTTTAACCACTAGGCTACCCGACCGCCCCTGCAGGTCTCAGACGTTTACCACTTCCGTAAAACCCACGAGCACGGGTATGGTGCTGACGAACCTAGAAACATAATCGGGGCGAACCGGGATTCGAACCCACAATCATAGGTTTCTGGCGTGCCCAAGGGATGCAACTCTGCACAGCAAATTGCGGCGTCTTAGACGACTGGGCCACCTGTGCCCCCATGATATTATCAGAAATGAAGGAATGAATTTGTCCCTTTGCTTAACAGATATTGATTGTTCACAAGCAAAAAGTTATTGCAGATGTACTCAGCAAAAATAGAAATGCAAAAGAAGCAAAATCGTAAATATCTGACATTTGAAATTTGGAGAAAAGATGGAAACGAAAACAGGAGAATCATCTTCAGCTGTAGCCAGGTTTTTTATACAGCACCAAGCACCATTACAAGACTGGAACCATTATAAGACATACAGGACAACATGTGACCTTAGAAGATCCAGCTGACTGCATATCACTACTAGACCACAGGACAGATTCACACAGCTACACCACTTACGTGAAAGAACCACCACAGCCACATCTAAAACTAAGGCAACACCAGGATTGCGTAGGATATCAGCCCAGACAGTGAGGAACCGCTTACTCGCCAAAGGTATTCATGCAAGACGACAAGTTTGAGGTCTCATTTTGACAGACCTGCATCGTCAGCGGCGATGTGATGGAGACAAGTTTGGTTTAGTGACGAGTCACATTTTATGCTTCCCGTGCGGATGGTAGACGTCGCGTTTACAGGCGTCGCAGGGAACTTTATGCAGGAAACTGCATACAGGAAGTGGACATATTTGGTGGTGGGAGTGAGATGATGTGGCCAGGCATATACTACACTGGTGGAATAGACTTGGTGCAAGCTCTGAGAAATTTAACGGCACGATGTTATACGGATGAGATCTTCGGCCACACGTCCTTCCCATTATGCAACAAGGGAACGTCATTTTCTAACAAGACAACGCCCGATCTCACACTGCAAGACTGAAAACAGCCTTTTCAGGAATCACCACATCCAGGTCCTGCCGTGCCCCTCCAGGTCTCCAGATTATAACCCAACCAAACATTTATGGTTGGTTTGTTGTTTAACGCCGCACTTAGCAATATTCCAGCTATATGACGGCGGTCTGTAAATAATCGAATCTGGACCAGACAATCCAGTGATTTACATCATGAACATCAATCCATGCAATTGGGATCGACGACATGCATCCACCAAGTCAGCGAGCCTGACCACCTGATCCCGTTAGGCGCCTTTTACGACAAGCATAGTCGCCTTTAACGGCAAGCATGGGTTGCTGAAGACCTATTCTACCCCGGATCTTCACAGGGCGAAACATTTATGGGATGAACTGGATCAACGACAGCGAGCATGTCAGCAACAACCACAGAACCTCAGACAGTTGGCACAGGCACTGCAGGCAGAGTGGGGGAACATTCCCCATGACATGATTTGGGATCAGATTGCCTCCATGGGACGACGATGCCCACTCTAATGGAATCTGATGGTGTCCATACAAGATATTGAGAACACATGACCTTCTTTAAAATCTACCGATCCCTGTGTGGTATACAGAATCTGGGTCAATGACAATGATGTGTGCCAATTTTAAACAATTGATTACCATCTGTTGATTATTTATGTGATACATAAAATCCACATCTAAAATCACTTTTGCGTTTCTTTTTGTGCAGAGTATATTGAATGTTGATCACACATATTTGCATGATTAGGAACTGTTCTTGTTGCTTTCACAATACACAAAAAGATAGATTTGTATAAACTTGATCATGTTGATGCTTCCACACATTGATACAGTTCGAGAGACAACATTTTCTTAGAAAGTCAAACTGAAAATTATTTAATTTGAAAACAAATAGAAATAAACTGTATCTATCAATGCATAGCCTTATTATGTTAACACCACGATAACAACCTCTGCTCTATATATACTAATACCTATAGCTTGGTATACTACATCCTAACCTTTTCATAAACAGACATCTGTACACAAAGACTAGAGAGGAAATAACTGTCTAATGAAGACCTGCATTTCATAAAATTAATCTCTTAAAGTACATATAAAATAATACAAACATTACATCAATAATACCTACCTGACTGAACTGTTCCTCCACAAAAGCTTTGAGACTATCTAAGTCCCTTGGACCTTTGTAGCGTGAAAAGTCTGTAGAAGACTGATAGAAAAACTTGAGTGTTGGATAGCCAGTAACTCCCTGATCAGCACACACTGCAGTCTCCTCCGTGCAGTCAACCTGCACACAGACATGACATTAGCAGTGGACAATGAGTGGGAGTGGGCTACAATCATCATCCCTGCACACAGACATGACATTAGCAGTGGACAATGAGTGGGAGTGGGCTACAATCATCATCTCCGCACACAGACATGACATCAGCAGTGGACAATGAGTGGGAGTGGGCTACAATCATCATCCCTGCACACAGACATGACATCAGCAGTGGACAATGAGTGGGAGTGGGCTACAATCATCATCTCCGCACACAGACATGACATCAGCAGTGGACAATGAGTGGGAGTGGGCTACAATCATCATCTCCGCACACAGACATGACATCAGCAGTGGACAATGAGTGGGAGTGGGCTACAATCATCATCCCTGCACACAGACATGACATCAGCAGTGGACAATGAGTGGGAGTGGGCTACAATCATCATCCCTGCACACAGACATGACATCAGCAGTGGACAATGAGTGGGAGTGGGCTACAATCATCATCCCTGCACACAGACATGACATCAGCAGTGGACAATGAGTGGGAGTGGGCTACAATCATCATCCCTGCACACAGACATGACATCAGCAGTGGACAATGAGTGGGAGTGGGCTACAATCATCATCTCCGCACACAGACATGACATCAGCAGTGGACAATGAGTGGGAGTGGGCTACAATCATCATCCCTGCACACAGACATGACATCAGCAGTGGACAATGAGTGGGAGTGGGCTACAATCATCATCCCTGCACACAGACATGACATCAGCAGTGGACAATGAGTGGGAGTGGGCTACAATCATCATCTCTGCACACAGACATGACATCAGCAGTGGACAATGAGTGGGAGTGGGCTACAATCATCATCCCTGCACACAGACATGACATTAGCAGTGGACAATGAGTGGGAGTGGGCTACAATCATCATCAATACTTCATAAGCATCAATCCACGCAATTGGGATTGATGACATGCATCAACAAAGTCAGCGAGCCTGACCACCCCTTACGACAAGCATGGGTTGCTGAAGACCTATTCTACCCCGAATCTTCATGGGTCGGTTGAAAATAGTGGTTTGTTGCAAAGCAGTTGTGTATACAAAGAATTGATAATGTGCTACTATCTGAGAATGTTGAGTTACAAGAATTCTTCGGAATGTTTCATCTCGTATGAATACTTAATTTTTTCTGAATCCAAAATTTGAAGAAAATAAGAGATCCATTCTGTTTGGAGAAATGGATACCTCATTAATTATATATTCAGTTTGATCTCTATTTATCAGAACAACTTCAATTTAGTCTTTTCTCCACATTCTGTGAACTCAACAGGTTCAGTTATCACGGAAGCATATGACGTCATCTACTGTACCATATGCCATATGTGACATCATGTCTGTCTCACAACTGTTTATTTTTAGATCAGATAGATCAACTGTGATTCCTTCAGTCAAAGTGCATGTAAGTGATTCCCAATGCAGACTGGTCAGTTGAACTGAAATGATGTCACAATGCTTCATGACTGAAATCAATGCTATACAATGTCATCCACTGTTTATGATTTCACACATTAATAAAAATACATCATCTGAACAAACGTGAAGTTTCTCTGACAGGTTGAGTGAGTGAGTGAATTTGGATTAATGTTCGAGGTTGGCATTCATATTTTTTCTTTTATAAATGTTAAAGTGACAATAAACTACTCAATAAACTACTCAGCAACCTTCAGCAACCCATGTTTGTCCTAAGAGGTGACTATGCTTGTCGTAAGAGGCGACTAACGGGATCAGGTGTCAGGCTTGCTGACTCGGTTGATGCATGTCATCGTATCCCAATACAGACAATACATAATTCCTGTAGCTTGTTAGCTATTCCCACATAATTTCCTGGTATAGTATTTCATTAAAATTTTAAATGTATTTCTTTATTTATAATAAAAAGTGACAGGCGGATCTGTACAACCAGAAACTAAATTGGACTGGCGCTACATCAGAAGATGATAAAAGTTGAAGATGATTTTGATCCATTAAGTGGCCTCTTGCAACCAGTACAGGTTGCTGTGAAGGAATTCAAACCTGGCGACCCGTGAAGATTCCGGGTAGAATAGGTCTTCAGCAACCCATGCTTGCCGTAAAAGGCGACTATGCTTGTCGTAAAGGGCGACTAACGGGATCGGGTGGTCAGGCTCGTTCCCAATTGCATGGATCGATGCTTCTGATATCAATCACTGGATTGTCTGGTCCAGACTCTATTATTTACAGACCGCCGTCATATATAGCTGGAATATTGCTGAGTGCGGCGTTAAACAACAAACCAACCAACCAAATCAAACCTGGCTTCAACCAGAGGAAGTTGTTTAAGAGTTAAACCCACCTTAGCAATAACAACTGGCCTTTCTGGTGAGTCTACATTATAGATTTTGGCAAGTTCATCCCATGTCGGAGCGAGTCTCTTGCAGTGGCCACACCTGTGTGTAATATATATTGATTGATGAAACAGTTGTGATAAAACAGATGACATCTTGTATCATTTCAAATTGGACGTGAATTAACTTCATATTCATAAGCTAAGGTAATCGATTGTCATTTTGGAGTGAGTATCTTTATGTGGTCCCATCTGTGATAAACATTGATTGATGAACATTTGTGATAAAACAGATGACATCTGTTAGACATATTTCACATTTATTTAACATATATAGGTCATCATTTGCAGGCCTGGAAATTAAAAAAAAATTAATGCCACAGCACTGATGCTCATCCGTTCCAATTAATGTGATCTGAATAAAGTACCACATGGGTAGAACGTGTGAAGTCCATTTCTGGTGTCCCCTGCTGGAATACTGCTGTTATATTGCACTCACTCACTCACTTTGAATAAAGTAAACTCTTTACCCTTCAGTCACAAGGAGGGTGTGGCGGTTAGATTGGAAAAATGGTCTGTTCGATGTGAAAGAACCTAATGAAATAGTGTAGATGACAGTTCCTAAAAGAAACTTGTAAGTCTCAGCTTGAACATGATGAGTACTGAATTTTAAGAAAAGAAACTTTAATTCTTAATCTTAATGCCAATATTAACTTCTGTGTTGTGCAACATATCCTACCAAAATATCAGATTTCCGAGCCTTCTGAAGATGCTCAATAAGATGCTAAACATGTTCCACAATTTACAATTTAGAAAAAATAACTTAATTTGTCCATTTCATGCTGTAATTTCACCAGCACATCCATGCCCTACTGTAGGATGTGGGATGGGGGAAGGGGTGTGTGGTGGCGTTGATACTAATGCTGATAGTGATATCGTTCTCTGTGAGACTCGTTAAATCAGGTTTGAAAGTGGACTTGAAGAGAATATTACCCGGTAATGTACTTGTCCATAAGATGAGGTTTATATTGTAGGGTTAAGAATATGTCTATGGTATGAAATTTGAGCTCAAAGTGACATACTTAAAAAAACAGTGGCAGCTTGCTAACATAACTTGCATAGAACAGGTATGCGAGTTGAATTGTGGAAAGTACATTTGCCAGGGAGCCACACGTACTACACAGTAGACTAACATTTAGTCTCTGAAATCTTATATTACACAATATCCTTCTTGACTCTAAAAATAAAAAAATTCCCTATGCTGATTTCAGAGCTAGCTTGAGCTGGCTAGACTTGCTTTTGTATGCATTTCTAGATTATTATTTTTTCAAAAAATAAATATATTCCACGGTCATGGTGCAGGACTAACTACACAGCTGCAAAGAACAATGTGCTACATAACGACAGTTGAAATCTTCAGAGTGTACAGAATATTGGTAAAACTTCCGCCCTTATCCCCCCTACAAAAGATAAAGAACTAGATCTAAAAGGATTGAGCGGCAATGCATACACATATAACATTTTGGAGGGGGGATACGGGCTGAAGTCTTTCCAGAATAACTGCTGTTTTCGAGCAGTTTTATTTGTGATTTCGTTCTCCTAATTGGGAGGAGTTCGCCATGTTAGGGTGTGTTCGGAACGCCCCTTTAGAAAACTGATGCCGCGATTCAGGGTATCGATGTTTGCAACATCACACTGACCACAGGCCACTTGACACACTGTTTACACACAAGGCATATGACCGACACACTACATGTTTTATGTAAAAAATATAAACAATTTATCTGAGCAAAGATGACATGTGACACAGTAATTCAATGTGTTTACCTCGCCATCCTATATTGATCGGCGACATATTCGAACCGCAAAGATAACTTACCAAGGTGCATAAAACATCACAAAATGTTTGTTTTTAATGACGTTTTCATTTAATGCTTCCGCCGAGTAACTGTGAGCCTCTTCACCATGTTCTGAATCTGCTACAACGGCACCGAAAACAGCACAAAAAGATAGCACCACGTACACGATGCAAGTCGCCATGTTGATGTCGTTCAGTGATCTGAAGACCAATTACGACTTCACCAATTTTTTGCGGAATTGTCACACAAATAACATTTGGGATTTTGGAGACCAGATTTGCCAAATAGGTATATAATTTGTCAATTATCATTCTTTTCTGTGATAAAGATTAATGTCGTAAAGGCGGAAGTTATTGCACCACACGTCGGCAACTTCCTTTCCAGCGCCATCACATTGTGAAAGTGCACGGTTCTCTGTGAGCTAAGGCCAATCCGGCGACTTGCACTCTTTACAATAAGCATCCGTTACAGAAAACACGACAATAATTTACAATGGCTTCTAAAGACGAACTTGCCTGTGTTTATGCCGCCCTCGTCCTCGCCGACGACCAAGTAGCGATCACTGTAAGTACGATTGTCGACACGTGAAAAGTTCTGTTCATTTGTGGCGTGACGGACGGATTGGCACGATAAACATGATAAACAGGTAGTCAGTGAGTTAGAAGGACATATCTGATAACGACCTTGCGAAAGTTTGAAACTGCAATGCTTATTTTTATCTGTTGAAATGCTATCGTGCTGTGAGTGTAGACAGTAATAATCTTGAGTTAACCATATCTATTGTGCTTTTCAGTCAGAGAAGATCACCACTATCCTGAAGGCTGCAGGTGTTTCCGTTGAGCCATACTGGCCAGGTAAATATATATCTTTGTATCAAGACATATCCAGTAATGAGTTATAAGTTGATTTCTGACTAATGGTTTATGCAAAATATCTAGGATTTAGTATGAAACAACCAGTCCTTCTGGACAATTACTAGGCCTAGTAGTCATGGTAGTGGGACGATGCATAGGTAGATCACAATGTTTAATTGTTAAACCAAAAACTAATTTAAAAGTGAAATGTGTTTTGAAAATGTAAATATTTTCATCCATTGCACCATACTTGGTACTGCCAACTGTAAATTGTCTGTGTGCCAGGTATTTGACCATCTTGTCTTTGAAAAAGATGGCTTACACAAAGCGGATGAGAGCACATGCAAGTGTCATGATACAAATCTGATCATGTACAAGGTATCGTGATACGTGTCGAATCGCAGTTGTGTATTGTCCCAGTTTTCGACTATTGGTTGAATCTAACCAAGGGCAGTGTCCAGGTTTCAGTTGGCGCCACATTGAGGATAGAACGCACATTGCCAGCTTGAAGCTAAGCTAGGCTAATGAGTTAATCCAATTAGCTAACATGGGACCAATCGCAAATTATTGGTGCTCGTTAACCAAGTGATATGCACCTGAGTGTTTACCTTTGTGCATATGCACTAACCATTTCCTCTTCAAAACTCGATAAAAATAGTATGGATATTGCTTCAGATTACATTGGATTAAGTTGTTAAAATGGATAGAGATAGCTGACCCACTTGCAAATAACCCTAATGATCGTTAATGGGTCCCCATTCCTAAAGATTGTGATGGGTGCTTGATGAGAAAGGGCATCCAAGGGCTAAAAATAGAGTTGGGGGGTAAACTTTATCTAACACGTCTAAGCTTATAGTGAAATTGCATGTGAGATCAGTAAAGCGACACCCTCAACTGATGGCCAGAACCAATTAGCACTACAAGCTGCGTCTGGTCAAAGTCAACTTGTGAACTTCTATATCTGTCATTTATCTGTCAACTAAACTTGAAACTGAGGTACTGCACATTGACCATTTATGACCATTTGCATTTGCCTGAAGGCTAAGGCTAATAGTATTCTGTTTAGTCCAGTTACCTCAGCTCATAATAATCCACAAAATGCAATTCTAATGAAAATGATGCTGAGAGACAATTTTAGGGCCAGTAGTCGTAAGTTTTTGGCGCAGTCAGGAATGTTTAATCTGATTAAAAAGTAAACACCCTATGTGTATGAAATGTGACTAATTATTTGTTTTATATTATATCACTATAGGCTACTTTAGTATTTGCTCATCGATTCCCAGAGCACTTGTGTGTTTTTGGCTTTGCCATGAGCAAAGATTACTGCTATCTCATCGGATAACAGGGACACTTTTGCAGTGTATCCTGTACTAGAGAAGGCTACATAGAAACTCATTGTGATTAAACCAATTGTAAACTTGGGAAAGTAGACCAAGGGTCATGATGTAATAACAAGTAGTATATTCTTCCTATAAGTGTTAGGTTACTAAAGTTGTCAGACACCCTTCTTACCATAATCATAGTAATTGGTTAAGAATGTTGAAAAAAATATTGTCTTTGACAGACGTTCCAGCCATATATAGAGCATGATTGGAGGCTTTGGGACAAAGTTTACTCATTAATTCTTCTTGAAAATTTCAATTGAATCTGGATAGCATTGGACAGTGAATGACTGAAGTGAAAGGTAATTTAATTTTAGATGAGCATTGATGATAGCCAAATCTCCTATGTAAGCAGGAATATGCCCATGATAATATAGGAAGCATGACTTTGATTAATTTGAAGCATATGTACAGTTCATAAGATTCATGTTTGGAACAATATGCAGTCAATTGATTTTATTATCCGACAATTGCTCATCGATTCCCAGAACATGTATGTGTTATTGGCTTTGCAATGAGCAAAGATTACTGCTATCTCATCGGATAACAGGGACACTGCCATAGTGTCATTTGTACTCGAGAAGGCTACAGACACAACACATTAGTTATCCCACATGTAAACAGTGTGCACTTATAAAGTTTCTGAAAACATGAAAAATATCTGAAGATGTAAATATGATTTTATGTGAAGATGTTTGGCCACTTGTCCAAATCTGTAGTCTTGTACATTGACGTAAACTAAGCTAATCTGCTAATAAGTCTGAATTCCATCGAGGAAATCCCGAAGACCATTTTTTTGGTACATACTGGATATGTCCTAACATTGTCTGTCTGAAGCAGTGATCTTCTACTTTGTCGTAGGTTAAGATGAATATGTATCTCATTTTTAGTGTTAGATTTGGTTATATTCCATAGATTTTTCTATTTGATATATTGAAGACTTTGGACGTCACATGTGAACAATGATGACTAAACTCTTTAGTTTGTTAAAGTAATTTGATCTGATATGCTATTTGCTCATCGATTCCCAGAGCACTTGTGTGTTTTTGGCTTTGCCATGAGCAAAGATTACTGCTATCTCATCGGATAACAGGGACACTTCATAGTGTCTTCTGTACTAGAGAAGGCTACAGACACTATTAGTCTGACTTATTTCAAACCCGATGTATTTAACTAACCACTATAACTGAAGGAAAACAATACAAAGATTTACAATGACATGTTTGAGACAAGTCTGTCCTCCTTCAGGATTAAGTATCACCATGCAATTGAGTGTCATGCTGAGTACAGATAACTAAGTGGGCACGGGTGGCCCACTTGTCTAAGGCGTCACTATGCGCTGTGCAGAGTTGCACCCCTAAGTAACACCAGAAACCTATGATGTCGGTTTGAGTCCTGTTTCACCCTGATTATGTTTCCAGGTAAATGCTAAGACTTCACTTTCGGCTTTCCTCACACTAAGCTGACATTCTGCGATGTTAACTGGAATACTGTTCAAAGTGGCATTAAACCAAACTCATTTGCTCGCTGATAACTAAATTGTGGAATCAATGTGAGATTGTGATTGTACTGTTGTAGAATGGTCTTTCAATACCTGTAAACATGTTCCCATGCTTGATGAGTTGAGAATTGAGGAGTCAAGCGTGAAGTTGTGTACTGTGCCCCGTTAATTGATGTCCTTGCTACTGCTTGTCCCGTCAAGCTTTTTGTGTTATCTGGGCATGGATGAATACAGCCTGCTAGGTATGTGCTGAGTGAAGCATATAACCGCGTTCACTTGTAATTTGTTAATCTATTTGGGGTCCATTTAAAACAAATAATTAATAAATGAAACAATCCCAGGTATTTTCCAGTATTTCCACTTGGTTTCAGGTCTATTTTCCAAGGCCCTTGATGGTGTCAATGTGAAGGAACTGATCACCAACATCGGTAGCTCGGCTGGCTCTGCCCCAGCTGGAGGTGCTGCCCCTGCCGCCGCCGATGCCCCTGCTGCTGCTGGTAAGGGGGACAGCTCTTGTCCTTTGTTTGGTCGTGGGTTAGACTAGGTCCATTGCTTGTCATGAATGCAACTCAATTGGACTGGTGGTCGTACTCAGTAATTTGTTTTGAAGTATCCATTTTCATTGTGCGCACAATTGTCAAGTTTTCTCTATTTACTCATTTTGAACTTCATGTTAAACTATGTCCTTTTTGGAGGAAACTGTTTTTAGTACAACGTGAAATATGTATTTGGAGTGATTATCTGTTAACACTAAGTGTGATCCAAAGTGGAAATTTTGGTACAAGTTAAAGATGTTTTGTGGTTCACATCTTATTCAGATTAATTCTGTGTCCTTCTATAATGTGTTTCCGTTGTCATTGCAGACAAGAAAGAAGCCAAGAAGGAAGAATCCGAGTCTGAGGACGAAGACATGGGCTTTGGTCTATTCGACTAATAACCCCAAGTGCTGTAAATAAAGTCCATGTCTTAACCACATCTTTGTCTTGTTGTTAATGAATAATCATGCATGCAGTGAATTGGCAGCTTGGTAGTACATTGATTGATGTGCCTGGATGTGTTGCAAAATGTTGTCTTCCTAGTGACCCCTGGGTTCGACAATTACCAGTGTGGACTGGCCAGGTCTACTGTTGCATTAAAATTTCATCTCACTGTTCAGGGAAAGATCTTTGTGCGATGACTCCTGTAAGTCTATCATAAGTCATCTTCCCGAGGCAAGAGAGTTAACTGACTTCAAAAGTCGAGTTGCCACCCTTGCCGAACTAGGCTGGAATTATGGAGTTACATTTTGGCTGGACTAAGGAGTCTATGCATAGTCCAATCAAAATCCTGCAACAAAATCAAAATCTGGTTCATAAACTGTCATGAAGATTTTGGTCGATTGCAGGATTTGCAAAGCATGTGCACCGCAACTCGTCAACAGATATTTTCCAAATCTTTTCATGTTTTTAATCAAGGTGCTCACATGATTTGATGCATTTCGTGATGTAAGATGCGTTTTATCACAATAGACCTTGATTATCGATCAGATAGTCCTGACTGGGAGCCACTGTTTTGTTTGAAACAAATGCAAGTGATACAAGAGGTGGAATCTGATTGGTCTGAAGGAGAAGCTTAGAAATGACATGACTCGTAATAACCACTGGTGGCTCAACTATAGAGCCCAGGAATTCCAGTCTAGTTCAGCAAGGGAGGAAACTGCACTTTTAAAGTCAGTTAACTCTCTTGCCCCCGGGAGATGTAATGAAGAATGGAAATTAGTTGGTTGATTGGTTTGTTGTTTAACGCTGCACTCGGCAATAGTCCGGCTATATGACGGTCGTCTGTAAATAGTCTGGACCAGAAAAACCAGTGATTGACATTATGAGCATCGATACACTCCGTTGAGACAGCGGGGATCTCTTCTCGTCCCGACTGATTCTAAGTTTGTCAACACCATACTCTACTCGTGGGTTTCGCGGAAGTGGTAAACGACCTGCTTCACTTCGGGTGCGGCGATCGGAAAAAGAGAAAAACTTCAAAAAAGGTTCCTTTTTTCAGAATACCTTTGGCTTTGACGCTCTATACCAAATATTCGACAGTTTAGACATATGTCTGGTCACTCTTGAGAGCAAGCTGAACCCGATAACCGACAATTGAAAACATTGTTGAAAAGGATCCAAGAGCAGGTGACCTGTTTCAAATCATAAAACATAAAACAAGTTCGAAAATGAGTTTTAAAACAATTATGTATCTTCTGACATTTAATCTCGGGCAAAATGGAACCGGATACAACATAATATTGTAATTATACGAACAAGGGAAATACCTCTGGCACAGATAGTTTCTTAAATATGTTTTTAATCACTGAATTAAAATGTCCGATGGATCTGATTAAGCTTTAGGTTTGACAAGAAAGAAGTGCTAAATAATCTTTCCTTAGCGAAGCAGATTTTATTTTAAATGCATTCGTACAACATATTCCTACAATATTTACATGAGGAAGAGAATTTATGGATGTCAACTTCTTTATTAGGCACAAAACGTTTCGGAGTATATGGAGTAAGTATATACTCCGAATAAAGAAGTTGACATCCATAAATTCTCTTCCTTATGTGTATCACTTCTAAATGCCTTTCAAAGACCTAATATTTACATAGTTATAATATCCAATGTTTGTTTTCGATTTTCACAGCTGAACGAAAATAGGACGACTACAGTCAACCTATTAAAAAAATCTCACAGATGTCACGCAAATTCCAGAACCATTTAATATCAACATTGATCAGATTGGTTTCTGCAAAAAAAATATATGAATCAGAATGTATCGAATAAAAAATAAGACAGTAGATAGGAGCCGAACTGGTGTTTATATTTAATGGTAACTGTTAAGCGTTTTGACTACCCGATCGGTTTCGTATGTATTTGTATGAAGTGACAAAATAACCGTGCGAATAGATGGCATCACTGTAAATGTTACCAAATTGGCTCTTTGCAAGTGAACCAGGCGTACAGGTTGTTGACAGGAAGCTTGAATAGGCTGGAAGAGCCAGATGTCTCTGTAGCGCAGAGAGTTCGAATTACCCTGAACACTCGGTACAGGGGAGTTCTGTGGTTGAAACTGAATCCGCCCTCATCATCACTGATCCACCTCCAAAACTGTGCCTTTCCCTGACGTTAGCGTCAACAAAACGCTCACCAGGACGTCGGTACACTCGTATACGGCCATCACAGAACTGCAGACTGAACCTGGAATCCGTGAATAAGGTACTGTTCCACTGGTGCATAGTCCGCCGAAGATGCAGCTGACAGCACACCAAACGTGCAGCTCTATGGTGCGCCTGAAGTGATATACGACCAGCTTGACGTCTTGATCTCAAGTTTGCCCCTCGAAGCCTGTTCTTAATGGTAGGGGCCCGGTTCCACAAAGCGATCTTAGCGGTAAGATAATCGTAACTCCCATACTTAAACATAGGCTTACGACAGTCGTAGCGCTAAGATCGCTTTGTGGAACGGGGCCCAGGTCACTATCGTTAGCGTTAGCGTTAGCAGCGTCTCTGTATCTGTATTCTGAGAGCATTAACAGTTATGGTATGGTGGCGCAATGCTGTCAGGACGATGAAGGCGATCCTGTGCTCCTGTGATTGTTGGACGACCAGGGCGACTTGGTACCCATGGTCTGTGAATGACAGAAGAGGACACATTAAGACGCTGTAGCACTTCACACAGACTGATGCCTTCCTGAATCCATACCACAACCCTCCCTCTGTCAACATTACTCAAACGTCGTCTCTGAGGCATAGTTTTCAGTATGTGATAAGCGTCAGCATCTTTCATCTTTATGGGGAACGATGGCATGTGTTTCATAAACTCTTTGTCCAGCACGTGCAGCATGCTTCTTTGATCCAATTGGCCGTCTTTGCCCTACAGAAGTTCTTTTCAGGCAGAATTGTCATTTTTAGATTAAAACCACATGACAATGGAACAGTCAATGATCAATAAAAGTCTGTCCAATTCAAACTTAATCACGTTATAATTCGATATGAACTAGTTTGGACATCTACATATTCAAATGTGAAGACCATTTCGTGTGTACCCCGCCGTAATGTTGCTGGAATATTGTGTAAAGCGATGTAAAACTATACTAACTCACTCACTGAAAAACTGCTCCAATACTAAAACCAACTCACTAAGGAACCCTAGAGTTGAACAAGTGTCGAAGGTTCGTTATATTATGATAGAGACGGATTCTAGAGCACACCCAATCTCCTTACTATCAGATAATTGACACGATGCCCCTTAGCGTTCAGGAGAGTACACAAAATCACGACACACGCACGCACACACACACGCGCACACACACACACACCAGTGCATGCATCATGCACATTTAATACGGAATACGTGATTCTCATGACCATAGTGACTTATTAAAAAACAAACGAATGGACTTATTACTGCAAAATTTTATTGCGAAATACCTAACACTACAAGCATAGATCAACTTTGAAATATATAATCTGAACATAAAACATATAAAAAACTCACTTACAATGTACATGATAAAAACAACGTGTAATGAACTAAAAAACCCTCTTGTGACTTCGACCACGGTTCCGTACGCATACACATTTCATTCACACATAAAGCATGGCGAGGATGAACTGTAGCTATCGTGTCTGTGATCAGTTGATTTCATCAGTAGCACTTGTAACTGTCTGGTCTGAAAATTCCTCACGGAATGTACCAAAACTACATGTCGCCCCGTTGTTTTTAAACAAAAAAATATGCTGATAAGGGAGTCTGTTATTATGTATTATTGGAAGCAAAAATACCCGCGATCCATTGTCCTAAAATGCATGAGTTGTTAATCCCTATTTAATTATGTAAAGACAGTTTTAACTACCGTGTGCGACAGGGCATTCCGGGTCAGAATAAGGTCCACAATGTAACCCCTAGTCCTGCACCATGACCGTGGAATATATTTATTTTATGAAAAAATAATAATCTAGAAATTCATACAAAAGCAAGTCTAGCCAGCTCAAGCTAGCTCTATTCCACATTCTGAAATCAGCATAGGGATTTTTTTTTATTTTTAGAGTCAAGAAGGATATTGTGTAATATAAGATTTCAGAGACTACATGTTAGTCTATGTAACCCCTCTTGTCGTGAGAGCCGACACGAATCTCATTAAAATCAGATTCGTCGTTACTCCGATACTACGCGGACGGGTATCGTATCGGAGTAAAATATATCATGTTAATGAGATTGAGCCGACGGATGATTAAAGAGGATCGGGTGTTGAGGGTCTGTGACTTGGGTTGCGTGTCATAGTGCACTGATGGGTCATTGTTCAAGCTTTGTGAGGCCGACCCAAACTCGAGTGAGTGAGGTTTCACGCCGCTTTTAGCAATATTCCAGCAATATCACGGCGGGGGACACCAGAAATGGGTTTCACACATTGTACCCATGTCGGGAATCGAACCCGGGTCTTCGGCGTGACGAGCTAACGCTTTAACCACTAGGCTACCCGACCGCCCGACCCAAACTCGAGTACATACAGGTCGGGATATAGGTGGAATATTACTGCGGCGTAAAATAACATTCACTCTTCAGCTCACTTACCTAAAAACTGCATGACCCGTTCCTGATCAATTTACAGAAATAAATGACAGACAAAATGGATCTAGTCACACTTTTTTAAAATGACATTGGATGAAAATGTAATTACTGAATAAACGACCTAACCTGGAAAAGTCACTCTTTTGAGCTGGCGCCGTCCCCCTTGTCAAGCGTTGAAATGATATCGTAGACATCGACAACTTGTTTTGTTGTTGTATCCACTTCCACTGCAGTCATTTCCCCTTTCCCCGATTCCTCATACGCAACGTAAAATTCTTGCCTCTTTTTTTCGCTCACTTTAAAATGGTACTCACTTTCATTCTTAGACCCGCACGCCCTGCTGAGTTTGCATGCAACAACGATAATAACAATGACAAGCAACACACCCCCGACGGCCGACGGAATGATGATGATTAGCAAGCGTTCCATGTCTTCGCTTTCAGAATTACCCGGAGACGGCGTTTGAGACATATTCCCGGTTGTCATGGTAACAGGTGATGATGCTGTAGGTGTCATTGTTGATGATGGTGTCGTAACTGTAGGCGGTATACCGAAGTGAAGAATTGTCGTAATAGACGTGTTCAGGCGGTTATCTGATACCTCGGTTGCCTAGGAAACAACATACATGAATGTAGGACAAAACTTTGTGGTGATAAAATAGTGAAATCGAATTAATTTTCCGTCGCATCTATCTTGTCCAGCCAGTCGTTTTGGTTGTAGAAAGGGCCATTTCCTTATAATGATTGAATAAAAAAGACCGATATGTTGCTGTCCAACACTGTAAAACGATGCATAACACAGAACCCATTATAATTTGCAGACGTCTAGGGCTCGACGCGTTTCTTTTTCACTCGAACTTTGGCGGGGTGGATTTCCACCAGAAAGTTCACGGAATATGTCAATTTTCATCTCAATCAAAAAAGAAGAGTGATTGAGTGAGTATGGTTTTACGCCGCTTTAAGCAATATTCCAGCAATATCACGGCGGGGGACACCAGAAATGGGCTTCACACATTGTACTCATGTCGGGAAGTGAACCCGGGTCTTCAGCGTGACGAGCTAACGCTTTAACCACTAGGCTAATTGCCAGCACACGAAGTCAGCGAGGTTTCCACAAAAATGAAAGTCCGACAACTTGTTGTCTAGATCACGTACTTTGTGTACCCCTCTGACAAGCGTACGTTGGCACGGCTCCCATGGCCGAAAGCTATGAACGCACAATGCCATTTAAGGAGACTTCAATTACACCATTAGATGTATGCGTCGACCTCGACTGTAATAATGTCTGTCATAACACTCACAGGTCTTAAGGCGCATTTTGCAATATCCATGAACTTTAGTTGATATATAACATAATTCTTACCCAGGTTACTGACGAAAGTGGTTTGATGGAAAGTATTTAATATTTACCCTGCATGTTTTTCGAATCACATTGCACCGTTTACGTCGTACCGTAATTGAGATGTTAAAATCCATATCTTCATATTCCTGATAAAACTTGAAAAGTTGAGAGTCGGTTGTGGAGTTCGAATCATGACATTCAGCAGTTATCTCCCCTGATGAATTATTTATTTTGAGGGTACAGGATGAATTCTCAAACACCTCCAAAGTTTCTGAAAGTAAAACAGCGAACGATGAAATCACACAACATAAACATGTGACTTGATAGTTTGTTTGTTTGTTTGTTGTTTAACTCCACACTCAGCAATATTCCAGCTATATGACGGAGGTCTGTAAATAAGCGATTGACATCATGAGCATCGATCTAGGTTATTGGGATACGATGACATGCATCAACCAAGTCAGCGAGCCCGATCCCGTTAATCAGATCTTACGACAAGCATAGTCGCCTTTATGGCAAGCATGGGTTGCTGAAGACCTATTCTACCCCGGACCTTCACGGGTCGACTTGATAATGCCTTTTACACGAAACGTCTTTGTGTGGTACGTCAGGCAATTGAGCTCATGTTTAAATTACAATCCATATTCGTTTATTTGTTTTGTTGTTAACACCGTACTCCGCACTAGTCTAACTGCTTGGCGGCGGCCTGTAAATAATCGAGTTTGGATCATACAATCCGGTGATTGATATTGTGAGCAAGTCCCACGCCGCCGGGGTACGATGACACGAAGTCGCTGAGCCTGAACGCAGATTCATTTAGTCACCCCGTACGACAAGCAGAGGTTCCTGGGGACCTGCTCTAACCTGGGTCTCCACATGCGCTATCCATAATCCTCAGCTATTGTATCCATTCGATGCATCGGGCGGTCGGGTAGCCTAGTGGTTAAAGCGTTCGCTCGTCACGCCGAAGATCCGGGTTCGGTCCCCGACATGGGTACAATGTGTGTAGCCCATTTCTGGTGTCCCCCACCGTGATATTGCTAGAATATTGCTAAAAGCGGTGTAAAACCATACTCACTCACTCACTCATTCGATGTATCGAACAAACATGCTGTAATGGGGTCAAACCATTCTGATTCCCATCGAAGGATGTTTTTTTGAAAACAATTCATTATGTTACACTAGTAGTTACTTACCATTATCAAGGGAATACTCTATGGCGTTATCGGCGATGTCGCGATCAATTGCGTAGATTGATGCCGTTGACGTTACTTCACCCTGTTACGAAGAATTCCAGTGAAACATTCTTACAATTCATCAGTACCTTAATATGAAGACAAACAGTATTTTTGTCAAGAAAAAACCAAATATGATCTACTTGCTCTTGTTCATGATTGAATCCATCTCTAATCCTCTGGGGGCTGTCGGGTAGCCTAGTGGTTAAGGCGTTCGCTCGTCACGGCGAGGACCCAGGTTCGATTCCCATCATGGGTGCAAAGTGCCCATTTCTGGTGTCCCCCGTCGTGATATTGCTGGAATATTGCTAAAAACGTCGTAAAACCAAACTCGTTCAATCACTCACTCTAATCCTCTGCCATTTAATTATCTTTCAGATTGTAAAGGGATGAACTATTGGAGCTACCTGACATAATGTTTGACAAGGAGCAGAAGGGAGTGGATTAAACTTGCACTTACGTTAGGCTGTAGGTATGTGCTATAGGCGTGCGCGGGACACCCAGGGTACACCCAGGGGTAGCTGGAGGAGGTGGTTCTGTGACAGTCCGGCCTGACAAACACCGGGGGTTCGTCCACGTCAGTCATCCTGATGGTCAACTCCGTCGTGCCAGTCTTCAGCCCCGTGTCCTGCACACAACAGAACATGCTCAGCAATAGAAGGGATCTATGTTCCATGGTCTGCTGCTCATTCCCAGTCAGTCTAGACAGACAGTGTTATGTGAGTAGATATTGTTATGTGAGTAGCTATTGTAATGAGACAAGCTATTGTAATGAGACTAGATATTGTAATGTGACTAGCAATTGTTATGTGACTAGCTATTGTTATGTGACTAGCTATTGTAATGAGACAAGATATTGTTATGTGACTAGCTATTGTAATGAGACAAGATATTGTTATGTGACTAGCTATTGTTATGTGACTAGCTATTGTTATGTGACTAGCTATTGTAATGAGACAAGATATTGTTATGTGACTAGCTATTGTAATGAGACGAGATATTGTTATGTGACTAGCAATTGTTATGTGACTAGCTATTGTAATGAGACAAGATATTGTTATGTGACTAGCTATTGTTATGTGACAGGCTATTGTCATGTGACTAGATATTGTAATGATACTAGATATTGTTATGTGACTAGATATTGTAATGATACTAGATATTGTTATGTGACTAGATATTGTAATGAGACTAGATATTGTTATGTGACTAAATATTGTTACGTGACTAGCTATTGTTATGTGACAGGCTATTGTCATGTGACTAGATATTGTAATGCGCCTAGATATTGTTATGTGACTAGGTACAATAATGAGACTGGCTATTGTTATATGACTAGACATTGTTTTGAGACTAGATATTGTTACGTGACTAAATTTAGATATTATGAGACTAGATATTGTAATGAGATTAGATATTGTAATGAGACTAGCTGTTGTTATGTGACTAGATATTGTTATGTGACTAGATATTGTAACGAGACTAGATATTGTTATGTGACTAGATATTGTAACGAGACTAGCTGTTGTTATATGACTAGATATTGATTGAGACTAGATATTGTTATGTGACTAGATATTGTAATGAGACTAGATATTGTTTTCGAGACTACACTGCTGCTCATAAAATAATTTGATCTAGCCGCCAAAAAGGTGGAGTTGAGGGTCTTGAATGAAATTTCACAGGACTGTCAACTGATCAGGGACAGGCCCCCGTCAACAGGTGGCACTGGTTAACTTAATAAATACAGAAAAGGTTCAGTCCGATTCCCTCACCAGGAAATGATGATCATATTCAATATGAAGTGTGCTTAAGCCAAGGATCTGGTAATTCAATAGCTCGATTTATATTTATAAGCATAACCTTAGGGAATGGTATCGCTCTCACAGAGGCTATTGATGATAATTTTCTTTTTTCAGTGTATTACAGAAAGACTACTCTTGTTCATAATTACAGGGCGATAGCAAAATTGAATCTGTCATTTATAACAACACAAACGCATTTTGATCTGTTTCAATCTGACATGACACGTATTTACATATCGCGACCTACGTGGATGGGGATTGCAATTTGTATTCAGAATTACATAACGCCGCTTTGAACAGTATTTCGGTTATATCACAGTGTGTAAGTTAATGTACGAAATGTACGAACTTAAGACCCTGCTAATATCGTGCTCATATAGATAATCAATGTATTCGTGTATTCTCAATGTCTAAAGTTAAGGAGGTATCAAGTGACCATTGTATCTGAATCAAACAACACTCCTTCCTTACATATAAGACAAGGCCAAGGTTGAAGAATGTTTGCGACTCTAGTTTCAGTGTTTCGAAGTCCAGTTTTGTTGTCACAATAACCTCTTCCCCCTCGATATGGAAGAAGGCAGACCCGTCAAACTGAAATAGACACAATCATGGAGAATGTTGCTGTATTACGACCATCCGCACAGGGCAAAAGATACTTTCTTTATTTTTTGGATTTTTCTACTTCTATGTTGAAGTAAACGAATGTTGTTTTATTACACAAAGAAATATTCCAGTTATATCATGACGGCTTATGAATAGTCTATTCGAGATTAGGCAAACCAGTGATTGATATCATGGCGACACGACATAGGTCAGGTCATTGTAATCATCCTATCCTCATGGGTCTTACAACAAACATGGGGTACTGTGGACCTATTCGACCCCGATATTCCAACGGGGTATAACTGTTCAAGTCAATTGTGCTTGGTTGGTTGTTTGTTGTTTAACGCCGCGCTCAGCAATATTTCAGCTTTATGACGGAGATCTGTAAATCATCGAATCTGGACCAGACAATCCTGTGATTGACATCATGAGCATCGATCTAGGCAATTGGGATACGATGACATGCATCAACCAAGTCAGCGAGCCTGACCACCCGATCCCGTTAGGCGCCTCTTACGACAAGCATGGTCGCCTTTTACGACAAGTATGGGTTGCTGAAGACCTGGTCTACCCCGGATCTTCACGGGTGCAATTTTACTTGGTTGATTACACGGATTATAAATGAAGGTAGTTCCAGACCTCGGGTATTTTGGCAGGTATTATGCCAATCTTAGTGATGTTGTCCATGACGTCACGATCCCGGTACATCAGATGGAGGCTGAATATAGTTGTGTTTACGTCTGTGTTCTGTAAATCAGTGGATATTCAAAATATAAACACCGCACATTACCCTCGACATTACAAGATTAATGATATGAGTTACGCTCTTTATATTAAAACAGTGTTGATGTAGCACACATTGCTGTATATCGTTGCTGTACCACTGGGCTGGCATTCGCAATAGCAAGACTAACAAATCTCAAATATCAAGGCAGATTATTTTGAGACTGCGAGCAGTGCAGTGCAAGAGTGCCACAAGGTAAACCTGTCTTCCAGAAGAACAAGAAATGGTTGTAACATAAGTTATATTTGGGATAACACTTTCTGAGTAAAGTACATATTCTCGTACTTTTGGGGGGGTTGAGTCCCGTCCGGGATTCGAACCCACACTGCCAGAGTGAGGCATCTAATCGCCAGCACACAAAGTCAGCGATCTCACCCACCCAGCCACAAAATGAAAGTCCGACAAATGGTAGTCTAGATTACGTACTTTGTGTACCCCTCTGACAGGTGTATGAGCGACTGGGTTAGATCGCTAACTTTGTGTGCTGGCGATTAGATGCCTCACTCTGGCAGTGTGGGTTCGAGTCCCGGATGGGACTCAACCCCAAAAAGTACGAGAATCTGTACTTTACTCAGAAAATGTTATCCCAAATATAACATTTGTAACATTAACTTTCTAAGAGGTATTATGTGTTTAAATAAATGGTTATTCGATGGTTTTGTATTTGATACGGGTACCATAGGCGATATTACATTTATCATACCAATGAGTATTTCACAACAGGTGACGTACACATGACGTGTCAAGCAACACGGGGTTCTTAATGTCACAGTACATAGTAATGGGCAGAAAGAAGCAGGTATTTTTTTAAGTGTATACTCTCTTTGCCCGGCAGTGTATATAAAGTGTTGGCACCTTTTCGACTGTTTTGTCAGACTGGGTAAAAGAATTAAGAGATGCTTGGTCTTCAGCGCGTGGGGGCCACCATAAAAATCATGACTTTTTTGTAGTATTTATACCAAACGGGCATTATGGTCGACAGGTCCTCATGCCAATCGGTCGTAAAGAACACGGGGTAACGTGTACACACTTTAATCAGTACCGCCAAGCGGGGCTTTAGTAAGATTCAATGCACTTACCTCTGGAACGTCAATTGTATAAGGTGTTTTCAAAAAATCGGGTGAAAATTCATTAACAGGAATGATGTCAACGTCCACATATTTTGCTGTTTGTCCCTGCAACTAGGAAAATAAAATAAGATATGTTATGTTTTGATTTATCTTTAACTTAGGAAATACGACATTCCACTTACTCCATCAACTCTGGATAGAAACAACTCATGAAAAGAAATCGTGGGGGACCGATTGGACCGAGAGTAAATGTCCCCGAAAATGAAGCAATTTGAAGATAAAACGGCAACGCCAGAGAATAACCAGTCTCGATTATCCGCCCAAACAGATTCCATCGGGCGCCTAAAGCGGTGATCATTATATGAATGGATAACTGAAAATCAGTGATGATATCAGGTGTTTACGAAAAGGGTAAACACGTCCCATTCAACCGGTAGCACCCGCCACTCACACAATTTGGATGAAAAAGTAAGTGTTTGTTTGTTTCCTGACGCCGCACGGCAATACTCCTGCCATGCGACGGCGACCTCTAAACAAACCAGACAAAACTTGACAAAACCTGTACCAGACTCAAGGTGGCGGATATTTATGAAAGAATTCAACGATTGCAATACCAGGTATATGCATGCTCGTTTACGCTCGCAGTTCGATTAGATCTAGCCGCGGCCTGATACATATTGTCATCTATCTGTAAAATCGGTATCTTGACACATGCGGTTAGTACAAGCAATCCTGTCAATCCTGATGGCATTGTTAATATCGTGGTAAGATTATTCTCGATTTAATACTTGAGATTGACTTAATGAAAAAGGACATGTCTACCACACAGGATATCTATTTCTGACATGTATATTACATTGCAATATTCTATCAATATCACAGTTCCCCTTTGCCACCCAAACTAGTGGTTGTCAGCATGAGCACTTATCCAGGCAGTTTGGTCACGGTGACACCCAACCTGCCAGGTCACACATAATGACAGGATACTCATATCATTTTGTGAAACATATGTTCATTTCTGAATCGGTCATTTTTTTCCTGATAGGGTTTCGCCGAGAGTTGTTCTTCCTGAATGTCATCAACATGACACCTACACAAACGCTTCATGTCGCCGACGTCCATCATTCTTTCAACCCGCGGATTGGAACAAAGTGAGTGAATGTTATTTTATGCTACTGTCAGCAATATTCCAGCTAAACCGACGGATAAACGACACTGTACACTCATGTTTGATGGTGGCTAAAAATTATTTAAAAAAACCCAAGAAATTGTTATTCGATGGTGATGTATTTAATACAGACATCATAGGCGATATAACATGCATCATATTGATGAATATCTTACGACAGGTCAGCCTCGTAGAGTTTTGATAACGTATGTAATGTTTTGTTTTGTTTGTTTGTAAAATCCAATTTTCAAGTGTATACTTTCTTTTGCAGGGCAGTTTATATATCACGACGGCGATCTTAGCCCTACGACTGTCGTAAGTCAATATTAATGTTGGGCATATTCGTATTAGCGCTGAGATCGTTTCGTGGAACGGCCGCTGTACACTAGATAGTTCAAATGATGATTATTTCATCAATAACGATACGTACCTTGTTGCCAAACGTTAGCCTTATATATTGCAAATCCTGGTTCTGCAACAAAATAAACATATTGCCAGTTTTTGCAAATATAAGTTGTGGAAAAACCTGAAAAATCGTGGACTATACTCAGAGAGCGAATGAGTGAGTGTTGGCAATTGTCCATTAATATCACGGCGGAGACACCGTAGGGCTTCGCCTACCCACATACTGACTACAACCCGGAACTCGGCGTGACGAGCGAACGCTTTAGCCATAGAGACTATTTCATGCTTTCTGTCCAATACGATGTATTAGCAAATTACATTGAAGGTGCCACAAGTCTCCGCAATTACGGAGAGATTAAAACGAGATTTTTTAATATTATCTGATACAATTATGGCCAACGTCAGCTGAATATATGATATATCAAATATGCTTTATTTGTGAAGCTTGAAAATATGGTTGTCTTCACGAGATGAGATATACATCGTATTTGACAAAACAAATTAATTGTGCCCCCTTTTTGAAGATTTGTCAACAGCTGGTCAAGTCGCATTCTCAGTTACTACAGTGATCGACAGTGTATGCCCATACTAGTTCATCATTAAAATTTTACAAACAAAAACACGCAAAATTATGTTTTTATCATTTTCAATATTTATTGTTGATTCTCACTATTTTGAGGAAAATGAGACCTTATGTTAAAACTGTTTTGAGGTGCACCAGTGAGAAAGCCCACCAATACATGGAAACAACAAAGCGACAATTATGGCAAAGATCAGTGCCCGCTTCGTCGCAAGTTTTTCGTACTTAAGTCAGACAAGAACACAACAGACAGCCTGGTAATAGTGTTTTGTAATATGAAAGTTGTATGGCATTAAGTAGTCACGGGTGGACCAGTATTCGCCTCGTCATTCTGTTCAGAGTTACGTCCCTTAGTCGCGCCAGAATCCCCTGACCTTATTATGCTCCTGGATTTGTCATCAGCGTACACTTCAGTGCCATGGGTTTTCCATCAAACAGAAATATCGTGATGCTACTGGAATATTGTTCAAATCAGCGCAAAGTATATCACTCAGATAATAAACAATAACAATAACAACAACAACAATAATAACAACTATAAACATCAAATATCTGTGTTAACCTACATGTTTGGCTTTGATGACCTCCAGGTCAACTGTCTTATTCAAAACCAGTTTGTAACCGTCGCTGGTTTTAGTCCAACTAAAGTATCCGGCCATGAAAAAGGGTTCACACCCATCCATTGACCACTGTAGGACGCCACAGTAGCTGACATTCAACACCTCTGTACCTGTAACAAATCATCACTGGCAGTTATACATCTATCACATATCTTATTCTTTTGAGGATATACTATATCAACCAAATATCGCTAAGCGCGATATAAATGTTTCAGAGCTGTAACGATATATCTTGTCGCGATACAATACGTATCCCGGTACCAGACACGATATACCGGTATATGGTCTCTGCGATGCGATATACCGGTATATGGTCTCTGCGATGCGATATACCGGTATATGGTCTCTGCGATGCGATATATAAACCTGTTTCCTGTTGACTTGAGAATCACGCATATTTGCACACTGTCACGCGCTCAGGGTCAAGATGATATACCGAACGCAAATATATTTAAAAACTCATATCAGTTATCATTCTTTCGAACAACGTATTTTCTGAGACATCTACTTCTTTATATTCCTTGGCCTGTAGTTGACTAATGTCCCTTGACTTCGTGCCAAAGAAATGCCTGATGTTTCGTGACATGAGCGTCTGATGCCTCGCTGATTTCGCCCCTTGGTCCCGGAAGACGGGCCTCGCAATACTTCCACTTTATAGTGGTTGGAAACTCGGATCATCTGTACGATACGAGACAAGAAAGTCGACAGATGTGCTCTGATTGTATTCAGTCATCAAATGAACAAACAGCCAACTAAACTAGACTCTGTGAAGTTGAGAACCTTTGTACACCATGTCAACTATACTTTCATGTCATGCAATATGTCTACGGTCACATGCATATATTATTTTCTATCGACATATGATCATCGATACGACATTTGTATAACATGTAAACTCCAGTGTACTGAACTTGCCCGCTTATAGCCTACAGACACAGTACAATTTACACAGGGGGGCACGGGTGGTCCAGTCGTCTAAGGCGCCGCGATTCTCTGTGCAGAGTTGCGTCCCTTGGGCACGCCAGAAACCTATGATTTTGGGTTCGAATCCCGGTTCGCCCCAATTATGTTTCTAGGTTTGTCAGCACTATACCCGTGCTCGTGGGTTTCACGGAAGTGGTAAACGTCTGAGACCTGCATCACTTCGGGCTTTCCTCCCACATTAAGCTGGAACACCGTGATATGACTGGAATACTGTTAAAAGCGGTTATAAACCCAACTCACTCACTGAATTTACACAGAGAACGATGGTGAACATACATAACACCATTTTGAAGTACATGTATTTTTAAGACATAATTGTAAGGATCGATGGTCCATAAAGATCCTAAAAGTATAGTTAAAAAAATAAATATATATATTCAAAATAAATGTTACAAAAAAATAAAACATATATATTCAAAATAAATGTTACAAAAAATAAATATATATATTCAAAATGAATGTTACATAAACACAAATATATATATTCAAAATAAATGTTACCAAAAAAAAATACACCATTTTGAAGTACATGTATTTTTAAGATATAATTGTAAGGATCGATGGTCATAAAGATCCTAAAAGTATAGTTAAAAAAATAAATATATATATTCAAAATAAATGTTACAATATAAATAAATATATATATTCAAAATAATTGTTACATATGAGCATGAAGTGAAATACATCTTCTACACTCTTCAGATTCCACATATGTGCAGATGGTAGTCGTTCGATGAAATTTACTTTTCTGAAACATTAGGTTATAGTATCTGATGGGAAGTAAGCAAGGAATAAACGGATTTTAATATGAATACTGATACTGGTTTTAATATGGATCGACATTTATCCCGACGTTGACATGGTATCGATAGAAAAAATGAAACTGTCTCAAATGCTTGAAATATTTTTATGCTTCAGGCTGTTGAAGAAAGATGTTATGTGACATATAAAATACATCGTTCCAAGATGTTTATATTTTTGGGATTAAGGCTGATTTTAATTAAACAAATATTTAATTTTGCAGATGCAAAAATATTAAGTCTCCATACAAAATCCCAGCCCCCCAGAAACAAAACAACATATGTTTACATCGATGTTCGTGCAGTAGACAAAGACCTTGCACTGAGGGGCGGATCGACACGCGTGATAAACACTCTATACTGTAGCTACATGTTGTATAACACTGATACCGAACCTTGAAAACAATAAAAGCGACAAAACCCTTTCCACACACAAAAAATATATCTACTAAACGCAGTGTCCATTGTACGATTCCGACTATATATCACGAGCATGTGTTTATAAATCATTATCAAACCACCAATTCATTTTCACTGACGTGACTACAGTCACTGAGGCCCAAATGGGGTTTCTTTTGTCCTGACTCAAATTTATATGGCGCTTTTGTTACTGTATGTTGTGTGTGTTAATGGCGATGTAAACGCGTAGCGAGACCCAGTAATGGGGCACACACACGCAAAATGCATTCGCAAAAGAAAAAGAAAGAATTGTGAAAATACGTGTTGTGTGTCAATGACTTAGCTGTGCATAGTTCTGGACCATAATACCATCCTATTACGGCATGTGAACAAGGACGGGATGTGCTTAAAGAAATAACAGTTTAGATATGTGTATCCAAAATTTGAATATTCCAATTTTGAAAAATAGTTTGAAGATGCTTTTTAATCTTTGAAAAACAATGTATGAATTTGTCAAATCAAACATAAGAGGGATATGTGGTATATGAACACACAATGCCATTTAAAAAGTGGTCAAACGTAACAAATGTTATATTTGGGATGTTAGAGTAAAGCACCCAATCGCCAGCACACAAATTGTGCCTCACTCTGGCAGTGTTGGTTCGAATCCCGGTTGGGACTCATCCCCCAAAAGTACTAGAGTCTGTACTTTACTAAGAAAGTGTTACGCGAAATATAACATTTGTTAAATATGTGGTATACTAGCAAATAGTAATCAGTCAAGGTTGATTGGTTTGTTGTTTGACGCCGCACTCAGCAATATTCCAGCTTTATGACGGCGGCCTGTGCATAATCGAGTCTGGACCAGACAATCCAGTGATTAATATCGTGAAGTCATCCCTCTTGCCATAGAGTCTTGTAGAGATTTGTTTTGTCGTTCTGAATCTTTTTGCATTTGTCTAAATATGAAACAGATGAAGTAATTCAAATAGAAGTCATATTTCTAATAAGATGAATTGTATTTTGTTCGCCTACCTTTCGGGTCTTGTTCTGTAATGGTGGCATTCTCTGGCAGGTGGAAGTTCGAACAACTGCCATCTTGCGCAGCCACTGGAATGGTCAATATTCTTGTTATTATGGCATAAGTTTGTGGACGAAATATCCCCCAAATATTTCTAATTCGATTTCTTTCGTTGCTGTGGTATATATATTGCAGTGTCTCATTTGTACGTAAATTTGCCATACAAATAAATATGGCCTATCTATTAATATGTGTTTATAATAGGCAGCCTTGCTGCGTATAAAAAAACCCAGAAACTAAAATCAAATATAAAAAACTGGAACATTAATAATAATAATGTTCCCTCAGTTGTGGATATCAGTGGACATAGTCCTATACAATGCATACATGTATATCAACTAAAATACACAGCTCGGTTAAACAGTACGTGTATATCGCCATTAGGTTCTGTTCAACCGATTACCAACAGAGTCGTGGATCCAAAAGAAGATGAGCAAATTACAATTACAGTAGACTACGGTTAAAACGAACACGCTTATAACGAACTGACGGACGTAACGAACTTACTTTTTGGTCCCGACTATTTGCTGTAGTTATGCTGTACATATGCTTATAACGAACTACGGTTATAGCGAACTAAAATGAGTAGTCCCTTTGAGTTCGTTATAACCGTAGTTTACTGTAACAATATAACATATTTATATGTTAGAAACTCACCCCGTTGAGCATGAATCAGGAGGATGCTCATCCCCATCCAAACAGCCAGTAAATCAGCATCCATCTGGCAAGGTATCATCCGACAAGTCAACATCGACTGATACAAAACACAACCACCCTGTTACAAGTGGAACACTGCAAAGCTATATGTCGATCTTACTTCTTAGCAATGCGGAATGAGTCCACTGGCATTGATTGACTGCAACTGATACGGTTGCTACACCCGCAACACCAAACATTCACATACCACAACAATACCCGCGCTTATCCACCGAGATTTACACACTCCACCATGGCACTAAAGTTCTGATGTAGCTAAGATAACGAACATATGTTTGTTTACAAGCCTTCCGCTTTTCCTTTGAGGAAAGCATTGTATTAAATTATTACCCTGCTACAAAGGATTTATTGAAGTATTAATGTTTGTACATACATGAGCATTTACTGTAAGTTATTGCAGCCGTGGTCACAGGGAAGGATTTTGCTATAATTCCAAAATCGTATTTCGACAAATATAATTATTTGAAGTTAGGCCATAACGTTACGTATACATTTTGATAGATGAATACCAGTTTTACCTTAATTGCCTTGACGTTTTAAGTTTTAGATGGCTCTTGTAGCCTCATATTTACTCCATCGTGTGTGCAGTGCACTGGCTATATTCTCGTAATGGTTGCACGGTTAGGCTTTAAATTACGTCTTCATTTGTATTTGTTTGAAATCAAGTATATTTTATTTGAATATTTATCATTTTGAAATTATACTGATACATTGTATAAAAATGACATCAACTGAACGTATATGCATAAAAAATACAAACTTATGATAAAGTATTTTTCCGAAGACGATAATTTTTCCAAGAGAAAACAGAAATGAAATATATTTGTATTTGTGTATTTATTGTTCGTTTCAAGATTAATTCGGAATTTGTAATGTGAAATGGGAGCTAGCATTGAACGAGAGTCAGAATCTGAAGAAAGCGACATGTCGCCAGCTGGTCCTCATCAATGCAGAGTTGTGTCCCCTTTCTAGCTCTTCAATCACAAATCTCTCCATACTTTATATTTCCAGGGCTCGTACTTCAGTGAACTTACACTAAATCCTAAATCCATTCCCGTGGTTCTCGTGATCTGGAATTACCCGGCCTTGATTTTTTATTAACCAATTTGATTTGTTATGCTTCTCGGTCTAACGGACCAATCAGAATGCGAGTTACAAACCATCCCCAATGTCGGTAAGGCGATATCAACAATATGGTGGCCAGTCCCTTTGATTTACGATAGAGTTTGCGAGACATTAAACATTGAAAAACTGACGGAGACAGAAACGAAAGCCCCAAAAATCTTTTTGATGGTAAGGATGTCTCCACGAGATTAGTTAATAGACCGTACTTGATATGAATGTAAAAGTGGCATGGTTGAACTAATTCTTTATACTGGCTCATGACAGTATGCAGAGTTGCGTCCCTTGACTTGTCAGCATAATGCTCGTGCTCTTGAAAATCTATCAACGTGTTGAGGGAGCATCCATTTTGTTTGTAATGTACAGTAAACTACGGTTCTAGCGAACCCAAAGGGACCATTAAGTTTTGTTCACTATAACCGCAGTTCGTTAAAAGCATATGTACAGCAGATATTGAGCAAATGCACGGGGATTACACACATTTCGTTATATCCGTCAATTCCTTATAAGCCTGTTGGTTATAAACGTAGTTTACTGTATTTTATCCCCAGCTATATCCAAAAAACTATTTAGTTACAGATTACAATCAAACAATTCATTTTGGGAATATTTCTGAACAAACTCAGCAACGCTTTTGGCTTCCCTCCATCAAAATACTGACACGTCGAGATACAGGTCACCCATTCACCCATTCACTTAGTGCATTAAACGGGGGCGGACGGGTAGCCTAGTGGTTGAAGCGTTCGCTCGTCACGACGATGACCTGGGTTCGATTCCCGACGTGGGTACGATGTGTGGAGCCCATTTCTGGTGTCCCCTGTCGTGATATTGCTGGAATATTGCTAAAAGCGGCGTAAAACCACTCACTCACTAGTGCATGAACCAACACTTTTTTCATAAAAATGATGTCGAGACATTGCCCTATTGACCTGGTGCTTGGCCGTCGATTTCAACCGTTAAGTGATACGTTCAATAGATCCACAGACGGAAGAAACAACTGTTAACCTTCCAATCTCATTGAAATCAGATCTTAGTTTTCGCTACCGCAAAACAAAGATCTGAGGTCATCCCATTACGGGTCACGTCAGACCGTCCTTGCTCGAACTTTGACCGACCAATGGAATGGCTGACAAGAAGTCGACATTAGCCAATCAGAAGGCAGCTTTCTCGTGGCTTTACGGCATTAATTTCAAATTGGCGACTACGCTTTGAAACATTTTGACAAGTTCTCGATAAAAAAATTGAAATCTGAACAAAAGAACATTCTGGAATGGCTAATTGATGGTCAAGATTGTATGGATTCAGTCGTTAAGCCCGTAACTATCGTTCGGAATACCCCGTGTTAATGTTTTCGAGGTTGCATGATTAGAAATCAAATTCCGACTGTCACTTTCATGATCCGGTAAGCGACGCTCTGATTGGTCGGATGAAAGGTCGTTCAGACGTGACCCCTAATTGGATGTACTCAGATCTTTGTTTAGCGGTAGCGAGAACTGAGATCTGATTTTAATGAGGTTAACCTTTAGGCTCCTATTCTCCCAAACACCGTAGCACATGATATTCGATATCGAATTCGGGAATCACGTCTAGCAAAGCTTGGGTATTTTCAAACCTTTAAAATTCTAATTGTTGCTTTGCTACAGCAGAAAAAAGAAGAACAGTATTTGATGTGGCAACAAGAAATTCAGGATACATTCCAGATAATGAATACAATTCCACAGTTTTTGTTGTAGTCCGGCTTTATATGTAATAGATGGTTGCCTCAGAAAACATATAAACTGTCGGCAAAAGTATTGACTTGAAAGCCGGACTTGACCGAACACTCACAAACTTTTTCAAAACTTTACTTGGCTGAAAACAGTCACCAAAACACATAACTTTAAGGTAAAAAACTGTTCTACCCATCACCATCGGATAACCATTTTGTTGTTTGTTTCGTTTTTAGCCACCATCAAACACAGTTCTCCACTTTCGTGTTCCCTCCACTATATATTATAGTGTGTACATGTTCTTCATTGCCGGGGCGGTGGGGTAGCCTAGTGGATAAAGCGTTCGCTCGCCACGCCGAAGACTCTGGTTCGATTCCCTACATGGGTACAAGGTGTGGAGCCCATTTATGGTGTCCCCCGTCGTGATATTGTTCGAATATTCCTAAAAAGCGGCGTAAAACCATACTCACTCACTCTTCATTGCCCTCGCCAACACATGTATATAACACGTTCACGACTTCTTCGAATATGGGGAATATGGGTAGCACAGCAGCCTCAATTATTCAGTGCATCATATCTCTATGCTATTATGATAGTTTACTCCACCATAGCTTCGATTCAGAAGTGACGTCAGTATCTTATCTCTCATTCGTGCACAATTTCTCTGGTTTATGAGAGTAATTTGACTGGATGGCTTTTTAAGGAATGTGCCATGCGTATCGCTAAAAATTACGAAGCTTTAGGGGCGAATGGTTCCAGGTAATTTATCAAAGTAGATTCGAGATATAATACGCTGGATAATCAAGGGTGATGGCCTTATGGTAAAAAGAGATTTTTGCCTGAGTTTGTTTCCGTATCGTAATTATCATATATCAGGAATAAAAATATATATGTTATGCTCACCATAAACGATGGTAATAATTTCTTTATCATGTTATGTCATTCTTAAAATAATGTATGTTTAAGATATGATTGTACTTAATGAAGAGTCTTCAGAAACGGTGAATGAATACAGTGTTTGAGGGAATCGCCCAATTTATCATATTGTGCCAGAATACATATCTACAGAAACACGGCGACACATTGGGAAAACCCTATCTAAACATATTGATCGTCTGTCAATGGTTAATTGAGAAGGAAGTCATTGTGTCGATGTGTGGAGCTTGAAAGTAGTTCCTGCAAGGCGAACTCATTTGCATAGTTTTCGGATCGTGATAGCTGAAACAAGACACGAGACCATAAGAGACCGAAACAAGAATTTGCTCGTCCCGCTGAAGACCTTGGTTTTATTCCTGACATTGGAACAATTTTTGGTGTTTCTCGCCGAAGTGGTGTGAGTAACAAAGTGGTACACTCTAAGTGGGTTGGCTGGGGTACCTTGAATATACCATATGGTTGGAATATTGCGAAATCCGATGCATTTATGAAAACGATGTATGGACGGTGATGCCCCCACTGCATAATTCGTTCGTTTTATTTATATATACCATAGGTGTAATGAGATGAGGTGAAATGGGGTTTAACGTCGCGTTCAAAATTGCTGCACTTATATAGCGACGTGCATGCACGTGTGTGTGTGTGTGTGTGTGTGTGTGTGTGTGTGTGTGTGTGTCTATTTATACTAGTCCGGCCTAATGTCGTTTTTATAGTTCTAGCCCACTGGTTTTAGCCCGTTGATGCCGAGCGCCAGACAGGGTAACAACAAATACCATGTTTTAACGTTTTTGGTAGGACGCTGCCGGGAGGTCCAACAGCCGACCTTCCCTTCTCCGGTCGGACGCTCTACCACTACACCACGGAGTCCTTTTGACTTACAAGTGTAGAGTTCACAGTAATTTACCTACGCTTTTCTCATATTAAATTTATTTGCGTCAATGCTTTCGTAGAGTTCCATACGCAATTAAATATTTACAGACAGGCCTATTCGTCGACACATACGCCGAATATTAAGCCATCACACGATGGCCTATTTATTGAAGAAAGTGTGTATGTTTAATGTCCGTTTCTGTCAACATGCATTCACTCAACCTATCGGCCACTATACATACATCTACAGTCACAAGACAAGGCTGTGGCTGTGAGGTAGTCTGGTGGCTAAAGCGTTCGCTCCTCACACCGAAGGGCCCGGTTATATGTGTGAAGCACATCTCTGGTGTAGTACTAGTAGTTCTAACACCGTCGGACTCGGTGTCGATTTTATAGTGCCAGCCCACTGGTTTTAGTCCCTTGATACCGAGCGCCAGACAGGGTAACAACAAGTACCACCTTTTAACGTCTTTGGCATGACGCGGCCGGTTATCCAACCGCCGACCTATTGGCCACTACACAGACATCTACAATCTCACGACAAGGCTGTGGTTGTGATGTAGTCTAGCGGCTAAAGCGTTCGCTCCTCCCGCCAATGGCTCTAAGTTCAATGTGTGAAGCACATTTCTGGTGTTCCCGCCATGTTATTGCTGGAATACTACGGAAACCATACCCACTCACTCACTCACTCACTCACGACAAAGCGGTGGGTGTATTGGCGGATACGACGAGAAAGGCATGGATCGGCTAGTCGGACTCGGTGACTTGGTTGATTGCTTGCCCTCGTACCCCGACCCGGCGTGAAACGTTTGTGCATGCCATAAAGTCCTGGTTTGACTGGTCCAGATTCGACTACATTCAAAGATCCGTTATATAGCTGGAACATCGCCATGAAAAAGCAAATAGCAACACGAAAGATATGAGCATGACTTTTATGTGAACATTTCACAGTCATCATTTTGAAAAATGTTTCATGTTATTTTGTACTGTATATGGCAAGAAACTATTTACTACTGTATCTAACAGAATACAATTTGTTGCCGTATATAGTAATCTATATATAATAAATGTGTTCGAGGTATGCATTTATTCCTTGATAATCTTACAAGTTTAATTTATATGCCTTTGTTGGATCTGTATAATATGACGTCATGTCTCGGTTTCTCACTGGCGTTACTTGTAAACGTGTCTCCATACTACAGCGACGACGACAAGTGCTGTCACAGTTACCGCCCTTGGTTTTGTTAAATTGCATTGGGACTGGGAGTCTGAAAATAAGAGCAAGGTTTTCTTCATATTTCATCAAGGCAATACTTGTATCAAGATAATGTAAAGTTAACAAAGGCCTACAGTCCAATCCACTGTTTGCACGGTGTAACACGCAACCATGACTTTTATTCCGGATGATTTCAACGGAACGGGAGCGTCACGATGAACGGGATTTCAGAGTATAGATACACGCCGTTTGTGATGTTCTTCATGTGTCTACCTTGAGTGAGTGAGTAAGTGATTTAATATAATCGTTAGCAGTTTTTCAGCCCGAATGTGAATATGTAATACGTCTGTAAATAATTGAGTCTGAACCAGTCATTGATATCGGGAACATCGATCTACGCAATCGGGATGCGATGACATGCATCAACCAAGTCAGAGAGCCTGACCACCCGATCCCGTTAGACGCCTCTTACGGCAAGCATGGGTTGATGGAGACAATTCCAACCCGGATCTTCACAGGTATGTTAACAGTGGAAAACGAAACTGTCGACAAAAGACGGCAAACATTAGTTACATTTACATATCATGAGAACATTCATAGAGTTAAACAAACAACGACCTGTTATGTTATATTCGGGCTGAGGATTGCAATCAGCCGTTTCTATTGGTCCCGTGCAATGGAAATGGAGAAACATTATATTACAATTTAACAAGTGGCTCATTGAACCCTATAACCATTGATTAGGAAATGACAAGTTGCAAAATATTTGTACGTGTAAATATTCATCTCCACTATACGGTCTCGTGTCTTTATTATCTAAAAACTAGCATTTTATATCAGCTTTATTGTGAGCAATATGGACTGGGCAAATTGATTTGTCTGCCAATTATATTGATGATGGGTGAGATAATTGGTTTAAATAACAACCAGTTCAACATAAAAAGATATTGACCGAAAATGTTTTCAGAAAAGACCTACACATGGAATTCGAAACGTCAACGCAAGAGAATTATCGGTCTTGATTATCCGCCGAAACAGATTGCATTGCATTGCGTAATAGACAAAATAGTGATGAAAGTAGATCACTGAATAGATCACAGGTGTTCACATGATTCAAGACTTACATTTATTTGTTCCCGCAGACAACTAACATGCACATGCCCCTTCCGCCCCCAAACACCCCCAAACAAAACAACAAACAACGCTCAGCCAAACAAAAACAAAATTTAAAATAATGATTAAAAACAAATTACAACAAAAACCCGCCAACAACCTAAACAAACCTAAGCAACCCTGAACAAAGGTTGGTAAAACTTTGTTGGCGTCCCCAAACTAACCGACACACGTTCAATAGTTCATCAATATTCATATACATACACGAGTCATTACGATCGAGATGTTCGCTCATTTTCTGGTGAATGTCCACGGTGGTAGCTGTCGAAGTCATCATCATCATCTTCATCACTTTGTCTTCGTCGACGCCTCCCATACCGCCTATTCCGTGTTCAACGCTGCTGTTGTCTGTCATGGGTAGAGTATTCTTGTACACCTGTGTCGTCGATGGTGCTGCTTTGTTGGTGGTGGTGATGTAGAGTGGAGACCCCACAGTCGTGTGCGGAGTGGTTGCTTTTTATGAAAGAATTCGAAATAGTTAACAGCTTTATAACGAAATAGCTGATCACGTTTACTCACAATCACGCACTGTGAACATAACAGGAGGCACGAGTACTAGGATTTCCCGATAGATTAAATGTATATGACATTATCATATCATATTGTATAAAAATATACTTAAAGGAGGACCGTGTTCCATGGACTGGTATGATACATCCGCTCCAATTCTTGGTCTGGGTTTGTTGTTTGAGGCCGAATAAATTTTAAGCCCAACATATTTATATTTCACAATTTTTCTTTTGTCACAACAACCAACCAGCATTTAAATTGAACAAGTTGTTTTGTGTGAGGACAATTCTCCCACCTCCTCTCCTCGCCTTTCCATTGTTTCTATCATACTCGAAATACGTTAGATTGTGTGTGATTCTGAGGCTGAAAGTGGCAATAGTTCCGTAAGATGATATATATTTGTTTTAAATAAGCTTGCGTTATATACAAAATGTCACTCATTTGCCAACAGCATTTAAGAGTAGCACTGCCCATTTCAAACCAAGGTCGTGCGTTATAATTAGTGCCATGTGATTAAATGAGAAATTGGCTTGGAGTAGTTGGGATGATAATTAAACGCTTGATAAACATACGTCAATCAAACAGACAAACAAAGTTGGTTTTGGAATTGTCCCTTTAATACATTACACAAGTTTCCATGCGGCTTTACCAACTTTATTTAAGCGATTCAAAATATCACCCACAATCTGTCCAAACAATGTTACTGACCTGTTGACACACTCTTGATTTTTGTCTTACCCTGATTCGTTGTTTCTTTTTTGGTACACTTCGGTAAACATTCTAAAAAAATACAGATCAGTCAACTACAGCCATTATGATACAAAGGAACTATGTTGATTCTTTCTATCATCTTATTAGAACATACGTGCGCACTGAAGGCATGTATGCGTATACGATTCTGAAACAATGACAGATTCTGTTATTCTGTAAAACGCTTTACCTTGTCACACATTATATACAAATGGCGTGATGGGCATCTTCGTGTGATACAATGCTACAATTAAAAATATGATAACTGATTCAATACGATTTTCCCATTATTCATTTTATGTACATTTTGATCTATCGTACTGTTCATTTCAATGTAAAGTACGATCAAGTAAAATACACGCTTACGCGTGTAAAAATCAGCAGGATCAACTTCAAGTGTACCTTTCATTTCACATAAATAACGATTTTTCGAATTACAAAATTGGTCATTCCATCCTAAACGCCTGTTTTGTTGTCTGTACGCTACACAGTCCTCCACGCCTCCACTGTTGCTAGGTTCAGAAGGATTCCAGAATGTCACCGACAACTTTGGGCTTCCAACCGTGTGGCGAAATGTTCCCAACATCTTCTTGACATCAGTCCAAATACGGTGGAGTTCTACAAGAAGAGGTGAAGAGAGGTGAGGTAAGGTGAGGTGAGGTGAGGTGAGGTGAGGTGAGGTGAAATAGGGTCTAACGTCGCGTTCAAGATTATTGCATTCATATGACGTGCATGTATGTGTGTTTGGTGTGTGTGTGTTTGGTGTGTGTGTGTTTGGTGTGCGTGTGTGTGTTTGGTGTGTGTGTGTTTGGTGTGTGTGTGTGTGTGTGTGTGTGTGTGTGTGTGTGTGTGTGTGTGTGTGTGTGTGTCTTTGTGTCTGTGTCTGTGTGTGTGTCTGTCTGTTTCTAATGCTGGACTAAGTCCGGACTAATGCTGATTTTATTGTGCTAGGCCACTGAGATACCTTGACTCCGAACCGAACTGTCCTTGTTTTAGCCCCTGAATACCGAGCGCCAGGCAGGGTATGACGCAGCCGGGCATCGAAACCAAACTTTCCGCTCTCCGGGCAGACGCTCTACCACTAGGCCACGGAGGCGATAACCTGAGTAAGGGGCAAGTTGTACGCACTCAACCTGGTTCGAAAGGCAGGCATTTTTAGATTTGGATCATAGTTCTGTCCTCAGTTGTTTGGGAGCCACATGGTTACAAAATGAAAATGAGATTACCTTTCCTTCCTTTTAAATACTTGGTTACAGCCATGTGTTCTTCCACGGTATCCACGCGGAGCAAGTCCATGCTCTTTCGTTGGCAGGAAGCACGTGCGCCTTTCCATGTTCTGGGAACAGTCTCGAGAATGTAGCATGCTCGACCCAACTTCAGCACTCCATCTTGACATGGTGACACACTGGCTTTAATTGCTGTAGTGGTAATAAAATATGGGGGACCAAGTACTGTAAGGAGGCTACAGCGTGGAGGACACACTCACACAAATGAAGCATACATGGTCCAACCTGACCACACCATTGGGGCATACTGCCATTAACCATTGGAGTGGATCTAGGATTTAAAAAAAGAGGGGTATAGAGTGTGTTTGTGTCCAGTTTCGTCACTTCAGGGGGGTGGGTGGGGGAGGTCCACCCAAGGACGTATAAAAAATATCACAAACACTGTTATGTGAATCATTATTCATTATACTTTAACAAACAAGTCTACACTTTACCATGGTAGACATTGCGCATACAAAATGTCATCAGATGGGGGTCGACCCCCAGAAACCACCCACGCCCACCCAACCCCACCCACGCATCCAACCCCCCTGGATCCCCCACTGTACTTATTCTATAGACTATGAACAGTAAGGATGTCTGTTAGGGACATTTTAACTATAAGTTGGCATTGCACTTGTTACGAGCACAACTGAAACTATAATAGGGTAAATAACATGTTGCAACATGAAATCTAAGCCATCTACATCTAGGGCTGTCATCTCTCTGCTTTAAGTACCTCTTTGTGTCTGAGAATATGATGCTCTTGTAACGATTTCCACAAATGAAGGATACTTTCCTAATATACCTGAGAAATATATACACATTTCCAATTCCATACCACGAAGACATCTAAGTCACATTATGGTTCAAACAACCACACAAACACACGCAAGCACGCACGCACACGCGCGTAAATGCAATTCGCCATATAAGTGCAATATTTTTGAACGCGACGTTAACCCCTCACACGCAACACAATTCTCTCGATTCTGGGAGTTGTCTGGTTGCCCGGAAAACCAGAACGTTGGTCACACTCACTCACTCACTCACTTGACATGTGTACGTATTTTCCTTGAATTCTTCTTATGTCAATCCAGAATGACACACCATGAGCAGTTTCTTTTAAAAGAAGGGATTGAGTAAACGAAACACCCCGATTTGTCCTTTTTACTCGTATTTGCTCAAAAGATAATCTCATCAATTTAGTTTAGGCGAATTAAAATATCGAGAATCAGATCATTTAACATAAAAGTTTGTTCTGAAAGTCTTACAAATTTAAATCCTACGTAAACTGAATTTAAATATTGTGACATAGTAAAGGGCTGTAGCCAATGTTCAAATTCCTAGAATA